GAAGGACATCTTCAAGCAGAAGTTCATCTGCGTGACGGGCGTCTCCATGACGGACGTTCTGCAGGCTAAAGCCTCCTAAGCCCTAAGTCCCGGTTTTGGGCTCAAGGTTCAGGGTTTAGGGTTTAGGGTTTAGGGTTTAGGGTTCCGGGTTTTGGGGCCCAGGGTTTAGACAGGCTCAGGGACTCCCAAGGTCTCGACCTTTTAGCCTCAGACTCTTCAGCCAGTTCAGGGTTTCAGATGAAGGGTTTTGGGGGCTAGGATTGACCCGCGCGCACTGCCCAACCTGAGCTTTAAACCCTCAAACCCTAAACCCTAAACCCTTTTTGGAGATTGTACGACCTGAATCGGGCGTGTTTGGGCCGTTTGGCTACACATTGGTTAACCGCAAGCCGGCGGGCCCCTGAAGTGGGGAACGACTGCGACGTGACAGTTTAGGGCCTATAAGGTTTAGGGTTTAGGGTGTAGGGTTTAGGGTTTAGGGTTTAGGTTTTAGGGAAAAAGTGTTTAGGGGAGGAGGAAAAGGCTGCCCAACACCCCAAAATCTCAGGGCACTTCAGCCTTGGGAGTTTACGAAATTAGGAGTACCTTGTTGGGGTCCTGATTAGAAGGGGATACGACTATTTGCGGGTCTATATGGGGGCCCCTATTTTCGTAAAGCACCCTAAACCCTAAGCCCTAAACCCTAAACCCTAAGCCCTAAACCCTGAGCCCTAAACCCTAAAGCCTAAACCCTAAGCCCTAAGCCCTAAGACCTAAGCCCTAAGCCCTAAGCCCTAAGCCCTAAGCCCTAAGCCCTACGCCCTAAGCCCTAAGCCCTAAGCCCTAAGCCCTAAGCCCCAAGCCCTAAGCCCTCAGCCCTCAGCCCTAAGCCCTAAGCCCTAGCCCTAAGCCCTAAACCCTAAACCCTAATCCCCTGCCAGGTGTCGAACAGCAAGACGACTGGCAAAGTGGAGCCAGAAGAGGCGGAGTATGGCCTCAACCCCTAAACCCTAAACCCTAAACCCTAAACACTAAACCCTAAACCCTAAACCCTAAACCCTAAACCCTAAACCCTAAACCCTAAACCCTAAACCTAATCCCGAAACTAAACCCTAGGTCCTAGGTCCCAATCCCTTTGGATGCCTTGGTGTGTTGTTTTTTGGGGGGAAACTTGAGGGTGGCGTGTTTGGTGACTAGCCTCATTGCATGGCAGGTAGGACGCATGTGTGCAGTGCAAACACCAGACTGGAGGGTGCACCCTAAACCCTGAACCCTCAACCCTACCCCTATATGCGCCCGCGTTCCGCGTAATCGACCCCCCCCCCCCCCCCCCCCCAAAGGTATCACCCACCCCAAGGTATCCCCCCCCCCAAACCGTGCCTGTTAACCCCAGAAACACCACGGAGAAGAGAAAAACCCTCAACCTAAACCCTGAACCCTTAGCCCTAAACCCCTAAACCCTCAACCCTAACTCCCCCGCCCCCCAAGCCCCCCAAGCCCCCTATGTTCCGGTAGAAGCCAATTGCGAAAAGGTGCTGGACGCGGTTGGCAGCATCACCAAAGATGAGGCCACCGGCATGGAGAGAGTCGAGGCCGGACCGGCAGGGTTTAGGGTTTAGGGTTTAGGGTTTAGGGTTTAGGGTTTAGGGTTTAGGGTTTAGGGTTTAGGGTTTAGGGTTTAGGGTTTAGGGTTTAGGGTTTAGGGTTTAGGGTTTAGGGTTTAGGGTTTCTGGTTTAGGGTTTAGGGTTTAGGGTTTAGGGTTTAGGGTTTAGGGTTTAGGGTTTAGGGTTTAGGGTTTAGGGTTTAGGGTTTAGGGTTTAGGGGATGGTTTGTATGTCTTAGATCAGCGTTACATGGTCCCTTCGTAGGGGCCCTCAGAAGAGGAGCCCTTATAATATACCCTATACAACCCTACTTCAGAACCCCTCCAAAGGAGGTAAGGGACCGTACTAAGGGCCCATGAAACTACCCTCAGATTAAAAGGGTACTAACCCTAACCCTAAACCCTAAACCCTAAACCTTAAACCCTAAACCCTGAACCCTGAACCCTACTTTTATTGCCATATGCAACCCAACGAACCCCTAACCCCTAAACCCCAAAACCCTAAATCCTAAACCCTTAGAATCTGGTTTGCGGGTTTGGGGGAGTAGAGCTGCTTCAGCTCCGCTGTCTGAATGTCAGGCTCAGACACAGGCTCCTTCGGGGCTTCTGAATTTAATTATCTATGGCTCAGTTCGTCATTGCTGGTTTGGGGAAGGAAGTTGAAGTCTTCAGGTACTGCAGTGGGCATCGTCCGTACACTAGCCGAAGGCAGAAAGACTGTGGGTCATGAACACCTTTGCATGGTAATAGCAGGTTGCCTTACTCAAGCAGTGACTGGTGCCGTTGCCTACAAAAACCCTCCCTAAACCCTAAACCCTAAACCCTAAACCCTAAACCCTTAACCCTTAAACCTTGAATAATCCATATAATGCTTAACATATCTTTTGGGTTTTCATGGAAAATCATATATGGGTTGGGGTCTGGGAAGGGTCATGTTTGGTCTTGAGGCGTCCGAAGTCGGGATTGGTCTTTAAAAATATGGTCTCGGCTTGCGTTTACGAAGCAAACCTAGTAGAAAAACACATCTGGGTTGGGGCCTGGGGAGGGTCATGTTTGGTCTTGAGGCGTCCGAAGTCGGGATTGGTCTTTAAAAATATGGTCTCGGCTTGCGTTTTGCGAAGCAAACCTAGTAGAAAAAACACATCTGGGTTGGGGCCTGGGGAGGGTCATGTTTGGTCTTGAGGCATCGTAAGTCGGGATTGGTCGTAAGAAACATGGCCTCGGCTGGCGCTGAGGAAGTCAGTGTCATATACAAGAAATAGTGGGTCGCGCTATTCTGCAACCAGGTGTAGCCTAGCTCCTTCTAGAGCGACAAAAACTTCTGGACACGTCCATGAAGCGTCGATCACGGGTAGAAGTTTTCATCGGAGTTGAAAAAAATCATGGAAGAACGCAGTGCCCCTGAAGCAAGATCCATGCGCCGTAGGATTGAAAACACCCTCCTCAACTTTTCCGAAACATATACAGGCGGTGTCTCTTCGTGAAAGATCCTGGCGCGCGCGCCCATGCCTAGGTTGTAAGTTGTAAGCACCCCCCCCCCCCCCCCCAAACCCACCCCCCCCATCGGCCGGTTCCTTGCCTGAACGGCCACCGCCGGATCCCTCGCCGCCCCGCCAAACCGCCCCCCCCCCCCCCCCCGCCCCCCCCCCCCCCGCCCCCAACTCCAGGTCCCGGCCCCACCGAGCCCTTAACAGGACCCGGTCGGTACCTGGTCCGTGCCTGGTCGGTCGGTAACTGGTCGGGACCTTGTTTTGGGCCTGTTTTTGAGCTCCCGACCGGGTACCGACCGGGTACCGACCGGGTCCCGACCCGACCGGGTACCGACCGGGTGCCGACCGGGTACCGAGCGGGTATTGACGGGTGCTGACGGGTACTACCGCGTCCTGACCTGGCCTGCCCCAACCCGTCAAAGGGCTGGAGGGGCTGGAGCTGGAGGGGCTGGAGGGGCTGGAGGGGCTGGAGGGGCTGGAGGGCTGGAGGGGCTGGAGGGGCTGGAGGAGCTGGAGGGGTTGGAGGGCTGGAGGGGCTGGGTTGGAGGGGCTGGAGGGGCTGGAGGGCTGGAGGCTGGAGGGGCTGGAGGGGCTGTGAGGGGCTGGACTGGAGGGGCTGGAAGCGCTGCAGAAGGGGGCTGGAGGGGCTGGAGGGGCTGGAGGCTGGAGGGGCTGGAGGGGCTGGAGGGGCCGCGGGCTGGAGGGGCTGGAGGGGCTGGAGCTGGAGGCTGGAGGGGGCTGCAGGGGGCTGCAGGGGGCTGGAGGGGCTGGAGGGGCTGGAGGGAGAGTCAGATGCGAGTAGCATCGTTAAGTCAAGCAGTTTTGTCCGCCAGACTGGCCTCCATCGAGAACAAAACAGGAAACAGTTTCGATAACAATCTTCACGAGGCTTGAGTAAGCCCAATATTTCTAGGAGCAAGTCCAAGATTTCTCAGGATTCATGACAAGGTCAAGCCCCGAAACTTGCAGGGCGGATCCTGGTTTTCAGCGATCTGAACCAAGTTTTTAATGTAATAAACCGCAGACAAATCCCAGATTTCAGATGAGTACATCCAAGATTCTACTTAGACAGAACCCAGATTTCCGGCCACAAGACCGCAGACAGAACCCAGATTTCCGGCCACAAGACCGCAGAGAGAACCCAGATTTCCGGCCACAAGACCTGACAAAAAACCCGCCTGACGACACCGACTTTTGGGGATATGTTAAGCATTATATGGATTATTCAACTTAAACCTAAACCCTAAAGCGTGTATAGCGCGCTGCAACCAGCCGCTGGAAGCTCTGCTTTGAGATGTTTCCCCTTATACTAACAGTCCTTAATCGGGGTTCTAGTACTCCAATAAGGACTGTTAGTATAAGGGGGAACATTACAATAGCTACCCTAAACCCTAAACCCCCAAACCCTTAAACCCCTAAACCCCTAAACCCCTAAACCCCTAAACCCTAAACCCTAAACCCTAAACCCTAAACCCCAAGGTTGTGTGTGTTGAAGATGTCCTTCTAGTGACTTTGTGCATGGCGAGCCGCGGATCCTGAGGTGAAAGCAGTGGCCTCCGGGAAGCAAGGTGCCCTCGTTTGTTAGGGTTTAGGGTTTAGGGTTTAGGGTATAGGGTTTAGGGTTTAGGGTTTAGGGTATAGGGTTTAGGGTTCAGGGTTTAGGGTTTAGGGTTTAGGGTTCAGGGTTCAGGGTTTAGGGTTTAGGGTTAGGGGTTTAGGGGTTTTGGGGTTTTGGGGTTTAGGGTTTAGGGTTCAGGGTTAGGGGTTTTGGGGTTTAGGGGTTTAGGGTTTTGGGGTTTAGGGGTTCAGGGGTTTAGGGGTTAGGGGTTTCGGGGTTTAGGGTTTAAGGTGTAGGGTTTAGGGGTTTGGGGTTTTGGGGTTTTGGGGCTTTGGGGCTTTGGGGCTTTGGGGTTTAGGGTTTAGGGTTTGGGCTTCAGGGTTTAGGGTTAGGGGTTTAGGGATTTGGGGTTTAGGGTTTTCAGGTTTAGGTTGTTTGTGCTGGGCGTGCAGGGATTTCGGGGCGCGTTTTTTGCAGAGTCCAATGAGGGATGTTTGGGGTTCACTAAGGATGTATGCTTTGTCATAGTTGGATAACATTTTACATTTTTAAGGGTACTTAAACCCAATAAGGAATAAACATGCAATTTTTAGATATTGTCCCAACCATGAACTAGTATAGGTTACGAGTTCTTTGGGGCGGGCGTAGGTTGAGGTTTATGTGAACGTTCAGAAGGCTAGTTAGAAGCGAAAGGCTTCTCAAGCCCAGAGCAATGGACCTCCCATCACCCTGAAACCTGAAATCGCAATTGCAAGGTGTATCGGATTTTCGTTTAGGAGCCCTAAACCTAAACCCTAAACCCTGAGTCGGAGTGTTGCCCTAGACCTTGAACATGTCAAACGCCCCCAAGCCCATCTCCATGACAGGCTTCGTCACTCTCAAAGGCAATCAGGGCACCACCTACTTGCAGGATGTGTGCCGGGCTGCAACCCTTGTTATTTAAGATACAAGTATGGTTCTTGCATGTTTTCAGGTGCCGAGTTGAGGGTTGAGGGAACATCCGCAGTTTTGGGATGCCTTGGTAATCGGAGGGCGTTGGAGAGCGGGTAGGTGGTGGATTGCTTGAGCCATGGATGACCCAGAAGTATCCAATAACCATTATCACGATCACCAGCATTCAGCCCCCCAAAGCTTTATAAAACCTCAACCCGAAAGCGCACACGCCTCGTTGTCAACGCAGCACATGATCCTGCACCCCCAACCCCCCCCCCCCCGCCCAAGAGCTACCGTATCTCAGCTGCGCAGAACTCCGAGTTAAAGGCTTGTGTGCAAACGCTTGGAGCCCCGGCGCCGCAAACCTTAGAGCTTACGTACGTGAGTTGTGAGTCCTGTGAGCCTTCAGGTATCTTCGGGTTATTGAGGAACCGATGCCTCAGCCCGTAGCCTGATGCCCCCACTCACCGCACTCTCCCCTAAACCCTCATGCCCGTAAATCCCAACAATCCTAAAGCCCTAAAGCCCTAAAGCCCTAAAGCCCTAAAGCCCTAAAGCCCTAAAGCCCTAAAGCCCTAAAGCCCTAAAGCCCTAAAGCCCTAAAGCCTAAACCCTCAACCCTCAACCCTCAACCCTCAACCCTCAACCCTCAACCCTAAACCCTAAACCCTAAACCCGAAACCCTAAACCCGAAACCCTAAACCCGAAACCCTAAACCCTAAACCCTAAACCCTAAACCCTAAACCCTAAACCCTAAACCCTAAACCCTAAACCCTAAACCCTAAACCCTAAACCCTAAACCCAAACCAGCAAGCCCTGAAGGAGTTTTCTCCGTTCACGGACTTCTGCACTGCCATGGACAAGAAGATAGAGGACCGTCGGCATGTCGGGGCTTGTTGAGGGCCCTTGGCAAGACAACGCGGGTTTAGGGTTTAGGGTTTGGGGTTTAGGGGTTTAGGGTTTAGGGTTTAGGATTTAGGGTTTAGTTTAGTTAGAGGGCTTGTGCCTTTGGGCTAAGTATGTTGAAACTTGAGGGTTCTGGTTCAGAACCCTAAACCTATAGGTGTAGAGTTTCAGGGTTCAGTCCTTCATTGCAACCTTCAACCCAAGCCCTAAGCCTCAGCCTCTGGGTCCAGGGCCTTGATTTCTGAAACTTTGCTCTGCCACCGGTCAGCTTCAAGCCGTTCCACCCCGAAATCCCCTTTAGGGTTTAGGTTTTAGGGTTTAGGGTTTAGGGTTTAGGGTCTTAATAGTCTTTAAGTTTTGTTTGTTTGTGAACATGTACCCCTGCTCTCAAACCTAGGTTCATGGACTCCTGCCAAAAATCAAACTTATAAGAAAGATTCAGAAGTCAGCCAAGAATTGGTAGGTAGTCCTCGCACGCTATCGCAAGCCCCCAAGACGCGCAGCAGCTGCAACTTGCAGGAGAGGCTGGCCAAGATCAAGTCGGTGACCAGGCACCGTCCTAAATCCCAAACCCTAAACCCTAAACCCTAAACCCTAAACCCTAAACCCCCAAACCCCCAAACCCTAAACCCTCTGTAAGTGATTCCGGACACTTCGGAGTCGAAGAACTTCAGGCTTGAGTCGTCTTCTGCTTAGATGCCAGTAGAGTTCGTAACCTCGACCTCTAGGCATCAAACGCCTGCATCGAGAGTCCGGAGCTTTCTACAGGTTTGTGTGGGTTCAGGGTTTTGGGCTTTCAGGATTTTGGAGGTGACTGCAGTTTTTTTTTCAGGTGCTTATATAGGCTGCTTTATGAGCCTGGAGTGCGGAGGCTTCAACAGCAATGATTGTTCTCGCTAGGCATGTGGATGCTTGGAGCATCTTAGTGGGGCCCCAGGTTTTGATAACTCGCCCCAAACTCAGTTACCCTAAACTCTAAACTCTAAACCCTAAACCCTAAACCCTAAACCCGGCTTGGAGGAGATAGGTTAGTAGGTCTGGGAGCGCTTCCCTGGACTTGTCATACAGTCAACCTTCACAAGCCTCACGCCCAAATCCTGAGCCCCAAAGCAGCCATCTTCCGCGCCCGCGGCAGTTTCTTCACGCAGAAGCTCAATGAGCTGGCTCAGCACAGTAGCGGCCCCCTTGGAGAGGCTCGCTTTCGTGGCTTTTGAAGGGAAGGGGTTCAGGGCTTAGGGCTTAAGGTGTACCGTCTAGCACGGTCCGGTCGAAGGTTTAGTTCAGGGCGTTGGAGTGTTTTAAGGTTGAGGCCTTGGACTGAATTCTTTGGGCTGTGCTGACGGGTCCGCGAGGGCCACAACCAAGACCTCGGACTGCTGCCACCGAAAACCCCGGCCCTCAACTCAACCCACGGCCACAACCGTGAGACGATACACCCTACACCCTAAACCCTAAGCCCTAAACCCTGAGCCCTAAACCCGAAAAGCCCCCTGTTTGACCCCCCCCCCAATCCCTAACTCCCAAATGGCCCAACCCTGAGCATGCCTTGCGCGCCGGCTAGGCAAAAGCAGAGATCCTCAAGCTGCGGCCCAAGGCCCGCAGTAACGGTCTTCTTGCAGGTTTAGGGGTTTAGGGTTTAGGATTTCGGGTTTAGAGTTTCGGGTTTCGGGTTTGTGCTGTGTGGGGAGCAGCACAGCGGCTGTACATGCTATCCCAAGTTCCAAGTGCGTATGTCAAAATGCTGGGGGGCGCAGGAACGAGAACGTGGACTTTGCTTTCGTAATCGTTTGTGTGAGTCCACGCTGTGGCGCATCCCTGGAGTTTTCAACTGTTGCAGAAGGGCTTAGGGCTTAGGGATTCGGGTTTAAGGTTTAGGGTTTTCGGGTCTACCAGGATGGGCTGTTCTACCCTATAACCTCGTTAAAAGGCCCTTGATAGGGTTAATGATGGGGATTATAAGGCCTAATAGCCCATCCTGGTAGGTCCAGGGCTTAGGGTTTGTGCCGCGACTTTGTGTGCTAGAAGATGGCGCCTTGGGTGCCTGGGCGCAGGCATCGCAGCAGGCGACGGAGGTCCAGAAGCTCAAGAACAAGGCGCCTCACCCCGACCTTTAAACTGCGGAAGTGCCGATACCCTAAACCCTAAACCCCAAACCCCAAACCCCAAACCCTAAACCCTAAACCCTAAACCCTGAAAGAGTTTGGGGGTTTTAGGGTTGTAGGGTTGACGGCTCGTTGCCTCATGCTTCCTCCATTGTGCGGAAATTTGGGATGTTCCCCCTTGTACTAACAGTTCTTAATAGGGATTGTAAGGTACCCCCCGCTGTTATAATCCCTATTCAGGACCGTTAGCATAAGGGGGAACATCCCAAATGTTTACTGACCCTTAAGCAACGATGCTTTTCTTCACGCGGCGGAGATGGCTCCTGGAGCCTCACAGTTTAGGGTTTAGGGTTTAGGGTCTCAGTCTAGGGAAGGAGTCTCGGGTCAAGTTGCGACTCCTTTTTTTCGCTCCCTCCAAGCCTTGAGCCCTGTTACGCTGAGTTCCGAAGCCTCTTCCGCAAATGTGGCCCAAGCCGAAGTCACAAGACCGAGCTCGTGCATAAAGCCCGAAGGCATCTAAAACACACATCGCCAGCTTCGATGTATAAGCCCTCGGTCCTGACCGATTGAAAGTTTTATAACTCCCATGTCCTGAAAAGGCTGAATCTAGTCACCGGCTCCATCTGAAAGCTAGGTCGGCCCTTTAGGGTTTAGGGTTTAGGGTTTAGGGTTTAGGGTTTAGGGTTTAGGGTTTAGGGTTTAGGTTTTAGGGTTTAGGGTATTTTCCTTTCTTGGGTTTAAGAGGCTCACATTCAGGAACATTTTCCAGAGGGCTTTCAGGGCCATCCTAGAAAGCCTCGCTAAACCCTAAACCCACAACCCCAAACCCTAAACCCTAAACCCTAAACCCTTTTCCCCTAAACCCTCAAACCACAGGTGGGCGCCGCCAAGAAGGACTACTTCAAAGCCGAGGAGGCGGAGCGAACAGCCCACTTGGAGGCTCCCGAAGTTTTTTTTTTTTTTTGGGGGGGGGGGGGGGGGGGGTAAAGGAGTGGCAAAGAGTCGGACGTTGGGTTTAGGGTTTAGGGATTGAAAGTTAGGGTATAGGGCTTAGGGTTTAGGGTCTAGGGCTTAGGGTTTAGGGTTTGCCGGGGCGGGGTTTGGGGTGGGGATTCGTGCTTCGGGGCCAGTGATGGGAGGCGTGGGAAGGTTGTTGAATGATTTTTTTTGCAAAGTGGTGCATCGTCAAAGCTTTCATTCGGACCCAGGCCATAAGCCCTGAACAACCGCAGTATGAACGTCGTGAGGGTGCAGACGCTGGTCGGTGCCGGAGTCGTGCAACAGAGGGTTCCGGGTCTGCTCACGGATTGACACAGCTCCCGAACTAACAGTATCACCTGAAGCGCATTCCTGCGCAAGTAGCATTCTGGAGAGTGTACAAACCACTCCTGTATCACCTTCGACGTAACAGACTTCGGTCCGATTCCAACCCCAAACCCCAAACCGCAAACCGCAAACCCCAAACCCCAAACCCCAAACCAAACCCCCAACCCTAAGCCTTAAACCCTAAACCCTAAACCCTATATAACTGAATAGGGGGAGTTGGGGCGAAGTTTCCTTCTCAGCAGGCGCCACATCAAGTTTCCGAAGCCGCCGAAGCTCCCAGAAATCCCCAAAGCCTGCCAACTTTTAAGCGCCCGAACGTCTAAGATGCCAGACGAAGCCTAAACCCTGAACCCTAAACCCTAAACCCTAAACCCTAAACCCTAAACCCTAAACCCTAAACCCTAACAGTCAGCCCAAGCTGAACCGTCTAAATTCTCTAAATCTCCCTTAGAAGCCCGTCCTTGGCCATTGCAGGCGAAGGAGAGGAGAGAAGCTGAGGTGGGATCTGCCGGGCATGAGCCTGGTGGAGGGATCAGGTGAACTTAAGGCTATCTATGGCTTAGGGTTCAGGGTTTAGGGTTCAGGGTTTAGGGTTTAGGGTTTAGGGTTCAGGGTGAATTCCCTGCTTCTCAGCGCTTGAACCCGAAGGCCCCCCAGCCTCAGTTCTCAAAACCCCTTGTATCTACGAATCGTCTGAGATTCGAATGGCCTCAGGGCTAGACCCTAAACCCTAAACCCTAAACCCTAAACCCTAAACCCTAAACCCTAAACCCTAAACCCTAAACCCTAAACCCTAAACCCTAAACCCATTCGAAGCCCTATTCTTTAGGGTTCAGAGGTTTAGAGATTTTAAGGCGTTGCTCCTCACAGGCACTCCTTGCCGCTGCCGGGAAGGAGGTGGAAGCTGCGGAGGCCTTGCAGACTTTTGCGGGCTTAGGGGGGTTTAGGGTTTAGGGTTTAGGGTTTAGGGTTTAGGGTTTAGGGTTTAGGGTTTAGGGCTTCGGGTTTAGGGTTTGGGGTTTGGGGTTTGGGGTTCATAGGGTTTAGGGTTGGGGTGCACAGTGTTTGGGGTCAGAAAGATCGGGCTTTGCAGAGTCTCTTGCAGTCTTTTTGGGGTTATTGGGGGCGCTTTGTGTTTTCGAGGGTCTGGGGGAAGGATCCGACACTGTTCATAGCCCAGGCTCGTTTGGCTGACATCTTCTGGGTTGCGCATCGCAGCGCTCCTATAGAGCCCGTGCCTGCATGTAGCGTGTGGGAGCAAGGATCGGAGGGTGGACGTGGATTCCCGCATCAGGGCTCTAAACGGCGCCCTGGGCCAGGGGCGTAAACCCCAACTCCGTCTTGAGCGCCTTGAGCCCCTTTTATGCTGTGCGCGCTTGCTAAAAAAACCCTAAGCCCTAAACCCTAAGCCCTAAGCCCTAAACCCTAAACCCTAAACCCTAAACCCTAAACCCTAAACCCTAAACCCTAAACCCTAAACCCTAAACCCTAAACCCTAAACCCTAAACCCTAAACCCTAAACAAAACACCCTAAACCCTAAACCCTAAACGGGTTTCTTCTGGTAGTCCACGCCGTCAGCTTCAACATTTGATTGGAGGTGAGCATATCACAACCTCTCCGGCTGTATGCCGATGACACCGGGCTCCTGACTCCTTCAAGACTGAATATCTGCAGACGTACTTCCCTCCAAAGTGCTGTGCATGGTTGCATGACAGAATTAGTGTGGATGCTCTAGGCCAAGAAAATTATCAATTGTCAAGTGCTAAGCAGCAGCCGGTGACTCGCTCCGATGGGGCATCGGCAACTGATGGGTCTGTGTGTGCGCCGCTCCGGTCACCACCGGAGGCTGTAAAGCTAGCACAAACCCCAGCGTTAGACCCCTGAAATCTTCAGCCTTATCAGGTTATGGCCTAAACCCTAAACCCTATATGCACTCCCCTTGCTTTTCGAAGCCCACAGTGCAGGCTGAGGCGGCGCAGGTCACCTCGGCCGCCGAGCCGCTGGTGGCAGCACAGGCGAGTTGTTTGGGGTTTAGGGTTTAGGGTTTAGGGTTTAATTAGGGTGTAGGGCTTAGGGCTTAGGGATTAGGGCTTAGGGTTTAGGGTTTTCTTGGGGACTCTATCTAGGACCCGAAGTAGGCCCTTGGTGCTTCTCATAAGGGAATTCTACTAATGAAAGGGTGGAGCAGAGGGTGTGACTTGTGGGAATGGAGTGGGGAGGTCGTTTTGGGGTTTGCAAGATGCTTGTCCTCCTGTTCTGCGCGTTCAGCCGGACATTGCGACACACTCGGAAACTTGTGAGCACCCTCGTGCAAGCATTCCTTACACAAATCCCAAAATTCTAAAATCCATTGGTGCCATAGAGAGCCTCCTTGATTTGGCAAGGCTGTTGTTAGGGCTCAAGCTTGGGGATGTAAATTCAAGTAGCTCGTGCCCAGAGTACGCCCTTAGTCCCTTCTTTCCTGGTTTAGGTTCCCTTATAAGCCCCTTTTAAACCAAAAGGATACCCTTTTTATTCTCTTGCCCGGGTCTAGAAAGCTTCGGGTTCGGAGATTTTTTAAGCGAAGTTTAAGGTTAAGGTTTGAGTGCAGAGACGGGCTTCGCCTCTCCAGCGCGCAGTTCTCCCCTGAGTGCGACTTGACTTCGCAGCCTGAACACCTAACACCTCAGCCTCAACCCAAACCCTAAACCCCAAACCCTAGACCCTAAACCCTAAACCTCAAGCTCAAACACTAAGCCCCCCCAACCTCAGGGCGAGGAGCTCATGAAGTTCGAGAAGCCCGCCACCGTCTCGGAGGAGTGATGCTTGAGCGAGCACCAGCTTGCTCGGGATTCTGTGTTCATGTAAGGAAGCTCGGGCTCCAAACTCATAGAGTTATCTTAGGTGTACTTGGAAATAGTTTTTACTTTGGGGGTACTATAGTTCCTAAGAAACAGCTAAAATTATGTTTTTTTGCTAGGGTTCCAAGTTCAGTATAGTTGTGCGCGTCGAAGGGGGGTTCGAGTCCCAAACGCATTCCGTTGCGAGGCTTTGAATGAAGTCTTCACGCCGATTCCGAGCCTACCCCCTCTATGGGGGTTACCGAAAACAGGGGTACCCTCTTGGGGGGGTCCCTTTAAGGGGATTCTACTCTATTTGGGGTATAAAAGGGGTACCTTTTTTTGGGGAAATGACTATATAGGTTAAGTTCAGGATCATCGCAAGCTTTTAAGATCTGAATCCAACTGTACAGGGGTCTGAACCCACAAGCCCGCCAAGCCTCAAAATATCTGCCACCCACGACCCGCGCACCGAGCATGTACGACGCGCACACTCTGGGATCACCCCCTAGACCCTAAACCCTAAACCCTAAACCCCAAACCCCAAACCCTAAACCTGAACCCTATAACCTAAACCCTAAACCCTAAACCCTAAACCCACATGACAGGAGGTGGAGAAGCTGGCGCCCGCGGCTGCTGCAGCCCTGTCCAAGGCCGATCCTGGGAGCTGTGCTACATCCGGACGGGTGGTGCTGACAGACTTTACGTTTTCACGACTCCAAATGAGTGCAGCCGTGCAGGTACGGAGCTTAGGGCTTAGGGCTTAGGGCTTAGGGCTTAGGGCTTAGGGTTTAGGGTTTAGGGTTTAGGGTTTAGGGCTTAGGGTTTAGGGTTTAGGGTTTAGGGCGGGATGATCGACATACCTTACAGCGGGAGTTTTCGTTCCTCAAGCGGCCGTGGCATGTGTTGCGGAAGCAGCACTCCTGCCGTGACAGATCAGGATCGAGAAGCCCAAGCCCTATAGGGACTAAAGCTAAAACACCCTTTTCAAGCAACGGTCTGGATTAACCAAATTGATGATTGTAGGTTGGCTAGGGCCTGCATACACGGGATACCCTGCAATTTTGGGCCTGGGTGGTCGTTCTGATTGAAAACCTTGGAAGTACCAGCATGAATGGAGTTTGGGGATTCTGGGCTGAGTGGGAACCCTACCGGCCCAAGCCCCGCATTCCCAAAGTCGCGACCGGAGGTCAGGACGTCATTGCTTTCGCAGACGAAAGAGATAAAGGCCAGCCAGGGCTGAGGGTCGAAGGTTCGTGGCTAGCTTTACAATGCGGTTACCGAAGGGGTCAAAGGAAGCGTTCTGCGTTAGAGTTCCTGGTGCTAGCCTCATTCAGGACTCGGGGGGTGCAAGGCCTTCCTGGGTTGTGTCTTCGGCCTCAGGTGTTGTAGGATGTCACTGACGCGTTGGGCCATTGTCTTGTTGTGTACACATACGTAGACACAGAGACACGCATACACATAAATGAATAAATAAATAAATATATATATATATACATCTACATATACCTATACATCTACATATACATATACATATACATATACACCTACATATATATATATATATATGTATACATACACATACAGATAGTATGACTGCTTCAGAAGTGGACCCATTAGTCCTAGAGACTGCGGGAGGCCTGGGCAAAGCATCAAGCAAGCTCCAAGCCCAGCCCTTGGGATGTTCCCCCCTTACACTAACAGCTCCGTAGTAGGGGCTACACATAGGGGGTACTAGAATAGGGATGACAATAGGGGGTACTGTAATCCCTATTAAGGGGCTGTTAGTATAAGGGGGAACATCCCAACCTAGACCCCTGAACCCAATCAAGTAGCTTCTGGAGAGGGTGAGTCGCAGGCGCAGGCACGTGAGCAACATGGCTTTTGCAAGGCCAAGAAGCCCTTGTAAACCTTGGCCTCTACCCAGGAGACAAAGCCACCCCGGACCGAAGAGCCTGACCCCAAAACCTAAATCCTCAACCCTCAACCCTAAACCAGAGCCCTAAACCCTAAACCCTAAACCCGCGCAGAGGCCCTCAAGGGGCCGCTAGCCGAGGCCGGGAGAGGGCTCGTCGGAGTGCTGTTTGGGGTTTGGGGCTTGGATTCGGGATTCCAGAGGTTTAGGGTTTAGGGTTTAGGGCTTGGGGTTTAGGGTTTAGGGTTTAGGGTTTAGGGTTTAGAGTTGCTTCCTATGAAGGTGCATATACGCCCCAGCACTCCCTTCTAACGCCTTCACCGCGCCTTTGAGGGAAGCCCTCGCCATGTCGAGTCACTTCACGGTTCATTCCCGCCAACAGGCAACCTCTGAGTCCGCACCCTGCGAAGGTTAGGGTCTTGGGGTGTATGTTTTTTGGGATGTAGGGTGAGGAGAGGATGCTAGGTCTCGGATTTGGTGCGTTTGGTTTTCAGACTTCTGAACCCCAAGGATTTTTCCACGCGCGGAACACCCCAAACCCTGCACCAACGTCCTCTTCTGAGCTGGAATTTGCAAGTGCGCCACGAAATGAGGGCCTGAAGCCACCTGCCTAAACCCTAAACCCTGAACCCTAAACCCATCCTCCACACCCTCAAGCCCTGGCATACCAGCAATGAGCCTTCCAGGGGTGTTTGGGCTTAGGGTTTAGGGTTTAGGGTTTAGGGACCCTTTTTCGCCCTTCCCTTCCTGCGCCAGGCTAGGAAAGAGCTGGCGAAGCTCATCATCAAGGCAAGTTTTAGGGCTTTAAGTTTAGGGTTTAGGGACTTAGGACTTAGGGTTTAGGGTTTACGGTTTAGGGTTTAGGGTTTAGGGTTTAGGGTTTAGGGTTTAGGGCTCTTAGCCTGGCTGGCTCTTAGTAGGGAAGGAAGGAAGGAGTACCCCATACAATCGCTTAAAGGGTATATATAGGGCCATCATTCCCTCATTTTTTCTACTAAGAAGCAGGGGTCGCCCCCGAGCCCTAAACCCGCAAGCTTCCTCAGCCGACAGAAGACAGCCCGGGGGAGGGGGGGGGAGGGGGCTGTGCCTTTTCCCTGTTTTGGTTCAAGGTTCCCATCAAACTAACCAAGCCCAAAAAGGGCGCTGACCCCCGAACGAGAGCTGCAGCCTTCGCTCTCGCAGCTGGCCCTTATTACAAGATGGTTACTGGGCTACCAAGACAAGCATTGTCGGAGCTGGCTGTGATCTGTGGTTTAGGGTTTAGGGTTTAAGGTTTAGGGTTTAGGGTTTAGGGTTTAGGGTGTTGGGAGGGGGGAGGGAAGTCTTCGGCGAGCCTGGGAACCACCTCAGCATCTAGCCGTGGATGTCACTATAACTGGCACCCCTTAGATCTCTGGATTGTCTTACACCGGGTGAGTTTCCACTTCTTTTACACGTGGACCAATGCCTCAGCAACGTAAGGGCATGCATCTTGGAACCAGTGGCGGTTTGGGATTTTGAAGATTTCAAAAGTCCGTATGCCCCCAACCTGAGACTAAACCATATACCCTTTCAGGGATTATGTAGGACCCTCTTTCCCTCACTCCCTACGAAGAACCAGGGGGTCAAGCTCCCCCAGTGGGTGTGTGAGGTGGACGCTGCGCAGAAAAAAGTCGCGGCCGCCAAGCAGGCTCCTGGGGTGTTTTTGTGTTTGACGTAGGGTATATAGTGACTTCTCTAATTTGTGTTCTTTTTGGGTACCCCGAATATTAGGGGCCGCCTGAAAAAAAGTAACTACAAAGGCGAGCACAAGTTGGAGAAGCGACAATGTAGGGGTTTTGGAGTGAGTTTGTATTGGGAAGGTGTTTTTTGGTCTGAGCCTCCGGGGTAGACGTGTTCATGCCATTGCTGAAGGGATTGTCTTATAGATGCAGATTCTTGCTGATGGGGCTTAAACAGCTGGTTTCCGGAAATGGTGAAAACTCCCTAGACCCTAAACCCTAAGCCAAAGCAGTGCCAGGCATTTTGGGGGTCATGAGCCGCTAGAGCATTGCGAGTGGAAGGGGATATCTGTACGGAAAGGGGGAGCTGCTTTGCAATAGAGGGCGTCGGCTCCGCGTTCGGGCTCCACGTTTAGGCTTTGAAGTTTGGCGGTAAGGGCTTAGACTCCATGTGGGTTAGGGGTTAGGGTTTCAGGGTTCAGGGTTCAGGGTTTAGGGTTTAGGGTTTAGGGTTTAGGGAGCGGGTTGTAGCACCTTGACACCCCAATCGTAAGTCCTATAAGCCCCGCCCGCAGAAGACCAAGAAACAAAAGCAGCGCTTTGGTCTTTTGCTGCTTCTTCAGGCAGCCGAGGCTGCGTGTAAGACCATCTGCGAGGCTGGCAATGTACTGGGGAGGTAGGGCTTTCGGAGTTGTAGGGCTTGGCAAGGTACTCAGGGTCTTGAGGGCTTGGATTTCAGAACTGCTGGGCTTAGGGCAAGAATTGGAGATTTCTAGAACAGCCTTGCCCTAAACCCTAAACCCTAAACCCTAAAACCTAAACCCTAAACCCGTACCTCGCGCCTTAAGCCGCGGCCAGCGCAAGCAAAGTCTCTTCACTGGCTGAGAGACCTACACATCGGCTCTGTCTCTGGTTTAGGGTTTAGGATTTAGGGTTTAGGGTTTAGGGTTAAGGGTTGAGGGTTGAGGGTTGAGGGTTGAGGGTTGAGGGGTAGGGTTTAGGGTTTAGGCTTTAGGCTTTAGGGTTTAGGGTTTAGGGAACCCTGGCCCTGTACCCGAAGCCTTTTAATATCCCTTGTTGTTTAGTATGGAGCACTAATTCCAAATAATTTTGGGGGACTGTTGAAATCGACACCTAGTACATGCCCTAATCCCGAAACCCGCTAAAACCCTGAGCCCTAAACCCGACTAAGCCCTTGCCAAACCCTACCAAACCCTGAGCCCGGAACCCGGAAACATAAATCCTAGTTGCGGTTTTCGGCGAGGTAGTCCCTAGACCCTGATTCTAAACCTAAACACTATAAAGCTCTACCCTGTAGAGCCCTAACCTTGAACCCAAAACCCTGAACCCTTAAACCCTAGACCTAAACCCAAAACCCAAAACCCAAAACCTTAACCCCAAAACCTTAACCCCAAACCCTAAACCCTAAGCCCTAAGCCCTAAGCCCTAAACCCTAAACCCTATCATGGAGCGCCTGCATCGATTGTTGCGGCCTTCCCGCCAGAAGCTCGTCTTACGGCCCGTAAAAATCTTCAGTCTTTAACCCTACTTGGAGGTTTAGGGTTTAGGGTTTAGGCTCTAGGGTTTAGGGTTCATGGTACTTCTTAACCCATTTATGACTGTACTTATAGCACAGTTATAACCTTATTGGGGCACTTAAGGGGCTCATAAGTGGGTTGTAAGTACAGTAAGAACTGGTACGTACCATGAACCTCCAAGTATAGATCCTTTTATAAGACAACAGCGGGCCATCCTCGAGCCTTCCTTGCACGCCAGGCAGCAGATGCCAAGGCTTCGACAGCGCTTCGTACCGAGGCGGGGATGGATAGAGGAAGAGAGGGGTAGGATGTAGGGTTTAGGGTTTAGGGGTCCAGGGTTCAGGGTTTGGGATTTAGGGTTTAGGGTTTAGGATTTCATGGATTCAGGATGCCGACATGGCGTCTTTCCAAAACACGTCACAGGGCAGAAGGGCAGAGAGGGCAGTGTGCCATTTGCAGGGACCGTCAGAAGGGGTCCCCGCTTGATCATCAAGCCCACCATGGCACCACGGGTGATCCCAGCAGCACGTGTACCGGCTCTGGCACACGGAAGGAAGAGGCCCCTGCATGAGGAGACAGTCATCATCATAGACCAGGCTGTGGATTCAGGGCCAGAACCTGTAGTTGAGCCAGGCTCAGCCGAGGAGGTACCTGCCTCAGCTCCGCAGCTTGTTGCGTAGAGGCACCACCAGCAGGAGGATGCCATCAATGAGTATCTGATGGTTGTGCATGAAATGCTTGTGATGAAAATGAAGGAGGACGGCATCAAGCTGACTGCCAAAGCCCAAACCGAGTTCTACACCTTCAAATCGAAGGGTGCAAAAGTGATGCTGGTTTGGGAAATACTCCGTGCAGAAAAGCTTGAAGACCTGCCAGTTGGCATGACGCATCAGTGCAGCTGGCGCGAAAGCTTCACGTTGTGGATGTCAACGGTTGGGAATACGAAGCGGATTTCTATTCGTGGATCTCCCAGCTGGCAGGCGACATCAGCAGAGCTTACGTATCCACCATCTCGACGTGGGTAGACGCGATGAATAGCCGACATCAGCAGCAAAGAATGATGCAGAGGCCGTAGCTCCAGCACTGCTTGCACAAGCAGCAGTTCTGCAACCAATAGTTTCACAGGTGGATTGCGGAGATAGGGCAGGGTGCCACGAAAGGGCAGGGTGTGCGAAAGGCAGGGAGCAGCGTGCCACGAAAGGGCAGCGTGCCAAACGTTCCAGCGCGCCGCGCCTTAAACTTTTTCTCAGTGTGAGATTCAGGGACAGTGCCAAAAGGCCTGCGTGGTGATCTTCAAAATGATGCCCTGATGATTGCTGCATACTATCTTGCACGCATAATGGCCTAAAGGCACAATCCAGCCGGACCACAGACATAGACATTTTGCTCTCAAGTAAGGGCCTTCGTCTGTGTCAGCTTGCCTTCCTTGCCTGACTGTGCCATGGCTATGCTTGAACTGATTATGTTGCTGTGAGTTGCTGCAAATCGAGATTCTTGACAGTTCTGAGGTGTGTGAAGAATAACTGTCCTTGCAGTCATTAATTGAATGGCCGAAGTTTCCTCTTGCCATCCAGCATCAAGAACGGATTCAGGGTATATTGCTGTATAAGCAAGAATATTTTTGTTTTTTATTTGGGGGGGCTCTTCAGCAAATAGTAGGTTCGGGTTCAGCAGGGGTTGTAGCGAGACGGAGGTTTAATCCAGCTTGAGATTCAAGTCGTTTACTTTCGAGTGTAGACAGCGGGTTTCAGGAGATTGCGCCTTGAACTTGCTGGCCTTCTTAAGCTTTGCTGCGTGACCAGGGCACTACCGAAACGTTTTCGGGTTCCGCTCTGGCCTGCTGTCCAACTTGCAGACGGGTTTTTGCAAGGGCAAAGGACACACACACACACACACACACACGACCCTGCAGGCCTTCAGCCCAAAACCTAGTCTACTCTGAAGCTCCCAGAACGCCTGAGAACATCTTTAATGACCACGAGAGGCCAGTCTAGCAGAGAGCCCCGAACAACTGCCGTAGTCAACACGTCGCAGATGCTCATGATGCACGGCGCTGGTCGTCCGAGGGCCGTCCACAAAGCAGCCCCATCCATCCGGCATTCCCTTTTAAGAAATTTGCTTCCTCCCTTGCTGCTTTCAGAAGAGACCCAAGCTGCAAGCCCAAGCTTGTCCAGTTCCACCAGTGTGCTACCTGCCCTTTCGCAGAGTCATGAAGACGCCCTCCTAGACCTAAACCCTAATCAACCCAAAGCCCCTAAACCCGAAACCCGAAACCCTAAACCCTAAACCCCAAACCCTAAACCTTCAACCCTGAAGAATCACCCACAAGGGCTTCTCAATCCCCAGGCGGCTGAGAAGGGGGTCGGTGCGGAAGAGCTCTTTGTGGAGTTGGCGGGTGCAGGCCGGCTTTAGGGCACTGTAGGGTTTAGGGTTTAGGGTTCAGAGTTTTCACGGTGTTTTGAGGCCCTTCGCCCGAAACCCTGCGCAGAAGGGAGCTGACCCTGTCCACGCAGGGGTGTGCCTTGCCTGGCGCCTTGAGGTACTATAGGGGCCAGAAGAAATACAAATAGTACTCCCTGAATTATGGCCCCAATATAAATACACTGTACTAACCCCCAAAACCCTGTGCCAATTATTAAGGCCCCGAAATTCGTTGCGCTTGGATCCACAATGCGGATCTCTGAAACAGAAACTGAGCGCTGAGATCTCTCCATCCGAAGCCAACTTCACTCAACTCCTTCAACCCGAAGCTACCTTTGTCGGGGAAGAGAGACCCTAAACCCTAAACCCTAAACCCCAAACCCTAAGAGAGACTTGTGTGCAGGCAACAGCACGCTGTCCCACGAGGCGCTCTGCAAGCGCCCGGGACCCAGGCACGATCTGAGGACGGCTTAGGGTTTAGGGCTTAGGTAGGGTTTAGGGTTTAGGTCTTAGGGTTTCGGGCTTAGGGCTCAGGGTTGAGGGTTTAGGGTTTGTTTAGGAATTTGGGATTGGGGTTTAGGGCTTCTTGTTTAAGGGCACTGAAGGGCTGCAAAATTTCATTCACCCCCCGTGGTTAGGATTCCCCGGCCGTGCGGTCCATGCAGGACATCTGCATCTACTACTATTTGCACAAGAACCCCCCCCCCCCCCAAATGTAAAAAAATAATCCCTAGATTGCCCTTATAAGGAAGAATATTTGATGTTTTTTGGGGGGTTCTTACGCAAATAGTGCGAGTGCAGGGACCGAAGGGCAGGAGAATTTCGGGTAGTTTTGGTCCCGTCCCGCGTGGCCTTTGAATTCAACTTTGGCCGGCTTGGAATTCTTTTCTGCTTATTCCGAATGAACTTGAAGGTTGATTCATGGCCACTTGTTTAGGGTTTAGGGTTTAGGGTATAGGGTTTCAAGCTGACCTACATCATAACAATCATTTGAAAATACTCGCGCTTTTTGGCAAGATGCTGGGAACCTCTCAGTGCTCACGGATTGCGTTCAACCCTGATTATCCTGAACCCTCTAAGCCCTAAACCCTAGCCCTAAACCCTAAACCCAAACCCTAAACCCTAAACCCCCTAAAACCCTAAAAAGCCCTAAGACATGTCCATCGGCTCCGAGACTGGATCTCCACAACCTCACAGCGCAACCACAACCGCAAGACCCCAAACTTCAACACCCCACAGACCGGTCACCCCTAGACTCAAAACCTGAACTATTTCCTTAAGAACCCCCCCCAAAAAAAAAAATACATAAAAGATAAAAGAATCTTCCTGAAAAGGGCGATATAGGGATCATCATTTTCTTTTTTTTTTTTTTTGGGGGGGGGGGGTTCTTAAGCAAATAGACGTCTTGCAGCACCCCGGCGCTCACCGGGTACCCGCAGGGCCAGATCTGCGATGCATCGCAGCCGTTTTGGGGCTTAGGCTCGGGGGAATTCTAGGGCTTTAGGCTTTGGGGTTGGCACCTGAACCCTGAACCCTGAACCCTGAACCCTAAACCCTAAGCAGGTTTCACAGGGTTTGGGATTCTGGCTCCAAAAAGTGCGCCACCCATGAAATCGACTGCCCGCTAGCAAGGCCGCTCTTATTCAAGAGGTCGGGGTTTAGGGTTTGGGGTTTGGGGTGTAGGGTTTAGGGTTTAGGGTCTAGGGTTTAGCCTGTGAACGGTTTTTAAGGGATCTTCCCCTAAATCCCTAAGTCACCACTAAGGGTCCCTCCTTTGGTCCCTTGAGTCCTTCGGTTCAGAACCTCAAGTTCCATAGCCCAGAAACCCTCAAATCCGTCGACCCCTGAAGCCTGTGTTTTGAACTGCACACCGGCTGAGGCTTGCTTGCCATCAAAAGCCTTGAGATTGCCGAGGAGCATGCGAAACTCGTGTGCCGCAAGATTGAGGCCAAGCCCACAATGCACAGAGCATGCGCTAATCATGACTGCAGGCGGGCTCAATCTCAGCCCTCATCAGCATGACGCAGTTTAGGCCTCATGCCTGCGGAACGCCTGAAGCCTTACATGCTTGACTAGATGAACAGGCGCCCACCATCAGCAAGCGAAGCTTCTTGGGCTTTGTCCAGCGATACTACGTGGTGACGTCCGCAGATGGCTCAGCTTCAATGTGTCACAATAAGAACATGCCTCTCCCCATCTAAGCCAATGAGGGACAGAGGTGGCGTTGTAGGCAGACAGCTCAGTTTTCATGAAGGGCACTGCGTGGCTTTGTAGAGATCTCCACGGGCCGGGGGCAGTGCACTCGAAGAAGTGCCATATAGATGCAGTCGTGGCAGGTTTGTCTGAGAGGCACAGTGCGCAGAGTCCTACAAAGTCTTCAACCCTAAACCCTAAACCCTATAAACCCTATAAACCCTATAAACCCTATAAACCCTATAAACCCCCTAAACCCTAAACCCTGAACGACTTTGAAGCCCTGAGCTCGCCCTGTGGCCCCTAGAGGGTCTCGGGAAGTTCAGGCTTGGCGGAGCCCCGCGGTTTCGGGACCTCTCAGGTGTCAGGGTTTTCAGTTGCCGGGGCTTTGCAAGTGGGGCTTTGCGAGGGAATCTCCTCCAAATAAGGCTTTGAGGAAGACTAAATCCCTAAGCCTTCAGGCCTAAAGCGGGCTCGGGGGCGGTCACAGCTTTTTGTTACTTCGGAATCTTTGGGTTTGGGGTTGTATTGCCTTAGGGTTTAGAGCGCAAGGCACAGGTTTGTTTTTTCAGAGTTCAGCTCCACCCCCCCCCCCCCCCCCCCCCCCCCCCCCCCTACCCCCTCCCCCCCGCCTCCCCCGATGTTCCCCCTGAGAATAACAGTTCTTAAAAGAACAGGGGAATACCATAATCCCTATTAAGGAGCTGTTCGCATAAGGGGGGAACATCCCAACCCCAAACCTTCGACAAAAAACGGCCCTCATAAAGCCGAAAGCCCATCGTCTTGGCGCGGAGGTCATCGCCATCACCTCAGAGTTCGAGATTAGCAAGGCCGGCATGCTAAATCACTCTACGTTTCAACTAAATCCTTAAACCCTAAACACTAAACCCCAAACCCTACACCCTAAACCAAACTCCCCAAGCCCCAAGTCCCTGAGCCCTTGTGACTCAGGACTCGGTGTGCAGAAATGTCCCCTAAACCCTAAACCCTAAACCCTAGACCCTAAACCCTAAACCCTAAACCCTCGTAGAGTTTGGGGCTTGAGCTGCAAGTATTGCTGCGCCGTAGCTGGGATGTTGCTGTTTGGGAACTCTGGGGCCCCGAGTCTACTAGGTTTAGGGTTTAGGGTTTAGGGTTTAGGGTTTAGGGTGTAGGGTATCCTGGTCCATAAGATTGTGAGCTCTGCACATTCCACAGTTTCCTCCAGGTCCTCAGCCTCAAACACTTAGTAGCTGAGTAAAATAACCTTTAAGACCTTTGGGGGAGAAATATAACATCTAGCCAGAATTGAGAGGTTAGCCTGTTTTTGGGCCAGGGTACTCAGCAACCAGGAATGAGCCCCTAAACCCTAAACCCTAAACCCTAAACCCTAAACCCTAAACCCTAAACCCTTTTTGGGGCCAGGGTACTCAGCAACTAGTAACAAGATATCTCTGGAAGCCCCGCTCGACCTGCAAGGCCAAGACGCTCAGAAAGGCTCGTTGCTGGTCGAAGTCGGGTTTTGGGTTTAGGGTTTAGGGTTGGGGTTTAGGGTTTAGGGTTTAGGGTTTAGGGTTTAGGGTTTAGAGTTTAGGGTTTAGGGTTTGGGGTTTGGGGTTTAGGGTTTAGGGTTTAGGGTTTCGGGGACCCCACCTCCCCACCTGCCGGGTGTTTTGGACATGAGGCCCAGTAACCCTGTGCCTAGGTCGAGGGGTCTGCAGTCGAGGTGTGGGGTGATCAGGCTACAACTTTCGTTTTATGTAGTGTCGAGGGGCATAACAATACAGAATAATATGGGTGGCTGTCAAAATTCTGGTCCCTTTTTGGATCCCTATTCTACTACGGCACCTATATTTAGGGTACCCCAAAAGGGATCACAATTTGGACAACCACCCATTTGGATGAGATTCCGTCCGCCCGAGGGCGTCGGTTTTGCTCAGAAAGATCCACTTGGCTGAGACCTGGCTCCCCCAGCCAGCACTTCCAGTAGACTGAAGCTTGAGGGTTTAGGGTTTAGGGTTTAGGGTGTAGGGTTTAGGGTTTAGGGTTCGGTGACCACGAAAACTCGAAAGGCCCTAAACCCTGAATCCTAAAAGCTAGAAAGGGCTACAGGCCCCCATGACCCGAAGTCCCAGAACCAGACCTGCTCTAGCCCAAGCCCACTGCAGGCCGATGTAGACGAAATCTTCGAGATTCTCGAGGCTACCGGGGACGGCGGGGGGGGAGGGAATTCGGACTAATTTGGGGGGATCACGGGTGATGAACTGAGAACTGGAACTGCGAGTTTCCAGAGTGCCTATGATAATTCGTCAGGTTTAGGGTTTCGGGTTTAGGGTTAAGTTCAGGGTTTGGGGTTCGAGCCCGGTTTGTGTGAGCGGTGCAACCACAACCAAGCGCACGGGACAAACATTTGAAGATTGCCTGGCTCGATGCATTGTCGTGGAAGGCAGGCGTCGATGAAGGGGAACTGTTTAGGGTTTAGGGTTTAGGGTTAGCAACAGAACGGAACGGACTGACTTGGCGCGGAGCGGCTTGCCCGTTTTCAGCGGTTTCAGAAAGGGATCTTGAAACAACCGCTTTTTGCGAAGATGTTTTCAGAACAGGCCTTAGTAGTAGAGTAGGTAACCTTTAACATTTTGGGTTAATATATATATATATATATATAAATATATTCCCCTTATAATCCCAAAGGTTAACCTTTCAAATCTCTAGGTACTGGACAACTAAGAGGCTTTTGAAACAGAGGGTTTACCCAGCACCTCCGTTGGAGGAAAGGAATGAACAGGAGCTTCGGATTCAAGAAAGGGACAGATGCAACAGTTCGGCCGCAGACCCCTCGACGGGAATTCATTAAATGCACCCCTCAACATGACGCTCGGGAGGCATCGTTTCCGGATTTGGTTCAGGTTTCTTCAGTTTAAAACAAGGAATCGATGCCTGAGGCTGGCTCAGGAGATTAAGATCTCGCAGTTTTGAACTTGCTCCGGACGGCTCAGGCCTTACCAACTTGTGATTTTCGCGCTGAATGGAAAAAACCTCTCAGCCAGCTCTGCTGAAAATTCAAGAGACTCTCTACCATGCGGTCTCTGATTTATTTGAAAAGAGCTCACAGCAAGATCTCCTCAGCATTTTTCGGGGTAACTTTGGCACATCGTTTCCTCCCGTGGTGCCCCGTTTTCTGACCCTTCGACACAAGCACTTGGGCAAGATGCCCGGCCCAGTTTTTGATTATCAGCAACCGCTTTGTTGGCACAACTCCCCTGTTCAAGCCTGAAGTCGCTCTCCCTAAAGTCCCCTAGACCCTAAACCCTAAACCCTAAACCCTAAACCCTAAACCCTAAACCCTAAACCCTGAACCCAACGTCTCAGCCCAGATGGGCAGCTCTCCCGCTTGCACAGGGGCCGCGGTCCGATGAGAAGCTCGGTGTCAACCGCGTTCGCGGAAGGCGCAGGGTTTGGGGTCTCAGGGTTTAGGGTTTAGGGTTTAGGGTTGAGGGTTGAGGGTTGAGGGTTTAGGGTTTACAGGGTTGCTTGCTTGTGTGAAAGTCACGCCAGGATCTGGGCTATAGATGTCAGCATGGGGTTTGGGTTTAGGGTCTCGGTGTCTTAGGGTTTGATGTTTACGGTTTTGAGAAAAAGGCTTAAATCTCCGAACCCTAGACAACCTGGGTTTAGGGTTTAGGGTTTAGAGTTTAGGGTTTAGGGTTTAGGGTTTAGGGTTTAGGGTTTAGGGGTTAGGGTTTAGGGGGTTTAGCGTAAAATCTCCCGGCCGCAGGTCTCTTGTCGACTCCACAGAGGGCTGGCTGAGCATCAAGGGCAACCAGGCGCAACGGGCTCGGGTTTGGGGTTAAGGGTTTAGGGTTTAGGGTTTAGGGTTTAGGGTTTAGGGTTTAGGGTTTAGGGTTGGGTCTATAGGGTTTAGGGTCTGTAGGGTTTAGGGTCTGTAGGGTTTAGGGTCTGTAGGGTTTAGGGTTTCGGGTTTGTGATTCGTGCTCTTCCAGGGCTCCACCTTCCGGATGTTCGGGGCCAGGCAGCTGATGCAGGATGCTGGGCCAAGATCCGGCATGTGGGAGCCCTGAATCTTCCACGATGTAGCCCCAAACCCTATAGACCCTAAAACACAGCCTTTTGAACCGTACGCGTTGGGGACGCAAGGTTCGTAGAATGTAGAGTGCGCAGTCGCAACTGCAAGCCGCTGGGTTTTAGGGTTTGGGGTTTTGGGTTTAGGGTTTAGCTCCCGGAGTGCTCTGGAATTCCTGCCTGCATGCAGGGCTCTATCTTCCTCAAAGAGGCGGAGAAGCCATTCTACACCGTCTGCGGGACGGAGGAGGCCGGCATGCCCCTGAAGCCTAAACCCTAACCCTAAACCCTAAACCCTAAACCCTAAACCCAAAACCCTAAACCCTAAACCCTAAACCCTAAACCCTAAACCCTAAACCCTAAACCCTAAACCCTAAACCCTAAACCCTAAACCCTAAACCCTAAACCCTAAACCCTAAACCCTAAACCCTAAACCCTAAACCCTAAACCCTAAACCTAACCCTAAACCCTAAACCCTAAACCCTAAACCCTAAACCCTAAACCCTAAACCCTAAACCCTAAACCCTAAACCCTAAACCCTAAACCCTAAACCCTACGCGGCGCTCTTATAGACCGCGGACCTTAGGGCTCAAGGGCTCGGGGAAACAACGCCGCCCTCACCCCGAAAAGCCTAAACTTGAAAACCGTCAAGTCGGAGTCCCCTTGTAAGCCCTGAGTTCTTGCTCCGTGCAGGGTTTAGGGTTTAGGGTTTAGGGTTTAGGGTTTAGGGTTTAGGGTTTAGGGTTTAGGGTTTAGGGTGTAGGGTGTAGGGTGTAGGGTTTGGGATTTAGGGCGGAGGACTCTCAGTCCTCAAAACCTTCCACACGAAATCCCCCTTTCCGCTACATCCGCAACCTCCAAGCCCCAACATACGAAAGCCCTGGAGGGTTTAGGGTTTCGGGCGGTTTAGGATTTAAGGTCTAGGGTTTCAGGTGTAGGGTTTCAGGTTTAGGGTTTAAGGTTTAGGGTTTAAGGCTTAGGGTTTAAGGTTAGGGTTTAAGGTTTAGGGTTTAGGGTTCAGAGCCCTAAATCCCCTAGCGCTTCATTTCAGGTTCCACTTGGTCCCAGCTTCAAAGTTGGCGAGGGCGAGGCAGTCCGCATGCTGAAGAGCGGTGAGGCCGGTTCGTTCAGTTTTGTGTTGGTGCTGCTTCAGGAGTTAGGGTTTAGGGTTTAGGGTTTAGGGTTTAGGGTTTAGGGTTTAGGGTTTAGGGTTGCGAGGCTTAGGCACCTATCTCGGGCTTGGGATCCAGGATTATATTTTTTTAGGATTTACTGGGGCCTGCACCGGCACCGGCTCCCTTTTTTTCCCCATGAAACAACAATGGGCCCTACACCTTCAACCCTAAACCCTCAGCCCTAAACCCTAAGACCTCAACCCTAGACCCTAAACCCTAACTAGTTGGCTCTTAAACTCTGCGTTGAGGTTCCTGGGGGGATGGATAGATGTTGGCTTGACTCCCAATCAAGAGCTCGAGGCTTTCAAGCATCGGTCAAGATCCTCCATGGGGGGGAGGAGGGCGTTCCTTCCTGTTCAAGGACTTGGGTTTTGGAGTACATTAGGGTTGTGGGTCTAGGGTTGGAGGGTTCAAGGGCCTATGCTTGAGGGTTTTCAGCTTGGACTGGAGAAGTTTTACAGCAGAGGCCTCTGAAAACGAATCCCTCACCTTAGACTTAGACACCCAAAACTATTGAACCCTAAACCTAAACGCTAAGCCCAAGCCCTGAGTACCTCAAGCGCCCTAAACCCCAAACTCTAAACCCTAAACCCTAAACCCTCAACCCCTTTGTGCTGCCAGGTCATGGAGATGCTGGAAGGACCCAAGAAGGAGCCGGAAAACTTCGCAACACCTCTGAACCTCATCAGGTTAGGATTTAGGGTTTAGGGTTTAGGATTTAGGGTTCAGGGTTTAGGGTTTAGGGTTTGGGGTTTGGGGTTTAGGGTTATAGTATTTGGGTCTTGGAGTACTATGCTTTAATGTACTTGGGCTAGAATCAGAATTTCTCAAGACTTAGCCCTAAACCCGAAACTCTAAACCCAAAACCCTAAACCCTCAACCCCTCAAATGTCGAGAAGCCTCAAGCCCCGTTCCACCGACAGTCTCGTGGCGCTGATGCCGTGAGCACTACTTGTTAACCAGCTAGAACTGTGCTTCTAGCCCACTTATGAGCCCCTGAAGTGCCCTAAGAAGGTGAAAAACTGGGTGCATGAACCTCCGAGTAGAGGGCTTAGGGTGTAGTCTTTCAAGCCGACCTGCGGCCACGCTTGAAGGAGTGTGTCCCGGTTGTTAGCGTGATGAAGGGTATCTGCTCCTATCCCTTCCCACCTAGCACCGGGCCTAAACTCTGGACCTAAGCGTCGAAACCCTAAACCCTAAACCCTAAACCCTAAGCCTCATCAGCATCGCTGAGCTGAGAGTTGCAGTTGGGGTTTGGTGACTGAGGAGCCGGGACTCAGAATCGCCGGTGGTCGCTTCAGGGGTTCAGTGTTTGCGAGAGGCTTTAGGGTTTAGGGTTTAGGGTTTGATTATGAGCTTCTCATTCGTAGGGTTTCCAGGGTTTTTGGGATTTATTGGTTGATAGGCTTCAGTTGAGTGAGAAACTTCTGCAACCTCACTCCATTGCGCCCGCCGTTGGAAGCTTCCCCCGTGAGGAGACCTTCCCACCAGGACTCCGTGCGAAGTGCCAGGCAAAGGGTACGGCGGGATGTGCGTTTTCGCCTGAAGGGGTTGCTTTACTGTTCAGGGTTGTGGGGATAGGCCAGGACATATACATGGCTTCTAAACCCTAAAACCCTAAACCCTAAACCCTCTGTACAGCTTATGGTATCATGAGCGGAGCCTAACGGCAACCCATCGAAAGCTCGGTCCTCTACCGGTTTGTTGGTCTCGCTCTTTCCGCAGACTCTCAAACCCCAACCTCTTCCAAGGCTTCGTCCTTGTACCTCGACCCCATCTTTGAAAGATCGCCTGCTAGTTGGGTCTTGGGACGGGAGCTATGAGGGGGTTTACGACATCAGGGGTACCTTATTGGTGTCCTTGTTATAAGGGGGGATCCTACTGCCGTATTTGGGGGTCTATATTGGGGGAACCCTAAACCCTAAACCCTAAACCCTAAACCCTAAACCCTAAACCCTAAACCCCAATTGTGATTCCCCAGAACAACCCTCACACCGGCGAGTCGAACTGTCTTCAGGCTCTGTCAGACAAAGCAACCGGCTGGCTGAGCATCCGGGACAAGCAGGCGGCATGGCCCCCCTAACTGAAGGCGGAAACACAAGGGATCTAGGCCATCTAGGGTTTAGGGTTTAGGGTTTAGGGTTTAGGATTTAGGGTTTAGGGTTTAGGGGTTTGGGAAGGTTTTTTGGTTCAGGGTTGTTGAGTTGCCAGCTCCTCCCTTCCTCGGCCTGGGATTCTGGGCGGTCCTGCCTTTTGCCAAAACCTCGATACATGGGGAACATCCCAACCAAAACCTCGATACTTAGCCTTGCGAATACTATAGGGGTCGATTTAAATGATGCTGATAGTCTTCCCGTCCCTATAATAACCCCCCTCCCCCCTAAACCCTAAACCCTAAACCCTAAACCCTAAACCCTATAGTAAATATACAATAATAACTCCCAAAACCCTGTTGTAATGTGAAGGTTGGGATGCCTGGAAGTTATGAAAGTGTCACGTGGGGTCATAAGGGATCCGTAAGAGTTCCCTTGTACGAAGCCTGAGGACCTGGGTGGGGTTTAGGGTTTAGGGTTTAGGGTTTAGGGTTTAGGGTTCAGGGTTCAGGGTTCAGGGTTCAGGGTTCAGGGTTCAGGGTTTTACTAGACCCCCGGCTCGTTCCATCAAGACTCATCAGCCCTGGCAGGGAACTGTTTTTGCCGAAGGCGAGGGCAAGTTCTACACCTGTGTGTCGACGGCGGATGCCTCGGCCAGGGCAGCCGGGCAACGTCAGGGCTTAGGGTTTAGGGTTTAGGGTTTAGGGTTTAGGGTTTAGGGTTTAGGGTTTAGGGTTTAGGGTCATTTCTCAACCTGGAGGTTGGCCCTGGGACTGAAGGGCCATCCTTGATCAGGTGCTTGGGTTTCCTGGGGTTGAAGGGGACTGGTGACTGCTAGCAGATCCCCTGAAAATTGAGGTTCAGGTTGACTCTGTATCACGCTCCTGGGTGCCGGACTTTAGAACGAACAGACCATGACTTGGCATAGGAGTCCAGCTTCTGACAGTTTACTGTTGGTTAGTCGGGAATGGGGGCATGGGGGGAATGGGGCACCCTAAATAATCCCTTAAAGGGCAGAATCTACAGGGCCCTATGTAATCCCTGAAAGGGTACATATAGGGCCCTAATGCCATCAGTCCCTTCTAACCAACGGTAAGACAGTAGTCAAGTAGAGGGTTGAAGCTAAACCCTAAGCCCTAAGCCCTAAGCCCTAAGCCCTACGACCTACGCCCTACGCCCTAAGCCCTAAGCCCTATATAAGCCCTAAGCCCTAAGCCCTAGCAGCAAAAGTGCGAGCCAAAGCAGCCTAAAGCCTTCAACCCTGTGCTGCACATGTGAGGCCACACGAAGCTCGAACGTCCCAACATCCAAAACGCGCAGGTCTTTGATTATTCTGCTTCCTATTATTGTCATGAATTATTGTTACTATTATCAGAATATAAATTATTTTCATTCTTTTCATTATTACGAAAGCTGGAGCCTGCATCCTCAGGCCATTGGCCTTAAGCCCTCGCCCGCAACATGCCAAACAAGCCATCCAAGCATTCAAAACCAGGAAGAAAAAACCATCTGTTCCCCCCAGAAACCTTAAGCCCACAATTGTGGAGGTTGCGATTACAGACAACCTGGACATCAAGGACTGCAAGGCGGGCCGGGCGCGAGAGGAGGTTATAGAGGAGTACCGCCTTTCTTGCTGGCGGGGGTCTCAACTCTGGACCCCATCTCCCTGCCATCTTGGGTGGGGTTTCAACGCTTGGGGCTTCAGAGTTTGGGATTTGGGCTTGTGGTGGTTCAGGGCCTTGGGAGGTTTGGATTGGAGCTTTTAGTTTAACAGTTTACAAGAAATTAGGAGGTCTTGCGATGTTGGGGCAATAGTGGCGAAGTGAAGTCAACAACCTAAATCCTCTCAAACAACACAGGCCTCAAAAACCTGCCTCACCTGGCCCTCTAAGCCCGCCCAACAGAGCCGAAAATTCTCTCACAAGCCACAACTCTCGAGATCATCAAGAAGCTGCAAGTGGGCGACCTTTTTGCCGTGGAGGAGGGCCCCGTGGTTCAGGAGGCCGTGTTGGGGGAATGGCTGGGGGAAGGGGGTGGAGGGGTAGGACCATAGCTTTGATTCTTCAGGGTGTCATGGGTTTAGGCGTTCTAGGAGGAGCGTATGCGATCGGATCATCTGAGCTTTGGGGGGGCCTCTCCTGAAGGGTTCTCAGCTCAAGCCCGTTCCGCTTCAAAAGTTGTGCTTCTAGGCGGGCCCCACCATCTGAAGAATCCGCCGTGTCGCCATGCATGGGTCATGAGGTTCTAGGTTTCAGTTGGTGACGGCTGTCGGATTCTCAAGGGTGCAAGGGGCTAGCATTGAACGGGTTGAAGGACGTTCGATATTTCGGCTGGCCTTCGATCGAGGCCCTATACCAGAAGCCCGAATCCAGGTAGTCCCTTGGGACATCTATGTTTTCCCTTGCGGTGTTCACGAGGATCATATTCAGGAATTTTTCCGAGGGTTTTCAGCGAAGGGACTGAAGGAGGGACCCTTATAAGGCACCTTAGCCTTAATTTAGGGTTTATTTAGGGGCTACTTAGCTAGATACGGACTATATACAGTAAATATGGGGGTTACATAGGGGAAGAAGGGTCCCTTCTAGGGGTCCCTCCTTATACCCCTTGATTCAGGGCCATCCCAGGAACCCTTTCTCTCGTCCTCAACCCTAAACCCTAAACCCTAAACCCTTTTCAGGGCCAATCCCAGCTTCGGGTTTGTGACCCTGGCCCTAAACCCTAAACCCTAAACCCTAAACCCTAAACCCTAAACCCTAAACCCTAAACCCTAAACCCTAAACCCTAAACCCTAAACCCTAAACCCTAAACCCTAAACCCTAAACCCTAAACCCTAAACCTAACCCTAAACCCTAAACCCTAAACCCTAAACCCTAAACCCTAAACCCTAAACCCTAAACCCTAACCCTAACCCTAAACCCTAAACCCTAAACCCTAAACCCTAAACCCTCCATCCTAGGAACCCTTATTCTCTCGTCCAGGACTCAGGCGTTACCCGGGTGAAGGGCAAGACCTTGGAGGATGCAGAGGCCTGAGGGCGATGGGTTTAGGGTTTAGGGTTTAGGGTTTAGGGTTTAGGGTTCCTCGGGCTAGGTTTTCCGCAGCAAGAACGAAAGATGTGAGTTGCTTGGGGCAGAGTGCTGAAGCAGACCATCAGAGGTGTAACTTTTATAAGGGCCCAGAATCAAGCTGCACAAGCAGATCCGCCGTTCTGTTTCTGCCGTTCTTAAAGCACCTGAAAACTCAAAGCCCTGCAAAGCCATAAAATCCAAGCATCGGGATTTCACGCGTAATATAGGGGTCGGAATAATTACTAACAACATTCCCTCAGGGTCTTTCTGTTATCATACTATATAACCCCCCCCAAAAAAAAATCTAGTCTTCATCCTCTAAAGTATGAGTCTTGAATGATATTCTTGTGACTGTTCAAAACACTCTGTTTCACCTTCATCGCACAGACTTCGGTCCGCATGCCCCACAAACCCTATTCTAAATATTCAGGCCCCTATAGCTTGTTCTGTGAAGACTCTTCGAACCAGATTTCTTGCGAGCAGTTGCGGAGCTGCTAGAAGTTCCCTTGCCGCAGCAAGGCTATGGGTATGAATTTTGCACACCCTAAACCCTAAACCTTAAACCCTAACCCCTAATTTGTTTAGGGGCAGGATCAATGACTCCACGAAGGTCGAAGCCTGAGCCCTCGATCCTCAACCCAGGATACACACTGGGAGGTTCGGGCACATGAGCGTCCCATCCCTCCCTCCTTCCTCAGCCTGGAAACTCCGAGCCTGCCCCGGCAGGTGGGATGGGTCACAGTGAAAGGCAACGCCGGCACTGCCTATGCCACCGTCCCTTGGCAGCATCGGAGAGGACTTGACTTTAGCCTGCCGCAACACCCCCCCCCCCCCGGCCCACAGTCCCTTCCGGGTAACTAGGGAAAGAAGAGTTTCAGGGTTATTCGGGTAATTCGGGAAATCAGGGTACTTCGGGTAATTAGAGTAGTTAGGGTAGTTGGAGCGCGGCGCGTATCTCGCCGCGTGGTTTCCTTCGGTTTCTTGGGTGGGGTGGCTGGGGGGGGGTGGGGGGGGGGGATAATTCCGCCCCCCCTATTGCAACTTGCCAGCATGTCCTCAGTCATTTAGTGCTCCAGTTTGCAGGGTTTGGGGCTTGGAGTTTAGCCTTGATGTTGGGCTTCGGGGTTTAGGCCTCTGGCAACTCTGCAGATGCTAAGACTTAAACCGTAGCCCTCCGACTTGCTAAATCCGCCCTATGGGCTTGGGGGGGGTTAGGGTTTAGGGTTTAGGGTGTATAGGGCTTAGGGGGTTTAAGGGTACTTACGGCTCTGCTTTGTCCCAGGGTTTAGGGCTAGGACTGAGGATTGAGGATGTGGGGCTTAGGGTCGAGGTCTCTGGGTTTGAGGTTCTGCGTTGAGGTTTTCCCAAAACCTGATTCCGGAAATCCTACTGCCCCAGAATCCTCAAGCAACTTTTCCTATAAAGCCCTACACCTTAAAACATCCCTAAGCCCCTAAACTCTAAACCCCTGAAAGCCCTAAAATCCTTGAAAACGGAAAGTAGTTTTAGGCATTTCAGAACTCCTTAAAGGGAGTGAATTCCCTAGGCGAAAACACTAAAATACGTGTTTCCCCCTTAGAGTGCCGTTTATAACGCGCTCCCACCTCTCAGGACGCCGAGTACCTTGTAAATAGCACCATTTTTTGCAAATTCCAGCCATCTTAATTTTCAATCTCTGCACGAAAACGCACGGCGAGATGTGCGCCGCGCACCTAGTTAGGCGTTAGGGTAGTTAGGGTAGTTAGGGTCTAGGGTTCACGATGGCTCCCTCTTTCGGATTCTGCCTCCGCTTCAAAAAAAGCCGGCGAATTCAGGGGAAGGGATTCTCCTCTCATACCTCTTCCCCCACGAAACCTGAAAACGGAGTGCTTAAACTTGACGACCGTTCGATTGCTGTCGTGCCCAGGCAAGCAAGAGCCACTACGCGGTAGTGAAGGAGGCCCGTGAGCTGCGCAACTCATGTCAAGAAGGTCCCAGTTTGGGTGATTTGGGGGGTTTCGGGCGCCGAATCCTGCATATGGTGGATTGGCGGACATAAGCTTAGTATCCTTTTCTTGTCCGCAACACGGAGTGTGCGAGCTTTCTGCCCTGGTACCTCACGAATTGCGGACGTCCGTAAGTCTTCTGCAAGAATGGCATCCTCCCAGTACTAGACTCGCTAGCCTCTCTCAAAATTCCAGATGAAGCCTTAAACCCGAGACCCTAACAAGTGTGAGCAGCGTGATGCCAACTTCGGCATATAGAAGCATAGGCCATGCCTAACTTATGGGCTAGAGACAGGCCCACCACTACGTGTAGGCCTGTAGCCTTTGGCCCCCCTAAACCCTAAACCCTAAACCCTAAACCCTAAACCCTAAACTCCAAAGCCTCGAAGAGCAAGGCGAAGCTCCAGAAGACCGTGAACTCGAACTCCGAGCTCGTGCGAACCCTCGAGGTCGGAGAGACCATTAAGGCCCGGGCTTCCGAGGAGATGGGGTGGCGGGGGGTTTAGGGAAATTTATTCAATAATTTACACAAAAAACCCAATGGAATATTAAACGTGCCATTCTTATGAGGGCTCTTAAGGGGAGTGCCAAGCCCCTGAGCCCCAAACCCCTCACATCGCGTGGCTGCTGAATCACGAAGCTGTGCACTCAAAAAAGCTCGAACTCCTTTGAAGTCTCGGTCCTACTTAGGGGTACTTGGAAATAGTTCTAATTTTTGGTCACTATAATTCCGAAGTCACCGCAAAAATAATTCTTGCTAGGGTTCCAAGTTCAGTATAGTCCATTCATGTGCAGTAGTGTATTTGTTTTCAACACTTCACGGTATCAAAAGTTGCTCACGCATTTTCATCTGCTATTTATGGCCCCCCTGAAATGCCAAGTCCAATCCTAAACCCTAAACCCTTAACTTAAACCCCAAACCCCAAACCCCAAACCCCAAACCCCAAACCCCAAACCCCAAACCCCAAACCCCAAACCCCAAACCCCAAACCCCAAACCCCAAAACCCAAACCCCAAACCCCAAACACCAAACCCCAAACCCCAAACCCCAAACCCCAAACCCCAAACCCCAAACCCCAAACCCCAAACCCCAAACCCTAAACCCTAAACCCTAAACCCTAAACCCTAAACGCTGCGCAGGTCACGGAGGGGCCCAAGGAAGAGGTGCACCAGGCGGCCTTGAGAGCGATCCGGCTGCACAGAAGCCGGGACTCGGAGTGCACGGCGAAGCCTAGCGCTTTCAGGGTTTAGGGTTTAGGGATGTTTAGGGTTTAGGGTTTAGGGTTTAGGGTTTAGGGTTTAGGGTTAAAAGTTAATAGGGTGTCTCCGAGTTGCGGAGAGGTTTCGGACTTGCGAGTGCTCGGGTGAGGAGGAGGGGCTGATGGTCTCCCCAGATTTCTGGAGCCTCACTGAAGTTCGGCATGCCGATGCCCATGATGCTGAGGTAAAAGTCAAAGCAACCAGTGACGGCCTGGACCCCAGCAGACTTCCAGTCTAATTAGGGTTCAGGGGTTTAGGCGTCTATGCGTCTATGCTGTAGCTTTCAGTTTCAGCAACCCCCCCCCACTGGGTTATGTGGGGGGGCGGGGGGGGTATAAGGTACCCAATTCCTCGTTTCCCACACTAAGAGCTAATTAGGTATAAGGCTTACGTAAGGTAAAGGGTTCTTCTACGCGCTGAGACGTCGCCAGATTCCAGTTCTGACGGATTTGTCGCATGGGCGCGCAGGGTTATTGGAAACGGTAGGAGTTGTAAGCCTCTCAAACCCAAACCGGGTTCCCACTGGGCTTGCGGTTTGCAGCGCCTGTCTACTATTTGCTTAAGAACACCAAAAGAATAAACAAGGACTACCCCTATATTACCCCGATAAAGAAAATATTCTTTGTGTTTTTTAAACCCTAAACTTTAAACCCTAAACCCTAAATCCTAAAACCCTAAACCCTAAACCCCTTTTTTTTTTTTTTTGGGGGGGGGGGGGGGGGGTTCTTATAAGCAATTGCTAGCTTCTCCTTCAGGTGCCGTCGGCTGGGTCACAGTTCTGCCGTCCTCGGTGAAGCCGGAAGCTCAGCCAGTCGACGTGCACTGAAGGTTACAGGGTTTAGGGTTTAGGGTTTAGGGTACTTGATAGCTTAAGAACCCCCAAAGAATGAACACATAAATCCCTATATTGCCCTTATAAGGAAGAATCTTTTTCTTTTTTGGGGGGGTTCTTAAGCAAATAGTAGGTTAAGGGCTGAGGTTATTGCTGGTGCCATCTCGAACAACATGACAAAGGTGTCGACCGTGTGTACACATGCACACATGCATATGTCACACATTGTAGAACCACGCAGTGCGCAGTATAAATGTTGGTATGTCCTTGTGTAAAGTTTATCTGTGTGTGTGCGCATGCATCTGTATGCATGTGTGGCATGTCACAGCATGATTATGGAGTGTAGGCCACAGGCTAGATTGACGATGGTTTCCGAAAGAGAGCAAGAGAGAGTAAGAGAGAGAGAGAGAGAGAGTAAGAGAGAGAGAGAGAGCAAGAGAGAGTAAGAGAGAGAGAGAGAGAGAAACAAACAAAACATAACAATAAAGGAGAGGAGCGGAGCGGAGAGGAGTGGAGCAGAGACGAGAGGAGAGGAGAGGCACGGACATCCTTTCTGAAGCTCCTGAAGCAATGAGATCCAAACCCCAGTGCCAGGGCGTAGAAAGCTTTGTTCTGGGAGTAGGTTCTGCCAGGATGGGCTACTAGTCCCTATAACCCCTATAATCAACCCTACAAGGGGCCTTTTTTAGGGGTTAATTATAGGGGATAATAGCCCGTCCTGCTGACAAGGTTATGATAGCAGAATGTTCAGTTGCTTCGTGCTTGCATGATTCGTGATGGACCCATCGAGCCCCAAAACTTTGATGCCGGTTTAGGGTTTAGGGTTTAGGGTTTAGGGTTTAGGATTTAGGATTTAGGGTGTGAGGTTTAGTTTTTGGGGTTTAGGGGATTGCGAGTTGGGTTGCGGAGTGCGGGTTTCGGGAAGCAGCCTGGCATGCCATCAGGAGATGTACGGCAAAGGATCTTGAGGCACGTGGCCCTGCCCCCGAAATCCATCAACCCGAACCCAAGATCCGTTCAAAGCCCAGACCCTGAACTTCAAAGCTCCGCTTGAAGAGCGGGCATTGTGCATGGTGGCATCTACTAGACGTCGGGGTCAGATCATGGATTTGAAGGAGAAGTGGCTATACAGCAGGCTCCAGGGCTCCTTCAACAGTGGCTTCGTTCAGAACGCGAGAAGCAAAACCTTAAACCTCACAGCCGCCAGAAAGCCCGGAAGCCGGGTTGCCGAACTCTTGAAGGTACAACAGACACTCCTGAGCCCTAAATCGGCACCTTCTCACTCTCCAATCCCTCGTGCGGGGAAAGCGAACTAACTTTGGCGTTGGCTGTGGGGCATAGGATCGGTTCTGGCATTCCCAGCCACCCCATCCTCATATCCTCGACCTAAACGGATGCTCAGACCGCAAACTCTCAATTTTAGATGGCCCCCAGCCGAAGCCCGTGAATCCCTGAACACATGAGGAAAATTTCGAAAATGTACGAAAATAGGGGACCAATAAATAGACCCCCAACTAGTGGGATGCTCTTAGAATAAGGACCCCCTAAACAGGTACCCCGCAAATGTGGGAAATCTCCCATGAGGCTTCAGCCTTAAAAACCCTGAGTGCTGTCTCGGGCCGTTCTTGCCAGGCGCTGGCGAAGAAGGAAAAAAGCGCTTAGCGGCTTTGCCACGCTCCCAGGTCGCCGCGTGGGAGCTTCTGGCTGGTTCTTGGTAGGGAGTGAGGGAATGCGGTACGCTATATAATCCCTCAAAGGGTATATATATATATATAATATAGTGCCTTGATTCCTTCATTCCCTACTAAGAACCAGGGGGGCTTGGCGTGTAGGGGGCACTACGGGCTTGGGACCTTTGGGATCTTGGGATATGGGGTTTAGCTTGTCGGTTGGCTTCGGGCTTGGGGTTTGCACTCAAAGTTTGGGGTGGTTGGGGCGTTCTGCTTTCGTTGGGTCGAGTTGCACAGTTTGGGCCCGGGGCTCTTGGCATCTCTTGTCCTTAGCAGGGCAGAGGATGTCTTTGATCTCCCCTAAACCCTAAACCCTAAACCCTAAACCCTAACCCCTAACCCCTAACCCCTAAACCCTAAACCCTAAACCCTAAACCCTAAACCCTAAACCCTAACCCCTAACCCCTAAACCCTAAACCCTAAACCCTAAACCCCAAACCCTAAACCCTAAACCCTAAACCCTAAACCTCTTCTCCTCCCTCAACTCGCGTCAGGTGCCTTGTCAGAAGGACCTGCCCTTGCAGGCCCGGGAGGGCTTGTAGCATCCCCAAGCTCACAAACTCCCTAAACCCTAAACCCTAAACCCTAAACCCTAAACCCTAAACCCTAAACCCTAAACCCTAAACCCTAAACCCTAAACCCTAAACCCTAAACCCTAAACCTCCCTGAACACTCACTCAAAACTTCCGTAGAGCCGAGACCGCGATGGAATTGTCAAGGCTGTCGCGAGTCCTCCGTGTCTCAGAGGGCTTTAGGGCCCTTTGGGGCTTTGGAGCCTTATGTGCGGGTTTAGGGTTTAGGGTTTAGGGTTTAGGGTTTAGGGTTTAGGGTTTAGGGTTTAGGGTTGCCATGGTGGGGTCCAGGCTAAACATTGTCAAAAATCCACAGCTGCAGTCGAAAATAAGAAAGCCTGTTGAGGACTTGTTGCAAAGAGCATCACCGTGGTCTTCACAACTTTCTCATCGAGCTGCGGGGAACATCTTGAATTGCATGTTGCAGAGTCACACGCCAGGCAGGTGACCTTGAATGCCGGGGGTGCCGTGGCCTCAGTCAATATCAAATTGAGCTCATGATCTCATAATGATACCTTAGTAGCTGAGTAGTAGATGAGAACCTTGAACCTTGCGACATTTTGGGGGTGTACGAAATCCCAGCATTCTTGAAAGGTTAACCGTTTTTTTCGCCCGGGGTACTCAGCAACTAGGATCCACATGCTCTCTTTCCGAGTCAGCTACCTTTGTGGGCTTCCAAGCCCAGAGCCCAAAGCCCCAAAGCTCCAACAGCCTCAACCTAAGGCTCACAACCCACATCTTGGGATGTTCCCCCTTACTTTCCGGAGTCCTTTTTTCGGATTATAGTGCCCCCAATTATCATCCCTACGAAGGATGTTAGGATAAGGGGGGAACATCCCAACCCCCATCCTTTGCAAGCCCAAAGCACGTAGACGCTGACCTCCTGGATCCTGAACCCATGAAGCCAAGACCCTAAACCCTAGACCCTAGACCCTAAACCCTAAACCCTAAACCCTAAACCTCAGGTCAGAAGGATGCCCCATGGAGCTGTGCACACTGAGAGTGCTAGGGACTTCGAAGCTCGAAGTATGCAGGGTGTAGCCTAAGCTACCCACAGCCAGCCTGAAGACATCAGGGTCAGGGGGTGTAGGGGTTTTCGGGTGCGCTTCTAGGCTCAATCGTGGCGCTTCATGGGTTTCAGGCTTTCTTGGGAAGCAGCGCGTGAGCCCCGATTTTGCTAAGCTCCCCAATCCTCTACGATGCCGCGCTTCCAGGTGGGGGCACCTTAGAGTCTAGAGGGTTACAGTTTAGGGCTTGGGATGCGAGTGGTTCCGCAAGTGATTCCACCATCAACCGAGCCTCTGTACCCCGATGGAACGTTCTAGCCGAAGGAAGCACCACCCGAGACTCGTTGGCTGCACTTTTCGCAAGATTCCTATGCTACGCGAGACTCTTGGTCTGTTTGCCGTTTCCCGGCTTCACTCCTTTGCCTTTGGATTGTTTGAGGCTTCCGATTTCTGAGACCGATCCCCCATACTTAGGGATACTTCGAAATAATTTCTAAATTCTGGTTACCATAATCCCTAAGGAACAGCGAAAATTCTAATTATTGCCAGGGTGCCAAGTTCAGTATAGCATAGACGAGCCTCGTCACATCGCCAAACCCCCTTTAGGGCTCGGTCACCAACCTACACTTAGACCCGGAGACATAAATTCCCCAAAACCCTAAACCCTAAACCCTGAACCCTATTAAACACTGCAAAGTTTGAAGCCCAGACTACATCTCGATTTTCATCTTAACTGCATGCCGCACAAGAAGCTAGCCGCTCTGTATCCCAAGCCTTCTGGAAGGGGTTTAGGGTTTAGGGTTTAGGGTTTAGGGTTTAGGGCGTCATGCAGACTCTGGAGCAAAGCAGCTGAATACAATCATGAACCCTGCACTAAACATCGGAGCATGGGGTCTCTCTCAAGCCGGGAACAAACAAAGGCAGCGTTTGAAGCTTGTGTAGCGTTTAGGGTTTAGGGTCGTCTGTCATGGCGCAGGAATGGCGAAAAAGTCTTCGTGCCTGCAGTTTTGAAGTGAACTGCCTTGGGGTTCAGGCTCTGAAAGGTTTAGGGTTTAGGGTTTAGGGTTGAGGGTTTAGGGTTTAGGGTTTAGGGTCCCAAGTTGCTGCTTGCGCCAACCTGCAAACCCTGAGCACACAGCACCGACTTGTGAGATCCTCACGGGCTGGGCTGCACAGCATTCCCCAGGCCGGAAACCTCCACAGCACGAGACGTGCGATGCATCCGGAGCATGGTGATATGGGGGTTTAGGAGAATAGGGGACCCCTAATGTAGACCCCCAAATAGTAGGATCCCCTGATAAGAAGGACCCCTATAAGGTACCCACTTAATATCGTTAGGGTTTAGGGGAGTTTAAGGGTTTCGGGGGCTTAACCAGCAAGACTCTATTCGGCTCTGAACCGTCCGCTTCACCTGGCGAAGTCAAATCGGAAAGCAAGCGAACCCAGCCCCATAAACCATATTATGGTGATTTCGATGGGCTCTCTGGGGTCTTTGTTTTAGGGCAGCCTCTATTGGGGTACCCCAAAAAAGGGACCATCATGTAGAGACCTGACCTGATACGGTTCGGTCAGTGAACCCACCATTGTCTGAACTTCTAAAGCCCTCAACCCTACGAAAGATGCTGTTGCGGCCATGGCAGCACTGCTTCCTCTTAGGGTTGATCCGGCATTGCCGCGGCTACAAGGCGCGCACCAGGACCCTAAACCATAAACCCTAAACCCTAAACCCTAAACCCTAAATCCTAAATCCTAAATCCCATAAACCCTTAACCGTGCTGTGGGTTCAGGGTCGCGTTCAGGGTGTAGGCCTCAGGGCACCTCACATTTTCTTAATTGCGAATATGGGCTGGATGTGGCTGGGTACTGGTGCGACCTCTGCTTCAGGTGTATGAGGATGATGCTCCACAGGTACCCCCCCCACAGCAGTTACTGCCGCATTGTCCTGCTACTGTTGCAACATTGCGCTGTTACCTCACTATCACACGCACGCGCAAGTCACAGCATCTCTGGTTGCTCCTGCTCGTGTTTATGAATGCAACGCTTCGAGGCTTCGTGACGGAACCTTACCTCCCTGCCGCCCCGCACATTTCCATCGAAAAATGTCGCACAGCCCTCCTACCCCTGATTATCAGTCTCAGTCAATTGGGAAATTCCCAAAATAGGGGTACCCCGTTGATACCCCAAATAGAGTAAAATCTCCTTTTAAGGGAGGCCCCAAAAAGGGCACCCAAACCCTAAACCCTAAACCCTAAACCCTAAACTCTAAACCCTAAACCCTAAACCCTAAACCCCCCAAAATGGACCTTAAAAGCCTCTTGGCCCAGGTCTTCGGCAGGGAGCAGCTGCTGCCAACCATCGACCTATCGGCCTTTCGGCTGGAAGCTGCACGATAGGGTTTAGGGTTTAGGGTTGTGGGTTTAGGGTTTAGGGTTTAGGGTTTAGGGTTTAGGGTTTAGGGTTTAGGGGTTGGGGGGGTTAATATAGGGGTCGGAAGAGTTACTAGTAATACTCCTTTATGGTCCCTTTGTATTTATACCAGAACAACCCCCCCGGACCCCATTCTAATTATTCAGGCCCCTAAATCAGGGGCATACATCGTTTTTTTCCCGGGAGATGTTTGCGAGAGAGAGAGAGAGAAGACTTGTTTGTTTTGTTATGTGTGTTTGCGTGTGTTCTATTTAGTCCCTTTGGCTGCATGTAGTGAGCTCAGGGAGTTACAGGGGTATTTGGTGATTTCTCGAAGCTCCAACCACGCCTCGGCCGACCGAAGCCAGCAGCCCTGAACCCTAAGAGCCTATGCCAATACATCACGAGATGTGCTGCTTGTTCTGATCAGGGTTTAGGGTTTAGGGCTTAGGATTTAGGGTTTAGGGTTTAGGTATAAATTCGGTCCCCTTTTTTTGGCTTCCTTGTCTTTGAGGAGTCCTCATAGCAAGGGGCCCCGAAAGGCGCCCTCAAATGTAAGTAGCAGAGGGCTCGGAATAATTACTAGCATTCCCTTAAGGTCCCTTTCTAGTTACACCATAATGATAACCCCCCAAAACCCCATTATAATTATGAAGGCCCATTTCGAAATCATGCCTGCTTGAAAACCGAAGGCATGTCAGCTCAGGGCCATGCCACCTAAAGAGACTCCGCAAAAGGCCTTTGTCTACTTGGAGGTTGGTGGGCTACTTAAGAACCCATGGTAAGTGTAGCTATAACCCACATACAAGCCCCCTAAGTATCCTAATGGGGTTATTGGTGTAATTGGGTTATAAGTACAGTTCTGATTGGGTTACTAAGTACCATGGACCTCCAAGTAGAAGCCTCCAGCCCGGTCACGGTCACCCGCGAGCTATGTTTAGGGCTTACAAGCTACCAAACGCAGCCCTCTGACCTGAAAGCTCTACCTTCAAGGGACTAAAGGAGGGACTATATAAGGTATGCATAGGGGTTATATAGGGGAATAAGATGAAGGGTCCCTTCTTGGGGTCCGTCCTTATACCCCTTAATACCTTGAACCTGGACCTCAGGCATACCGGAGGCTGGGTGCCAAAGCAAAGGTGCTGAAGCAAGAGGCCTGATGTCCGGGTGAGTGCTATATACCCGGCAGTCGAGCAAATTTTAGCTTCAATCCCTGTTTATCCCCGAAACTGCTGAAAACCTCAAAGTCAGAAGGGCAGCCGGGGAGGAGGGTTTTGGGAGGAGAAGGTGTGCAGGGTACGGGATCGTTTGTAGAGGTCTATGGGTGAGATTGGTTCAGTGCCATCAGTCCGTAGGGCTGAAGCTGGGCTTGTACATAGGGCTTGTGGGCTTCAAAAGAGTTCCCAGACTTTGCAGGGGTTTTGGGCCTCCGTTGCAGCCTAAACACCTCTCAGCAAGCCGCTTAAGACGTAAACCCTAAACCCTAAACCCTAAACCCTAAACCCTAAACCCTAAACCCTAAACCCTAAACCCTAAACCCTAAACCCTAAACCCCCCAAAAAAACCCTATAAATTCTACAAATCCCAAAAAAAGCCCTATAAACCCCATAAAACCCTAAAGAGGAGCTGGACTCCCAGCTTCGGGCCCACGGCGTGGCCGCGCTTCGTTCCGGCCGCCGCCTCGCCGCAGCTGTGGGGAGAGCTCCTCTTGGGAGGCTCTGAGGTTGAGGTTCTTTTGTTGTTGTTGTTGTTGTTGTTGTTGTTGTTGTTGTTGTTGTTGTTGTTGTTGTTGTTGTTGTTGTTGTTGTTGTTGTTGTTGTTGTTGTTGTTGTTGTTGCAGGGTTTAGGGTTTAGGGCTTAGGGTTTAGGGTTTGGGGTTTAGGGTTTAGGGTTTAGGGGTCTGGGGGTTCAGGGGTTGAGGGGGTGAGGGGTTTAGGGGTTTAGGGTTGAGGGTTGAGACGCATGGAGGGTTTAGGGGTGTTGGGCTGTAGGATGAGAGCTCACGGTCGTGAGCCATGTGTTGTTGAGGCAACATCGGCTTCAAGGCTTCGAAAGGGTGCCAGAAAGTAGGGTTTAGGTTTCAGGGTTTAGGGTCTAGGGTTTTGAGTTTAGGGTTTAGGAGGTTGGGGTAGGCCTGGGAGTATGTGTAGGCAGAAGGGCAAGGACCAGGATGCTGGGGTGCGACAAAATTGGCCGCCGACATGCTCCACCCTTATTTTGCAGGAGGGCCGAAGCAGGCATCGGAAGAAAAGGGTATTCTTCGGGCCTGAGGCGAACGATTCCTTGGGGACTGGCTAGGTAGCCTTTAATCTTTCTGGCTACAGAGAATCCCACTGTATGTTAAAGCTCATCCCTTGTTTGGGCTAGGGCATGCAGCCCCGAAGATTGGGGCTCATTCAGCCATACTTCCAGCCAACACACCCTAAACCCTAAACCCTAAACCGCAAGGAGTGGACGGTCTCGTGGCCGAGGTCTTGGAGCTCGCGCGTACGGAGCCTTGTACCTCCCAACCCTGGGGTCGGGCTGACAGGTTTTTCGGTTTAGGGTCTTAAGCGCCCAAGTTCCGAAACCAAACTTCCACACCCGAAACCCTAAACCCTAAACCCTAAACCCTACACCCTACACCCTACACCCTACAAACCCTGAACCCTCTCCTTCCCAGGAATTCCGGGAGCGCATGTCCAGCGTGGACGACTGGGGCTGGCGCGGCTTCGGCTGCGGCTGGGTCTTTCCGAGGCACATGGTTTAGGGTTTAGGGTTCAGGGTTCAGGGTTCAGGGTTTAGGGGGTTTAGGGGGGTTTCCGAAATTAGGGGTACCCTATTGGGTCCTTAGTAAACCCCATGTGGGGGGTTCAGGGCTCTGGGAATTCAATGTTGGGGGGGGCTTTAAATCGAGGTGAAGTTGCGAAGTCTAGGTGACCCTCGGAGCCATGGGAGCCCTTTCGCGAAGCAGCCAAAACCCTCCGCTCTCGCTTCGGTGCAAACTGCCGACGGACACGGTTCGTGTAAAGCAACGACAAGGTACCACAAATTGCGATCAGGGGGCCCGAAGCCTGGCTGGGGGATAATTCTTCGCCACCCTAAACGTACCCCGAGATGGAGCAGGGCGCATGGGATGTTTGAGGATTGAAGGCCATGAGAGAACGAGCTGCCCCATGTAAAGGGGGGACAGGGGAGGGGGGGGGGGACCCTGCGATGAGGAGGGTTGTCAAAATTTGGCACGATTGTAGCAGCACACTGCGTAGCTGTTTTCCACACCACCCAACCTCATAGACCATCAAGTTCCGGCTTCTTTTAGCAAGTTCTCATGTCACATCACGGATCACATTGCCATTGGCATGTGTTGTCTCTGAAGAACGATGTCTTCCAGAGCCCCACCACCATGCAAAGTGACAAAGTGGTGCTGCTAACAGGCGCACACATTCCTGATGTGCAATGTTTTTCCCGTCTGTTGGCTTGCTCAGTTTAGGGTTCAGGTGCCTGGCAAACTCTGGGAGCATGACAATCAAGAGCGATCATTGCGCGACAGAACCCTGCCAACAGGTCGGCCGAAATGTACAGCCACCCCCACTACCTGGCCTTTGTCCGCGAGGAGACCTCCTGTTGCTGGTTGAGGAACTCACTTAGGGTCAGGTGTATGTGTGTGTGTGCCCGCGTGTGTGTATGTTTTTGGTGTGGGGGGGGGGGGGTGGGGGGGGGGGTGGGGGGGGGGTGGGGGGGGGGGGGGGGTGGGGGGGGGGGGGGGGGGGTGGGGGGGGGGTGGGGGGGGGGGGATAGTTTAGTCTCATAGTGTCAAGATAGAGGCCTTGGACAGTTGATTTGACCTTATGGTCGCCACAGGGGATGTTGTTGCGGGTTGAAAGCTTGCAGCTCACATTGGATGGTGGACGAAGCGCAGCGCAGCAGCAGCATGAGAAACCTCCCCAAGAACCCGAAGCCGACCCGGTTTCGTGCATCATAGGTGCTCCCACAACCTAGACATAGTAATATAGGGGTCGGAATAACTACTAATAGTTTTCCCTTATGGTCCCTTTATAAAAATGTCATAGAGACCCCCCCCAAACCCCATTCTAATTATAACGCCCTCATAACCCTAAACCCGAAACCCTAAACCCTGAAACCTAAACCCCATTCTAATTGTTAAGGCCCTTCTATTAGTAGCCGATGGCTGTTGTGTTTGAGGACGGCTCGACAGACCCACCAGAATTGCCGTTCCGCCTCGACAGGCCAGGGACGTTATAAACTGAGTTATGGGGTTTAGGGTTTAGGGTTTAGGGCTTAGGTGTCAGTCCTGCGGTGTTGGGCAGGGCATACATCTTGCCATATCTTCGCCGTATACTTCGTGCCCATTCTCACAGGAGATCCCATATGGGGGTTTACGAAATTGGGGACCCCTAGCCCCTAACATAGACCCCCGAATATTCGGATTCCCTTCTTATAAGGATCCCAATGAGGTACCCCCAGTATCGTAGACTCCCCACCCTAAACCCGAAACCCTAAACCCTAAACCGATCTGTGCAGTATGCCTTCGTACAGCTGGGCTGCAGTGTGGGGCTCAGGTCATTCAGGGCCAATCCGAGCTTCGGGTTTGCAACTCTGGTCCTAAACCCTAGACCCTAGACCCTAAACCCTAAACCCTATACCCTAAACCCTAAACCCTAAACCCTAAACCCTAAACCCTAAACCCTAAACCCTAAACCCTAAACCCTAAACCCTAAACCCTACCTTAAAGGAGACCGACCGAAGTCCGCAGGCTCCTTGCCGGTCTCCAGAAGCAAGTGCTGCCCTACCTGGAGGAGGTGTTGGACCCCAGCCCGCAAGCTATACAGGGTTTAGGGTTTAGGGTTCAGGGTTTAGGGTTTAGGGTTTAGGGGGGGGGGGGTGTTTCTTAAGCAAATAGTAGCAAGGCGGCTGAATGCCCTTCAGGCTTTCGAGAGCAGACGAAGAGAACAATGATGTCCTCACGGCAAGCATGCCGACTTCAGAGACTCTGAACCCTAAACTCTAAACTTCCCTATTTAAGCCCAAACCCTAATGTATCCTGCACCATGGTCCGGCACGTGAAATTTCCCGTCTGCCTTGCGCCGGAGAAGGAACCGAGCGAAGGTGTGGCTGCACAGTTTTGGTGACGCAGGTTCAGGATGCTTGCAGGAGACTGCGTGCAGTTTATAAATAAGTTATGGGAACTACGCCGTATTATCTGTGAGTCAAAATGTGTGGCTTGTAACAGGCGCATCGGGGCCACGAACAACAAGGGTCGGCTCCCCGACAAACCCCCTCCGCGACAAGGCCTCCTAATTCCTTAACCAAATGGAAGAAAATCGCACGACACTGGGTATGAAACAAGCGCTCCGTGACAAAGGCTTGTAACAGAGGGACGGGCGCCGCGACAAAGGGGGATTTTGACCCACAGCCTTTTAGGAGGAACCTTAACACGGACCAGACCGCACATAAGTGACCACATCCTTAGCCCGAAATACCGCCAGCTTCAGTTCAGAAGGCTTTTTTGCGTGCTACTTCACAGGGCTGGTCTTGTTGCGACCAGTTCGGGCTTTTGCGTTTAGGGAGTACGCGCTAGGGTTTAGGGTTTTCGGGATGAGCTTTGACGAGAGGTATCTTACAGTTGTTGGAGCTCACATCTATACTCGAAGGCCCCAGAAGCTACCCTAAACCCTGAACCCTAAATCATGAATCCTAAACCCTAAACCCTAAACCCTAAACCCTAAACCCTAAGCCCTAAGCCCTAAGCCCTAAGCCCTCAGCCCCAAGCCCTAAGCCCTAAGCCCTAAGCCCTAAGCCCTAACCCTAAACCCTAAACCCTAAACCCCAACCCCCAGGGAGTAGGGCGTTCCGCAGAAGCCTCGGGGCATGGACCGCAGACAGACGTAAACCTGAGACCCTATACTCCGTAGGCCTTGGGAAATTTTGTGTTTTTGCCTTACTCGTATTTTTGCTTTAAGAGGAAATATATTTAGACCCTGAAACCTAAACCCTCTACATATATATATATGTATACCATCTAAACCCTAAACTCCTAAACCCTACACGCTAAACCCTAAACCCTAAACCCTAAACCCTAAACCCTAAACCCTAAACCCTAAACCCTAAACCCTAAACCTGAGATCTTATACATCTCCAAGGAATTCGGCCTCGACTACGAGCCGGGTTCCCTGGCCGGCGCGCTGCAGATCACCACTGCCATCGCGCACTACTACCCGGATGCGACCAAGCAGGCTTAGGGTTTAGGGTTTAGGGTTTAGGGTTGAGGGTTGAGGGTTGAGGGTTGAGGGTTTAGGGTTTAGGGTTTAGGGTTTAATGTTTGGGGGGTTTTATAATATAGGGGTCGGAAGAGTTACTAGGGGGGGGGGGTTTAGGGTTTAGGGTTTAGGGTTTAGGGTTTAGGGTTTAGGGTTTAGGGTTTAGGGTTCAGCATCTCAAGTCCAAGCATTCACTAGTCAAGAAATTATTACTCCAGAAAAATACCCACCCGCCCGAAGAATCCCACAACATTAAGAAAATATTTCACTTATGGAACGACCTTGCCCAGTAAAGAATTGACCTTGCCCAGCAAAAAATGACCTTGCCCAATAAAAAAATGACCTTGCCCAGTAAAAAAACGACCTTGCCCAGTAAAAAAAATGACCTTGCCCAGTAAAAGAATGACCTTGCCCAGCAAAAAAATGACCTTGCCCAGTAAAACAATGACCTTGCCCAGTAAAAAAATGACCTTGCCCAGTAAAAAAATGACCTTGCCCAGTAAAAATGACCTTGCCCAATAAAAAAATGACCTTGCCCAGTAATGACCTTGCCCACTAAAAAACTGACCTGGCCCAGTAAAAAAATGACCTTGCCCAGTAAAAAATGACCCTGCCCAGTAAAAAGATGACCCTGCCCAGTAAAAAGATGACCTTGCCCAGTAACATTTTTACTGGGCAAGGTCATTTTTTTACTGGGCAAGGTCATTTTTTTACTGGGCAAGGTCGTTTTTTTGGCCGAAACGACCTTGCCCAGTAAAAAAATGACCTTGCCCAGTAAAAAAAATGACCTTGCCCAGTAACTCCTTAACATTTAAATATATATGAAAGAGAGGTTTAGGGTTTAGGGTTCCTTTTCCGTCCCTGAAACCTGAGACCCCCGGGCAACAATAAGGCACAAATGCCGAAGGATCCCAGTCGGCGTATACTGCTGCATGAAGTGTAGGATGCTTCAGGGTTGAGGGAAGACCCGTGGCTCAGAGACTTGAAGCTAAGAGGTATTTTGCACTCAAAGATTATCGCAAGAGTGTTCGGAGTTGCAGTGTCCTCAGTAGGAGACGCTGTTGACGAACGCAGCCTTTCATTGCGACGACTCGTTCTTGACCTTGCGACTTGGCGCCACAAAAGCCCTGCCAAACCGACCCTGCCTCTGCCACAAAGCCCGAGCTCCTAGCCCCAAACCCTAAACCCTAAACCCTAAGTCGTCAGACATTCGACCCGAAGGGCCGTGAACAAAATAGGGGTATACGATAATAAGGGACCCCCGAATATAGACCCCCAAATAGTAAATAGTCGGATCCACTTAAAAACAGGACCCCCAATGCCTTGTCATAGTGGGGTAGCTCGTCTCATTTTAAGGGTACTTAAACTCAATAAGGAATGCCAATTTACACTATCCCAACCATGAACTACAAATGGTAAACCTAAGTTAGGAAACCCACAAATAAGTCAAGGCTGGATATCGAAAGGCCTCGCGGCGTTTTCGAGTGTAGGGCGCGGGAAGTGCCATTTGCCTGTGGCATCGTACATTCCACGCTTTGAAGCCAATTCGCACAAGAGTCATTTCCACGTAAACTCAAAACCCAGACACCCTACAGTAAATGGAAACCCTAAACCCTAAACCGGAAACCCTGAATGCTGAAACCCTTACTGTACCAGCCCAGAATCTCGAGAAGCGCCTTAAAAAACTGACGAGCCGGGAGAACAAATATGGGCCCCTAAACCCTAAAACCCTAAATCCTATCCCCTGAAGGTCCTTGCCTAGAACAGTACATATGTATGGAGCCCGTGCGGTTTTGGGCTCAGAGCTCAGGATTTCTGCTTCAGGAGCTAGAGCAGCGCGAGCTTTGGGACCAGGAACCCCTAAAACCCAAACCCTGATCCCTAAACCCTCAACCCTAAACCCCCACGAGGGTGAGGGTCGAGTCTTAGGGGTTGCCGTTCGGGTGGTCCCTTTAATGGGTGCAAGGAGGGGCCCTTGATCGATAGTCCCTATATACCTAAGTTGGCCCTGAATAATCCCCAAATAACCCCGAAGGTCCCTTAGGACCCTTAATCTATAGTCCCTACATACCTACGTAGCCCCTAAATCATCCCCAAAGAAACCCTAAGGTCCCTTACAAGCTTGTACCACTAAAGGTTCCCCTTAATATACTCAAAAATATGCTCAAAAACATGGCCCTCAATTATATTCCCTCAGGGATCCTTACAAAGAGACCCCAAAACCCAAGGGTGCAACCTTAACACATAACCCCTAAACCCTAAACCCTAAACCCTAAACCCTAAACCCTAAACCCCAAGGTCCCTTCTCAGGGTCCCCCCTTTAGGCCCCCTAGATCCCTGGCCTGCGGCACCCGAGGAATCTCGAGACTACACGCGGCATCCACGGGCTGCAAAGTTGGCCTGAAGGAGCCCCCCCACCTAGGGTTCTTCAGGGCTTAGGGTTTAGGGTTCAGTGTTCAGGGTTCAGTGATTCAGGGTTTTGGGTTTAGGGTTTGGGGTTTCGGGTTTCGGGCTTCGGGCTTCGGGTTTCGGGTTTCGGGTTTCGGGCACATAGGGCGGTTATGTGGCTTATTGGTCGGGCTTAGGGTTTGCAGAATAAGTCTAGGGTTTCAGCGTCCACCGTTTACAGGGGGTTCGGGTCAGGGCGGATTCAGCGCTGGAGAGACGAATTTAGTTTCCAGTACTTGAGTCCCGCATGCAGGACCGCAGATTCGGCGTTTCCGATATGACGATGAGGTGCTGAGATTCGAGTGCGGGCGAGGGAAGAGTTGGCAGTTGGCATCTATGACAGGCTATCCGGTCTGCAGCCTTACGCCTTGTGCAGCTGAGTGTTCGGGGGACCCGCGATTGCGATATTACTCAATCTAGGGGTCGGAGTAGTTACTAATCATATTCCCTTATGGCCCCTTTGTAATGAAACTCTAATAACCAAGACTCAAAACCCTTATTCTAATTATTGAGGCCTCTATATTGCAGGCTTGACACGAAGCCACCCCCACTTCAACACCCAATCACGCAGGCAGCACCAAGCCCGGACCTCCCTGCGCCTCCTGCGCGCTCACTTCCATCCCTGAGGGTTTAGGGTTTAGGGTTTAGGGTTAGGGTTTAAGGTTTAGGGTTTAGGGTTTAGGGTTTAGGGTTAAGGGATCCCTGAGGCGAACTCGTCGGTGATGAATCTCTTTGTGGGTGGCGCCCAGGCTTGTCTTGCGCGGTATATATGTATAGATAGTGCAGATACACGTGTGTTCAGGCTGCAGCTTGGAGAAATAGATGAGTTGGATGCCCCTCCCGCAACAGTTTTGGTGACAAAACCGTATATTCCCCAAACCTTGGGTGAATCCCTGCAAGAATGCTATAGAGCTTGGGGCACAGCCCAGCATGCCTGGTAGCCAGGGCTGTTTCGCACCTAGTCTAGTGCCTCTACCCGAGCTCGACATCTCTGCCAAGTCCAAGCGGCCAGGCCTCGACTCGAGGCCAATGATGCAAATACACCTTGCTTAGCACTTAAGTCCTTCTGGGATGCCTTTAGGGTTTAGGGTTTAGGGTTTAGGGTTTAAGGCGCCAGCACAATCATTCGGTAGGCCCTGACAAGCCACTCAACAATGAACAGACGCGACGGAGCTTAAGCTGCAGCCCCCCGCAACGCCTTCTAAGCCTTGACTTCACGAACCTCCCTCTATACATATATATATAGATATGTATATATATATATATATGTATATGTGTATATATATATATATATACATATATATATATGTATAACACCTACAAGACACAGAGCCATTTGCGACCCCAAACCCTAAACCCTAAACCCTAAACCCTAAACCCTAAACCCTAAACCCTAAACCCTAAACCCTGAACCCTGAACCCTGAACCCTGAACCCTGAACCCTGAACCCTGAACCCTAAACCCTAAACCCTAAACCCTAAACCCTGAACCTCACTTCCCGCCAATAAGAGGGAGAGCGCAGCGGCGCAGCCGAGAGAGCCCAGGCTACCTCCAAGCGCTGTCCCAAGGCCGCTGGAGGAGCCTGCTACACTCAGGCTTGGGCTCCGGGAGGGCTTGGGGGGCTTACTGAGTTTAGACTTAGTAGTAGAGTAGGTAACCTTTAACCTTTTTGGGGTAATATAATCCCCTTATCATCCCAAAGGTTAACCTTTAGTTCCCCCAGGTTACTGGACAACTAAGTAGACCTCTGTGTGTGTGTGTGTGTTTTTTTTTATAATGCCATTTTTTGGTGATCTTGAGGACTGCTTTGGCGATCTTTAGGACTGAGTGTACATTTGTTTAATGTCATTTTTTGGTGATGTTTAGGACTTGGTATTTACTTTCTTTTGGGTTTTTTTCAATGTCATTTTTGGTGATCTTTAGGCGGATGTTTCGGGTATTCTGCTGTTTGCGGTGTTGGTGTGTTGTATTTGTGTCTGTGCGAGGTATTGGGCCATGCGTCTTTTGATGTTTTTGGGGGGCGTCAAGCATCAGAGGACAAGGAGTGTTGGGCTTCAGATGTTGGGTGCTACGGACCGGAATTAGGGGCACCCCTAAGTTCGGAAACTCCCATATTCGGCCATGTGGGCTCCTCGGATTCTTCCGGCCGGCGGTCAGAAAAAGCGTTTCGGGTTTAGGGTTTAGGGTGTAGGGTTTCGGGTTTAGGGTTTAGGGTTTATAAGGTTTATAAGGTTTATAAGGTTTATAAGGTTTATAAGGCTTATAAGGTTTATAAGGTTTATAAGGTTTATAAGGTTTATGAGGTTTATGAGGTTTATGAGGTTTATGAGGTTTATACGAGGCTTCCTAACCCAGGTCCCAAACACCAAGAACCCTCAACTTAGGCCTGCGCCGTTGCCCGAAATGAAAGCTCGAATCCCAAGCCGGAGGTGGAGCAAGAGCAACCTAACCCTGTTTTAGGGTTCAGGGTTTAGGGTTTAGGGTTTGGGGTTTAGGATTCAGGGTTTAGGGTTTAGGGTTTAGGTTTCAGGGTTTAGGGTTTAGGGGGTTTCCGAAATTAGGGGAACCTCAGTCACTGGGGGTCGTTTTGATAAGGGATTCCTATTATTTGGGGGACTATATTGGGGTCCCTTAATGTTCGTAAACCCCCATATCAGAGTACCAACTCCTCAACATTGCTCTTCAACACTCCATCTACTCGAATCGATTCCCTAAGGGTCCATGTACCTATTTAGTATATACTTGGGCCTCAAAGGGGTAAGGGCTCAGGATATACTTTGTAGGTACATGGATCCTTCGTGATTACCTTTGCTTCTCTTGCGTACGCCTCCTCCTGACCTGTCCACCCCATGGGACTGCGAAAGGCTCAAACCCCAGCGATGCTGCTCGGCATGAGAATGGCGGCTGTTGTGCGGGAAACCTTTCACTGCGCTTTTTTGGGAGATTTTCCCTGACATTGGGGCGCTGCGGGTGGTTTGGGGTGTTGAGGGTCCCGGTTGCATGGCCTGGAGGCCATAAAGCGTTCTGTTGTAGAAGCAGTGCTTCTCATGAAGTCTCTGGGTACCCGGGGTAATGCAGGGAGGCCCCTGAAACGCAATCAACCCAAGAGCAATATAGCACAAGTTCGGAACCCGATATGCTGCAGTACTCTCCCCCTAAACCCTAAACCCTAAACCCTAAACCCTAAACCCTAAACCCTAAACCCTAAACCCTAAACCCTAAACCCTAAACCCTAAACCCTAAACCCTAAACCCTAAACCCTAAACCCTAAACCCTAAACCCTAAACCCTAAACTAAAACCCTAAACCCTAAACCCTAAACCCTAAACCCTAAACCCTAAACCCTAAACCCTAAACCCTAAACCCTAAACCCAAACCCTAACCCTAAACCCTCACATGCCCATGCCGACCCTCAAGCCCTGGACTCCTCAAGGAGGATCGGCTGTCCCTGACGATCTTCCTCGGCATACCGCAGCTGCACGAGGAGCCTGACCTGTTCAGAGTGTCGCACACAAAGGTTTAGGGTTTAGGGTCTGGGGTTTAGGGTTTAGGGTTTAGGGTTTAAGGGTGATAATTTCGAAGCCCCGGCTCTTTGCCCGCAGGCTGCACGGTCCCAGCATGAGGGCACACGCGGCGAGCAGGAACAGCAGGTGGGGGCTGGGGATACAGGGCCTCGGCCTGGAGTTTAGGGTTTAGGGTTTAGGGTTTAGGGTTTAGCGTTTAGGGTTTAAGGCGCACTTCAAAAACTCTCGGATCTATGGTCTTTGGGTAGGATGTCCCTGGATTGCCCTGAGCTCTGAAACATAACCCTAAAACCTAAACCCTAAACTCTGCGAAGCCAGTGGGGAACAACCCGAACGAGTTTTTGTCGCACAGCGTCGAGGAGGTAGGATGCTCCAAGGGTAGTTACATCGGCCGTTTATATGGTTCCTAACGTCCTTTATTAAATTACCCTAAACCCTAAACCCTAAACCTTAAACCCTAAACCCTAAACCCTAAAAGGGTTCTGATGTATGGGTTCTTGGGCTGTGTAGAGCATATAAAGGGCTTGTAATTGGTCCCCTTGTAACTACCCGGACAACAGGTCCTAGGTTGCCGTGGACTTCCTTTGAAGGGAAATGTGCGTTTTGCTTGGGTTTCGACCCGATTCTTGAAAGAACAGTCTTCAACATGTACCCAAAAAACTTCTTGATTTCTTAATTTTTTCTGCTTGGTTCTTACTGCTACATTGCGTTTCGGTTTCTCAGATACACCGTGTTAACCCGGAGCCTCATCCCTTAGCATGTTTTGCAAAGAGGCAAAAACGCTGCAAGTACCAGTGTTCTGGGCCTGTGTGCCCATGTGACAGTTTTTCTTGTTGCACATCCTTGCGCAGTATGTTGTACAAAGAAGCAAACACGCTGTAAATACCAGTGTTTTTGGCATAGTCGCAAATGGCATGGACGCTTGTGACTACGTGTCCTGTACACATCCTTGCGCAGTGTGTTGTACGAAGAGGCGAAAACGCTGCACATACCAGTGTTTTGGGCGTGGACGCCAAAGGCATGGACGCCTGTGACGTTCCACATCCTTGTGCAGTATGTCGTACAAAGAGACAACAACGCGGTAAATACCAGTGGTTGGGCATCGTGAAAGCACGGACGCTTGCGACAACGTGTCTGGCGCAGTCTGTTGTCCAGAGAGGCGAGAACGCTGTAAATACCAGCGTCTGTGCATGGATGCAATACGAATCACGTTCTTATCCCCCCCCCCCCCCCCCCCGCCCCCCGCAGCCGAACAACAGGAAAAGTGCAGGCTACACTGTGGCAACCCAAGACCCGAAACCCCTAAACCCTAAACCCGAAACCCTAAACCCTAAACCCTAAACCCTAAACCGTGCCAACTATTCGAAGAGGTGTAGGGATGGATGTCTGCGCCAGGTCTTCAACTGGTTCGGGGAGGCTCAGCACATGGACTCATGGTCGGCCGGCGCGCGGTTCGACGAGATACAGGAAGCCTGCGGCACACCAGGGCCGTGCTTTTAGGGGTTTTTGGGGTTTAGGGTTTAGGATTTGGGGTTTAGGGTTTAGGGTGCAGGTTTTAGGGGTTCAGGGGCCTTCAGACTTGAGGCTTAGGGCAGAGGCTTTGGGCTTCAACCAGGGTTTAGGGTTTTCGAGCTTCATGGGTGCACAGCTTCCAGGGCACCTTATGGGCCCAAGTCAGATTCTGAGCCACAGTAACCTTGAGCCTGAACCCCTTCCTGACGCATGTTTGTTCGCTCACAGAGACAGAATCCAAAGACCGAGGTAAACCTCAAACCAGACGCCGACCCATGGAAAGTCGGGAATCTCTCCTTCACAACATGCTGCTCTAGGTCTAGGTTCGAGGGTTCAGGCTTTGGGGTTCGGGGTTGACGGTTCATGTTCGGGGCATGAGGATTGAGGGTTCAGGGATGAGGTGAGAGCGTCCTTCATTGCATTTTCCGGAGTCTTTTGGAGCCTGAGCCTGAAAAACTGCAACAGGTTTTCAACGTCGAGCTCCTGCAACCCGGAGCCCCAAGGTCTACATCGGCCCAGAACCCGGGCCTCGATACCCCTATAAACCCTATAAACCCTATAAACCCTATAAAACCTTATAAAACCATATAAAACCCTGTAAACCCTGTAAACCCTATAAACCCTATAAACCCTATAAATCCAACAGCTCTATAAACCCTATAAACCCTATAAACCCTATACCCCTCGTCGAACTGGGTCTCGTCTTCGAACTCGTGTCGAAGCGCTTGCACTGGATGTTGTGTGAAGGGTTTAGGTTGCAGGGATTTGCCCAGACCCTAAACCCTAAACCCTAAACCCTAAACCCTAAACCCTAAACCCTAAACCCTCAACATCAATCAGAGGATTCAGGGGGGGCGTCAGGTCTTCACGGACTTCCCGAAGTTCCCAAAGAAAGCTTTTTTCAACCTGCCACAAGCAGCACGCGCCACGACTTAGACCATGAAACCCTAAACCCTAAACCCTAAACCCTAAACCCTAAACCCTATACCCTAAACCCTAAACCCTAAACCCTAAGCCCCAGGAGATGTACTCCCACGGTGATGGCTTTCACCAGTCTGTGCAGGAGCTGCGCTTTGGCATGCATACGGGAGGTATAAGGTGGCCTAAAATAACATGGCAGTTCACGATATCAGGGGCACCTTTTTGGGGTTTGTTGTGAGTCCTACTCTTTTTGGGGTCTATTTTGGGGGGTCCCTATCTTCGTAAACCCCCATATACCCAGTTGAGAAGTTCACTTGTTGCATGTATAACTTCGCGGCTACATGGTTCTCGGGGAGCTGTTGGTCTTGCCGATGTCTCATGGGTGGTCAGCATTGCTTCGTGCTGCCAACATGGGTCTCGCAGTCTGTTTTCACCACTACTATTTGCTTAAGAACCCCAAAAGAATGAAAAAACATAATCCTTATATTACCCTTATAAGGAAGAATACTTGTTATTCTTTTTTTTTTTTGGGGGGGGGGGGGGGGTTCTTAAGAAACTACTAGACTAGACCTCGGGGGTGCACGACGAAGGCTCCGCAGACCTCGGCCCATGCCATCAAAGACGCGGGCACGGCATCGGCAGGTGGCCCGGATCCCTTCTAGGGCTTGGGGTTTAGGGTTTAGGGTTTAGGGTTTACTGTAGTAAGGGTTGGTTCTGGCCTTTATGGATCAGGGTAGGCTATGTATGTGTCAGGAAAGTGTGGGCTACCAGAGAGTTCCACCCCCAGGATCCCGAGATGATGATTCGAGGCCTGTAAGCGTGAAAGGTCGTAGAATCTAGGGATTCCTAGCTCTGCGCGTAAACGTTTGCTTTCCTGAGGTTCCCTCCAAAGCTCTATGAGCTCCAGATCTGGAGTTCATAGGCTCATCTTTGAACTCCTCAACCTGGAACCCTGCCAGCAAACCCTGCAACCCGAATCCAAACCCCAAACACTAAACCAGGGTTTAGGGTTTAGTGGTTTAGGGTTTAGGGTTTAGGGTTTAGTGTTTAGGGTTTAGGGTTTAGGGTTTAGCTTCAATCTTCATCATCTGCACTGCGGAGGCGGTTGCCAACGCTCGTGCCAAGGCCGAGCAGACGGTGGCGGAAACATCGCAAGCCCTTTCTGGGTTGCGGGTTTGAGGGCCTCGGGTTTCTAAACCCTAAACCCTAAACCCTAAACCCTAAACCCTAAACCCTAAACCCTAAACCCTAAATTGCTCTCAAGGGTTCCTGACCCAACACGTTCCTTCCCACCACCCATGCTTTTCACCTCGGCCCCCCAGCCCTACCCGCATCTCCCCCCAGAGGTAAACATAGCGTGTTAGGTTGAAGAGAGTTTAGGGTTTTTTTCAGCCTATCATGATCTAGGGAAGTGTGTGACAGGTTGAACACCACTCCTGCCCTCGGCTCACCGCCCATCCAAGTGCCATCATTGTTTCCATGCAGCACGCATCGCTAGTCTCAACTGGCAGGTAACAAGCATCACTTGACTGCCTAGTAGTAGATTTTTGTAACCTTTAACCTTTTTTGGGCAATATAACCCCCTTAAAATCCCAAAGGTTAGCCGTTAGTTCCCCTAGGTTACTGGACAACTAAGACTGTGCATTTCACCGTAGCTTACCACGCACAACCCGGCAAGGGTCGGGCAAGAACGTCCGTGGCAGTTCCTTCGAGCGTGTTTTGCTGCAAGATGGGCATTGACGTTGCATCTTAGCCTCCATAAACCCAAGACCTGACAACAGTCAAGACTCGAGTTCCTTCAAACTATGCCATCGATCGACCGACCAGAACTGCAGAACCGCTGTCAGTCAACCTGGAGACTAGTCTTCGAAGTCTACCTGACACAATTTCCCAATGGCCCCTCAGCAGCACACCCATGTCAGGTAAGCCGCAGAGCACTTGAAGCGTGCCGAGACCCAAACCGAAGCCCCAAACGCCCCAAACCCCCAAACGCTATAAAACCCTAAACCCGAAACCCTACACCCTATATCCAATCCCTGTCTCGCGAGATCCGCGGCTCGACAACCCTCGCAGCCGCGACGGCTTTCTGCACTCCTGGCGCGGGAGTCGGCACGATGCGGGCGCGCGGCGGTCGGGTAAACAATTCCTTTCAGGTTCTATAGGTACTGCCAGGTAGGATCTATGGTCTACAGGGATTGGGACTTTGGCAGTTTGTTTCAGGAAATTGGCTCTGACAGGGCCTCCAGGACCCGAAGCTTTCGGGATGTAGGTTTCAGGTGTTGCGTCGCACACTAACCCACGACAGTTCTCAATGGTGTACCTGCCTATGTGGCTAGAGGCGGAACTTTGCAGGAGACCAGGAAGACAACGAAGGACAACTCGCCTGCGCCTCTCCAAAAAACGACCTGCGAGCCTCCGGGCAATGCCAAAGCTCACCTTATCATACTCATCTGAACCGGATTCTGCCTGTTTTTGTGTCAGTCCGTCGCTGTCATGGCAGCTGGGGCAGCGATGTTCGTCCGGCGAAGGTTGGGCGGGAGGGGGGGGGGGGGGGGGTGGTGGGGTCTCGGGCACTTCAGAAAGACCCCTTCTAGTTGCCAGCTGCTAGTTTCGACTAGGTCCTGTGATGCCTGACAAGTTTTCTGGTTCTGCGGTGTTTGTTGAGATAAGCTTAGTGTGTCCTTCCATCTGTCCTGGTAGGCACAGATAAAAACAATTCAGAGTATCAGTGCCAGGCTCCTCGAACCCACGAAAACATGTCAGATGCCCATACCCCAAGCCCCAAACCCCAAACCCCAAACCCCAAACCCCAAACCCTAAACCCTAAACCCTAAACCGTAAAACCCTAAACCCTAAACCCTAAACCCTAAACCCTAAACCCTAAACCCTAAACCCTAAACCCTAAACCCTAAACGCTGAGCTGTCAGGCCTGCCGCACGGAAGTGATGGGCCCACGGTTAGGGGCTCCCAGGGTTCCTGGGGCACGTCGACATGCCCCTGAAGCCCGAAGGGTTTAGGGTTTAGGGTTTAGGGTTTAGGGTTTAGGGTTTAGGGTTTAGGGTTTAGGGTTTAGGGTTTAGGGTTTAGGGTCTTGGGTTTAGGGTTTAGGGTTTAGGGTTTAGGGTTTAGGGTTTAGGTCTTATTAGGGGTACCTGATAAGGGGTCCTTATGATAAGGGGATCCTACTATTTGGGTGTCTATACTAGGGGCACGTGGCCCCAGAAGGATGCGAACGAATCAAAAGGAGCCTGTGTGCCAAAGTGGTATCCGGTAAGTTGCACGAAGCGGTCCTTCATGCCTGAATCCCGGGTTTAGGGTTTAGGGTTTAGGGTTTAGGGTTTAGGGTTTAGGGTTTAGGGGTTTTAGGGTAAGTCCTGAACTCCTTTCCGCGAAAGCCACCCAGTGAAGGCTTATGGCAGTGATGAAGCTGGTTTTATACCTACCTTAACTAAGGTTATGATATGGGCTGCAAAACCGATCGATCTTTCAGGTTGCTTCTGCATGCAAAGATGATTTGGGCAATTGGAATTCGGACCTGCGAAATGCTAGGGCCCACGAATCTTCCATGCCACCTACGTGCCACCATTCCTTACTGCACCCTGAACACCTGAACCCTGAACCCGAAGCCCTAACTAAAGAGTTTGCCAAACACAAGGCTCTGAGAGTCTCCGCAGTCGGGGCTTGCAATTCAGAGTTTCTGCTTGCTCGCCTTCTGTGTTAAGAGTTGCTGCCGATATGCTTCGTTGCCTGTCTACCAGCCTTTTCTGCTTGCCCCTCCGCAGGTGAAGAGCAAAAACGATGCTGTGCCTAAACCCTAAACCCTAAACCGTAAACCCTAAACCCTCCGGGACCCTCCGCAGGTGAAGAGCAAAAATGATGCCGTGCAAGTTACCGTGGACTCCGCGGAGCACGCGCGCAAGGCCCCCTGATACCAAAGGAGGGTGCGGGTTTAGGGTTTAGGGTTTAGGGTTTAGGGTTTAGGGTTTAGGGTTTAGGGTTTAGGGTAAGCTGCAATGGCTCTGGGTGTTTGTAGCTCTTCCCCCACAAGGGGTCCTCCTGCCCCCCGCCCCCCGTCCATGCGGCAAAATGAAAGGCACAATCCGGAGCCAAGGGGCAGTTTTAAGATCAGGGGGACTTGGTTGATACCCCTGCCTGCATTCTGCTTGATGATTGAACTTAAAGGTTTCGGTTTTGTGATGCTGAAGGAGGGGCCAGTGTGCGTCCCCCCTAAAGCGCAGCAAGCCCATGGCTGCGAATCACCCTAAACCCTAAACCCTAAACCCTAAACCCTAAACCCTAAACCCTGTTTCTCGGCTCGGCTTGCTCACTTCGGAGCTGCGATGCTTGAGTGAGTTTTTGCCGGGGCTCCAGGCCATGAACGCCATGAAGACCTGAAGCCCGGAGAACTTGAACCCTCGTTTTGGGTTTAGGGGCTGGGGTTTAGGGTTTAGGGTTTAGGGTTTAGGGTTTAGGGTGTAGGGTGTAGGGTTTAGGGTTTAGGGTTTAGGGTTTAGGGTTAAATTTCCAAAGCCCAGCAGAAGAAGCAAGGTGGTTCGATGGAGAAGAGCATGCGGCAAGAGAAGCGGGCCGAATCAACCTGGGGGTTTGCGAAAATCGGGGCACCCTTTTTGGGGGTTCCTATAGTAAGGATTATACAGTATAGCTGTATTGTAATTTATACTATTTGGGGGTTCCTATTATAAGGGTTATACAGTATAGGATTATAATTTATACTCTTTGGGGGGTAAGGGTACCCCTATTTCAGGAAATTCCCACCTGCTGTCCAGGATCTGAAGCTGCAGCTGTCGAAAGCGCAAGAGGAAGCCACCAACTCGGCCACCTGTTACCTTCACTCGCTTGATAAAGGGTTTGGGATTTAGGGTTTAGGGTTTAGGGTTTAGGGTTTAGGGTAAACGGCAGTCTAGTTTCAGACGGACGTGGAGTAAACATTCGCGTCTGGGAGTGCTGGCTGCACTGCTGCTTGAAGTTCAAAATGAGCCCTACCCCCTCAGCCTGAAGAAGCAACCCCAGCAATATTACGGCGGAGATCCGCTGGTTGACCCCGTCTCCCCATTACTTCGACTTAGACTTAGAGCGCCCCTTTGTTTTTCTGAGGTCGTTCATCTCCAGGCTCGTCGGAAAGAGCTATCCGAGAAGTTGGAGGAGGAGTTGGGGAGCAGGAAAACGATTGGCTTCTGGGTAATAGGCAGTTGGGGGTCAGCCGTCACCTGCGCACCCTGTGGTTTGGGTTGGGGAGTTCTCGGGCTTATACGGGTTCAGGATTTAGGCTCTGGCATTCTAGAGTTTTTGGAGGTTGGGGAGTTTCGAGGGTTACGTGTTTAGGGCTTCAGGGCATTAGGGTTGATTGTTGAGGGAATTCCGGTTTGATATTTACGATGCAAGGTTTTTGGGCCGACAATGGTTTTAGGGGGGACTCTCAGGGTTACGGTTTGGGGGTTCAAACCCTAAACCCTGAAGCCTGAACCCTAAACCCTAAACCCTACACCCCTATTCCGGGCTTAATAGAGTTTGGGGGCTCTTGGCTTTAAAGCTGAAAGCTGAAAGCTGAAAGCTGAAAGCTGAAAGGAGAAGAGCCGGAGAGCGGAGCTGACGGAGAAGTGGAAGAAGCTGAAGGACGCTGCTCCTGGAGCATTTTGGGGTCTAAACCCTATAAACCCTAAACCCTAAACCCTAAACCCTATAAACCCTAAACCCTAAACCCTAAACCCCAAACCCTAAACCCTAAACCCTAAACCCTAAACCCCAATTCAGACCACTCAGGGTTCGGGAGGGTTCTGAGTTGTCGAGTCAGCAGCCTTAAGCACGTTTGGTAATTTAACAGGCCCTCTGAGAACTGCATAGAACTTGGACAAGTAGGTCCAGGAGTCCAGGAGAAGGGGTTTAGGTGTCAGGGTTTAGGGGTTTAGGGATAAGGGTTTGGGGTTTAGGGCTTGGGAATTAGTTCGGCCTGACTTTTGAGTACTTTCGACGGTCTTCCAGTCCAAGGAGTCGGCGTCTGGTAGTTGATTTGTTGGTTTTTAATGTTTAAGGTTGGGACTAGTACGGTTTCAGTGCTTCGTGCATTGGAACTTTATGATTATGCGTGCACATCAGAGCATACACATCAGGGCCATTTGGCAAGTCGTTGTGTCGTGAAGTGCTGGTCTACTGTTCTTGCCGTGTGCAGAGGTAGCACAGCGATTGAACAGAGCTGCAATCTTTTTACGAGCCCGCCGACTGGCTTTGACGTGTCAACTATCCCAAACTTCGCTTGAAACGGCTTGGAAGTTCCGAAGTTCTGCACCATAAGGTTTTGTAAATGCATCGAAGCCCTTATGCCACATCTGCACATGCACGTGTGCATGCTGTTGTTTGCTTGCGCTTCCTGTGTCGGTTAGAAGGGTTCAAGGTATTTGACACAGACCCCGCCTGCTGCACAGGTCGGAGTAACTACTCGTACTAACAGCATTCTCTTATGGTCTCTTTATAGTTATACTATAATAGCCGCATTATGTTGTTCATGAGATACGGGATTTTGCTGGATGATGTTCGCTCCCGATCGTCCCCCTCCCGTCGCTGGCTCGTGCCTCTGGCTCGTGCCTCTGGCTCGTGCCTCTGGCTCGTGCCTCTGGCTCCGAAGTTGAAAACACGACCACGAGGTGAACGCGACACAGAAAGCAAGACAAACATCAAGTAATGTGGCGGGGTCGGAATAATACTCATAGTATTCCCTTATGGTCCACTTTTAAGTATTACTATAAAAAAACACCGAGAGCACGACATAAGCAGCTTAAGCTTACGCCCACCCACAGCCCTCAACTCCAAACCCCTAAACCCCAAACCCTAAACCCTAAACCCCAAACCCTAAACCCTAAACCCCAAACCCTAAACCCTAACCCCAATCGCTTCGGGCCCCCACCTGGAGACTTGATGTGAGGCGCCGGATACTTGGGGCACTCGGGCTTTTGGATTCATAACGGGCGTCATGTCAATAGGGTTAAGGGGTTCAAGGGTTTAGGGGTTTAGGGTTATAGGGTTTAGGGGTTTAAGGGTTTGGGGTTTAGGGCTATAGGGTTTAGGGGTTCAGAGTTTAGGGTTTAGGGGTAGCCTCACCCTGGCTCTGTAAACCCTGACATGTAGGGCGGTTGGAAGCAGGTCCAGGTTGCAACCCTAAACCCCTAAACCCCTAAACCCCTAAACCCCTAAACCCCTAGACCCCTAAACCCCTAAACCCCTAAACCCCTAAACCCCTAAACCCTAAACCCTAAACGACCGAAGGCGCCTAGAGAGCATTTTGGAGCTCAAGGTGGCATGGAGCCATCTATGACTCTTCGATTTGCCATCCTTGCATAGGGGGCAGAAGCGTTTCGGGTTTTTGGGGTTTTTTGGGAGCAGAAGGGTTCAGGGCTCAGGCTTTGAAGTTTTTTTTTCATTTTGTTTGTTAAATGTTGTTTTTGGTGGCTCTTGAGGGTGTAATATAGGGGTCGAATAATTACTAGTTGATATATTCCCTTATGGCGCCTTATAAATATACTATAATCACCCCGATACCCTGTTCCACATATTAAGGCCGTATAGTAAGTTTTCTTCAAGAAGCTCTGCTGGAAGTTGGTGGCGATGAAGACCGTCTGCTTCACGTGCCTTAAACCCAACCCTAAACCCTCAACCCTAAACCCTAAACCGTTGGGCCAGGGCGCACTGGAAAGCTGATCGCAGTTGCTGGAAGTCAGAAGTCATGCTATCTATAGCCCTCTTAGGAACTGTTTGGGATGTTCCCGTCCCTACTAATTAGTAGGGACTATAGTAATTACCCCCTACTCTAGTCCCTGTTAAGGACTGTCAGTGTAAGGGGGAACATCCCAAGGAATTCTTTGTGTTTTTATTTTGCTTCTATAAAACCCATCAAAACACGGTTTTTATTCAGGTTCGAAGAGGAGTATGGTTACAGGGCATGAATACCGCCACAATGGCCACCTCTTGAAAATCCCCCGCCAGCTTGGCCAGACCCTAAACCCTAAACCCTAGACCCTAAACCCTAAACCCTAAACCCTAAACCCTACACCCTACGCCCTAACCCGCAACCCTAACCCCTAAACAGCCCTGCAACCCTGGAGCCCTCGTCGGACTCACGTCCTGACGCCTGCAGGTGCCATCATGTTCGAGTTTGAGGAGCTTGAAGCTGTCGCCCCTGCAAAGTTCAGTTGAAGAAGTCGTCTCAGGCTTCAAGTTTTGGGGCTTCGGGTTTAGGGTTTAGGGTTTAGGGTTTAGGGCTTTGGGGGGCTTTGGGGGGCTTTGGGGTGCCTGTATGGCTCTTTGGCATGCCCGAGGCGAGGTTCTCTGTGATGGGTGCACCCTTAAGGCTGCAAGCTGTGCAGGGTGATGTCAAGGTCCCAAGATGGGGTGCGGAATCGTGTAGACTCGTTTGTCTTTTTGTTGTGTGGTTTGTCTTTTGGGGCTTGTAGCTTCAAGGACACAGCCGCAGTTTTGGGAGTTCAGGTTTGAGGGTGGTTTAGGGTCAGTTTGGAGTTTCCTTTATCAGACTCCAGAGATCCCAGCCTCCCCGCTAGCACTAGCCTTGTGCCTGTTCGCCCCACATGCTCAAGTCGCGCCATTTCGCAAACAACCTACGCTACGAACCCTAAACCCTAGCCCTAAACCCTAAACCCTGAACCCTAAACCTTGAACCCTTTAACACGTCCGCCAGTATCCTGGAGAGGCTGCGAAGCCCCCTCGCCTGCCCGCGAAGTTGGGTTTAGTGTTGGGATGATGTTCCCCCTTAGTTATATACTAGCAGTCCTTAATCGGGATTCTAGTATCCCCTACTGTAATCCCTACTAAGGACTGTTAGTCGAACAGCCCAAGTTCAATGTTTTTTAGTCTGCCAGGCCCTGCCTCATCAGGCAGTGGTGGTGATCGGTGCTGGGTCCAAGGAGGCCTTGGGCTCTTGTTGGGACCGACGTTGGGGTTCTTCGGGTTCGTGGTTGAGGGTTGGGATGTTCCCTCTTACACTAGCAGTCCTTCGTAGGGATTATAGTACCCACTATCATAATCCCTATTAAGGACTGCTAGAATCGCTAGAAGATGGGGGGACATCCCGAGGTTGAGGGTTTGAGGAAGTTGGTGCAGGGAAGAGGGCTGGCAGAAAGGCTTCCTGGGGCGTTCGTGCGGCTGGACTGGTGTTAAAAGGTTCTGAGTCGGATGCAGCAGGATTGTCGACTGATTGTTGTTAAGTTTCTGCTCCTCTCTTGTCTTTCAACCACGTATGTGTGAACCTTGCTTTCTCTTGGGGTGCCTAAACCCTAAACCCTACACCCTAAACCCATTGGGCATGAGCTTCAGAGCTTTCTGTGGACTCTGCGAGTTGTGCGGGTACGGGGTCCCTGCTAGATGTTGCAGGAATGTGTACTAATCAAGGGGGCTGGGTGCTCCAGGGCAGTAAGTGCCTTCAGAGGAACCGCAATACTTGCAAGTCTCGCCATGAAGCTTGGTTCAGGAGAGCTTCCCAGATCTCTGGGAGAAATCCAAAAAATAGAGCCCCCCCACAATTGTACCCTATACTACGATTGGGTCATGCTTAGGAACCCTTAACCCTTACAGGTCCTTCCGGGGGGTCTGGGAAGTTCTTAAGATAGGAGTCTTGGGCGCCTCCTATCTCTCTAAGGGTAGTTTCATGGGCCCGGGATACGGGCCTGTACCTCCAGTAAAGGGTGGTTTAGGGTTTAGGGTTTAGGGTTTAGGGTTTAGGGTTTAGGGTTTAGGGTTTTAGGTTGTGGAGGGTCTATAAGGCGTACATAAGTAGGTGCCCGGCCCATACTAAGGCACCAATGTAACGACCCAAAGACCTCTCCTTTGAGGTCAACGGCCTCTATGTGGATACTGGAGTCCAAGCACATGGAGCCCCGATCTTCAGGCGCCTGGTTTAGGGTTTAGGGTTTAGGGTTTAGGGTTTAGGGATTAGGGTTTAGGGTTTAGGGGCCTGATCGGGGTCGGGGTTCCTTCCAAGATGAGTTCAGACGTTCAAATCTTGCACAAGGATGCTGAGGGAGCTTTCAGGCAGCGCAGTTGAGGAGGCTCCTGGAGACCCAAGGAATAGCTTCATTTAGCAGCACTATACCTGTGCCGTTATCGAATGCACAGGTGACCTCCTTCGAGTTCAAATCTTTTGTGAGTTCTCAAATTAGAAAGAACACTTGCCTGTCCGAAGCTTTCCAACCCCGCAGCTTTCACAGCCTTTGCCAGACATATGGAGCACAGCGCCACACTGCTCGCGCGCGAGCCTGCTGGCAACCGCCGTGGGCCCAGACCTGGAGAGCTCCGCTTCACGTGGTACTGTGCCAAGTCGTCTAAGGCTTCAGAATGCAGCGTGTGGTAGGAAACATCTTATGGTATCTTGATCGGTTTAGGTAGGCTACTAGGCCCAACATCGGTCCACATGGTGACAGGGCTGATCCTGAACGCCTAGAGCGACAGCTAGGTCATGGGGATGCGCACGAATGTGCTTGAGGTGGGTACATTCACCTTGGTTCACCTTGCAAGTGTGTTAAAAACATCAAAGACTCAAGCCCTAAATCCTAAACCCCTAAACCCCTAAACCCCTAAACCCCTAAACCCCTAAACACTAAACCCCTAAACCCCTAAACCCCTAAACCCCCTAAGCCCCTAAACCCCTAAACCCCCTAAACCCCCTAAACCCTAAACCTTCATTGCGCCTCGTGCAGGCATCGGCTGGCTCATCGGAGTCAACAGATGCCCGTACTACGGCCACTTGGCCGTTCAACGGCAGGGCCGTTCAAGGCGGTTTAGGGTTTAGGGTTTAGGGCTAGGGTTTAGGGTTTAGGGTTATTAGGGTTATTAGGGTTATTAGGGTTATTAGGGTTATTAGGGTTACTAGGGTTATTAGGGTTATTAGGGTTATTAGGGTTATTAGGGTTTAGGGTTTAGGGACGTTCTAGCATTTGACTGTTGTCAGCTTTTCGTGTTTGCAGCTTACAGGTTGCTAACAAGTCACTCACAGTCTTTCAGCCACCATAAGATTGGGCGCACATTCATCTTAGGCGCATGGCGAAGCAAGGTGTGGTTCTTTCGACTTCTACTGTATCACAACCACTCGGCACAGTATTGAACGATGCTCAGTATGCCGAGGCATCCGCACGGATGATAGCCGCTGCCCAGCCAAGGGCTGGCGGCCGTTTAAGGTTGGGCGCTCATGTCTCAACAGGGGTCTGCAGAGGTTACATTGCACAGCTTCAGAATCTACCGCTTGATTCAGGAAGTTTGTTTTCAGCATAATGAGTGCCCAGCCCAAAATGCTGCCTGGCTTTTCAGTCCCTAAACCCTAAACCCTAAACCCTAAACCCTAAACCCTCCCAATAAACATGCATTCATGGTGACACTTGTGTTCTCTACAGAGCGTAGGTCGCCAGAGCTTGGCAATGTGAGGTTCTAGGGCTTTAAACCCCAAACCCTAAACCCTAAACCCGAAACCCGAAACCCGAAACCCTAAACCCTAAACCCTAAACCCTAAACCCTTTGCCTTCACGAAGCAGGAAGGATTGTGACTCCCTCTCCCTTTCGCCCTCTCCGTAGACTCTCCAAAATGCAACTGCAGCTGGCAGAGCAGACTTCCTTGGTCAGTTCAAGCAAAGTCACAAAGGCAGCCTGAGCGGACGTCTCCATATTTCTGCAGCAGATAGCCAAACCCTAAACCCTGAACCCTAAACCCTGAACCCTAAACCCTAAACCCTAAACCCATGATTCCAAACTCCGTACTGCGCCAGGGCGAGGGCCCCGCGCCGCGTGTCGAGGGCCGTGCCGACATCGCTGAGGCACTGGCGATTCAGGGCGTTGAGTCCCTAAACCCTAAACCCTTAACCCTGAACCCTAAAGCGTGGTGCCCGGAAAAATGCAGGAGATCGAAGTTACCCGCCCCGAAGCCCACAAGAACCACCTGCCTCGTGGAAAGGCTTCAATCTGCTTGGTGCAGGCAGGGTTTCGGGAGGGGTAGGGGCAAGTCTGTTAATTTCAGGTTGGAGGTGTTTTGCTGCTCTCGGCTTTTGTCAGACTTTGGGGTGTCCATGTCGACAGAGCACTTGGAGGGCTCAACGTTAAGGTCTTCCGGGCGAACTAGTTGCTTTAGGGCAAACTTTAGGGGTGCTCTGCGTAGTGCCCGGCTTCCCTTGGCACGACAGGGAAGGCCTCGCCTGCCGTCGGATGTTGCTCACGCAGTTGGTTCTCGCTCAGGTACATGTTGCTCCCCTTCCCCCCCCCCTCACCCAACACACTTTTCAACGTCAACCAACTAAAGCCTTTGCCCTTCCACAACAGAAGTGTCTTGGCAACCTTTCTGCAGCAGCTGGCTTGCGTGCTATGCCTCTGTCAGGTCATTGTCTCGTTCTCCTCAGTGAGACCCCCTCAAACTGTGCGCTTGAGCCGCTTCGTGGTTTAGGGCTTGTTCTTGGGATGTTCCCCCTGGTACAAACAGTCCTTAAAAGGGATTATCGTACCTCGCATTATATTCCCTATTAAGGAGCTGAGGGGGAACATCCCAAGTTCTTTGGTGTAGCGATGCGCAGAGTCGACCTATCGCTGCTACCCTTGGCCTAACCGTGGCTCCAGGCATGCTGCGATGAAGCTGATGTTGGACGCACAGCTGGGGGTCAGGACCCAGTGTTCCTGTACAGAGCTTCCGAAGTTCGAGGTACCTTATGGGGGGTGCTTATCATAAGGGATTCCTATTTTTGCGGTGGACTATACAAGGGGGTCCCCTGTTTTCGTAAGGCCCCTATGTAGTGCCTATTGTGGCATGAAGTATGCAGGAGCTCCCTGAACCCGGACTAAATGAGGCTTTTGCCAATCTTCCCCCCCAAAGCGGTGCGTGTACTATTGTGTTAAGTTCCTACATCCATTGCACGTGCGCAGTGGATTCCAACTTCTGCCCGAATGGTAGTTTTTTCACCTACCGAAACCATGCCAAATCGGCTTTTTTGGGGTGCTACCACTAGGTTCTTTCGCCAAACCATGCTCAGCGACCCGAGATTGAAATCCACAAATCCCAGCCTGGAAGCCCCTAAGACTGGAAACCCCACAGCCCTACATCAAAACCCTCAAAACTCTAAACCCTAAAACCCTACACCCTAAGCATCTAAACCCTCAAAAGTTCCGGCTGAGGCGTTAAGCGACCAGGGCCGCTTCCGTGTGGCAGCGGAGGCCGGACTTTGGGGAAAGCATCTGCTTCCATAAGTGGTTCATGTACCTAAATAGGGAATACTCGGGGCCGTAATGTACTTGCTATAAAGGCGCTTCGGGGCCCAAGTATATAATGAATAGCTACATGGACCCTTAGGGTAAGATGCCAGATGATGCGTGTGCTCGAGCCGTTGGAGTCCGCGGGCTGTGTTGCCTCAGGCGGTTGTTCATGCTCTGCCCGTGTGAAGCTCCAGGCATTTCAACATCTCAGGGGTCTGCTCCCGGTGCCCAAGCGAGCCCCCCGCGCTGCTGTAGCGAACTGAGGGAGGTCGCGGAATGGTGGCCTGAGCTCTGACTGAGCAGGTCAAGGACCACAGTTCCCGTAACCCCGAACGCTCAACCACGGGTTTGGGGGGGGGCCATCCATGATGGCCAACTGCTGTGTGGAGGCCCGCAACGGCCTTGTTGTTTGAGCCAACTTAAGGCTCGAATCGGAGCTGAGGCTCCTAACCGTCTTCAGGCCCAACTCTAGTTACCTTCTTAATGTGCATAATTTGGGATGTTTCCCTTTATGCTAGCAGTCCTTAATAGGGATTATGATCGGGGTTGCTATAGTCCCGATTAAGGACTGCTAGTATAAGCGGGGACATCCCAGTGCATAATTGCAGACGACACGTGCCTCAACCTACATATAAAGGCGCAGAAGAACGATCACGAGATGAGATGCTTTAAAAGCTCACGAGGCTGTGTTTGAGGATGCTGTGTAGACAGGAGGGATAGCAGAACGAAAGCCAAAAAGATGCTTTGGTTGGCTGCTTGGGCGGCTGGTCCACGGACGGTTTTCAAGCCTAGGAATGTCCGGTGAATCGAGTGAGAGCAGCCCTTAAAACCGGCAAAAAAAGGAACCCTCCGCTCAGCCCCTCCAGCAAGCCTCTCCTACAAACTGCATGCAGGTTCTGGGCCGCGCGCTGACGGTGCCGGTCCTTGCCTCAGACGGGCCGTCTGCGACTATTGGAGGGGGAGCGGATTTTTCTCTGGGGCTCTGGGGCTCCATGTACACCGACCTGGGAACCTTCAATTCTGGATCCTAGGCCCAGCTAAGCCCTACAAAAAACCGACCCCCCGCGAACTCTACACCGCAAGGAGCCCACCCCCCACCCCAAAGCCCCCAAGCTCCTCAAGGTCTTGCAGGCCACGCGCGCCGCCGACATCCACGGCCGGCGCGCGAAGGCCTTCAGGCAGCTGGCGGAGAGCAAAAAGAAGGCCCGGGCAACCCTAAACCCCAAACTCAAAATCCCTATAAACCCTGAACCCTGAACCCTGAACGCGTTTGGCTCGTTTCTTTGTTTCTCTTCTTTGCTTGTGGGGGGCGGCTTCATAGTTTGGGTTCAGGGTGAGTGCGGCAAGTATATTCATGGGTTCCATACTACCCCCCCCCCCTATTAATTAAGGCTATTTAAGGATAATTAAGCCGAATGAGGGTTGGGGAACCTAGGGGGGGTAGTAGGGAAACCCATGATCTAGGGTGCTTAGAATGGGTACCCAAAAATGGACCCGCGAGGGTTTTAGGGGGCCAGAAACCCCATAAACGCTAAACCCTTAACCCTAAACCCTAAACCCTAAACCCTGGAAGAGCTGCGGCGAAGGATGTTCTTGCGGGGTTTAGGGTTTAGGGTTAAGGGGTCCCAGGATTTCGTGTTCCAGAACTGTCGACTTTTTCTCTGCATGTATCGTGGACGAGGGTTTTGGGTTTGAGTGCATGTGGCTCGGAGTGCAAAATTGCGCAGGTCCGACAGGAGGGTGAGGACGACAGAGATGTGGACGAGGTGCTTCTTGAGCCAACCCTCAACACCCTAACCCAGAATTCTAGAACCCAAGACCGTGGTTTCGTTTATAGTCTTGATACCTAGGCTTAGTCCTCCGACAAGCCCCACTGTCCATGAAATGCCCCCAGGACACGAAGCCCATTAGAGATGCACAGTGGCCAAGTGAGCCCGCAACATCCTAAGTCCGACAGGCCCTAACCCTAAATCGTACAGCAGACCTCGCCGAAAACGTCCCTATAGACCTTCAGCTGCCGCCCAAACGCTAAACCAAACCCGGAACAACATCATGTCACTTTGTGCTTTGGGGTGGTCACTACTAGATAGACTGCGTGTAGACTGTAGACGATAGTCTGTAGACCGTAAGCCTCAAGCCGAAATCCAAAAGCCCTACAACCCAAACTTGCGCCCTGCGCAGTCAACCCAACTAAACGCTCAATGCAGCCCGATCGGACGAAGTACCCTAAACCCTAAACCCGAAATCCTAAGCCCTAAACCCTAAACCCTATACCCTAGCTTCAGGATCCTCTGCACGGCTTGGCAGCCGAGTGGGCTGTGGAGGAGGTGGCCTTTTGAAAATGGGTCCTGAAAGCTTCGTGGCTCCATCGCTCCCCAACTCACATGGGCCTGGGGAGGATTAGCGCTGCTAGAGATAAGCAGGGTTACAAGTACCAATGTATATGGTTACAACCAGTTCTAGGTAAAGTTGCCTTACTTCCGTAAAACCCTTCCATGTCTAGGACCCAGAGTCGGCCCTGTTCCCCTTTTTTTAGGGTCTGGGTTCCCTTATCAGCCCCCTTTAAACCACAAAGGGGCACCCTTTTCATCCTAGGCGACTCCTGTGTCTAGATGCTCCTCGTTCTGAGTCTTTATAGCTCTCTTGAAGCGGATCCCACAAAGCCCCCTTGGAGGTTCATGGTACTTACTCACCAAATTGCCAAATAGTAATTGCACTTATAACCCAATTACAACCATATTGGAGCAATCAAGGGGCTTGTAAGTGGGTTATGAATACAGTTATATTGGGTTACTAAGTACCCTGAACCTCCACCCCTCCCCCCACCCCCCGACCCCGCAGCAACCGAGGCCCAAATCTGAGTACACTAGCTCTCACGCTCAACACTCCTCCTCCAGCAATTCCTGAGGGTTTGGTAGCCTCGCAAACGGAGAATGCGAGCATCATCTAGAGTGCAAGATGAGCTCTACAGTGCAAAATGAGCTGCACCAATGACCCCACGGCCTACAGTGAGAGGCGGAGAAAGCCTTGGAGAAAGATCCGCCGCCCATCCGCAATTTTAACGGTATGAGATGTTGAGTGAGGGAAGGAAAGACCCTGGAGTCCAGAAGGCTTGGGGGGTTAAGGTTAAAGGGCCAGGCCTTTGAGGGTTGAATAGGGCTCCGCACATAGCCCATGGTTTGGCTGCACACGCTACCTCCAAAAGCTCGTACTTCACGAGTTCCCCCAAGTCGTGGGATGGGCCCGTTTTGTTGGCACTTCATGAAGTTGCGAGGAGGAAGGCAGGGGAGTGTAGTGTTTTGGAAAGATTGCCCCAATGCGTTGGGGTTTTATGTGCGGCAGAGCTTGAGAGGTAAAGGTGTGGGGGTTTATTTGAGCTGCGACTGTCATTGCTATTCCTTTCGCCATTATGAGCCTTTTGAAGCGAAATACAAAGCTGCCTCAACTTGCACAAGGCTGCTCTATGCCTGTTTGGAGGTCTCCAGCTCCACTTCCGGGAATCAAAAACGGCGAACTCGGACTCCAAAAAAACCAAATCTCGAGCCTGCAAGCCGCACCAAGCTATGCCTCAAGCGTGCAATCTCCAGCTCCACAAACCTTTTCTTTTTTCAAGCCGCCAGTTGGACCAGGGTTTAGGGTTCCCTGAGCTTTGAACCCTGAAACCCTAAACCCTAAACCCTAAACCCCAAACCCTAAACCCTAAACCTTAGTGAACCCTGAGTTCTCCGCCTCCTTTAGCTGTGCAAAGGAAGTGCTTCCTCGCTGCCTGGGAGGGTGCAGTGGCCGCGAAGCATGTAGGTGGGCGCGACAGGATTGAGTGTATTTCGGGAAAGGGTTGACGTAGGATCTTTGCTTCATCAATTTCAGTAAATAGGGGGGGGCGGGGGGTTCTGTGCGTAGAACCTCTTATGTACAAGGTGGAAAGTCTCCTTTGGGGATGTGTTTCTTTCTTTCCGTCAAGCGTTTCAGAGATTTAGCTATAGTCTAGTACTCATCTGCTTTATGAAGTGTATAGCGGTCGTCAAACTTGCTCATGTCAGGCTTCTGACGGGCATAGTTTTGTTTGATGTTTTGATTCGATGTGTTTTTGTTTCTGCTTTAGAAGTTTACCTTCATGAGAAAATGCAAGCTTCCTCCTTTGTCTTACTCGAGAGGCAGGCAGCAATACGACCTGCTGCACCTGTGCAAAAGATACTTGCAGTTTGTAGACAGGCCTGCTGGTTTGTTGAGCTCGGCGACCGCAGTTACTTCTTAATGATGGAGGGGGCGTGAGGCTCCTGACCCGCTAGTTGTCCTTGAATACCAGATGTAAACATCTCGAAACCCCAAACGCCACACATACCGCAGCACACTTAGGTGTTCTTTTCTTGCGTTCCTATATAGGGACCATAAAGGAACACTAATCTGTAATTTATTCCGAACCCTATTGTAGACCCTGACCAAACCATACGGAAGGCTGGTGGACGAAAGGCCGGCAGCTCGCCAAGCAGGCGCATTCGGGGGGGGGGGGGGGGGGGGGGGGGGGGGGGGCTCCCAAGTTGTTGGTTTAGGGTTTACGGTTTAGGGTTTAGGGTGTAGGGTTTAGGGTTTAGGATTTAGGGTTTAGGGTTTTCGGGTCGGAAGAATCACTCATGGCATTCCCTTATGGTCCCTATATACCAATACTATTGTAACCGCCAAACTTTCAGGCCCCTATAGTATAGGGTTGTATAGGCCCATGCGGCTTTAGGGTCCTTTGCCTTCGGGTATAGCTTTTCCCTACTCCCTACTACTCCCCTCGAAACTACCCCCCCCCCCCCCCCGCCTTATGTTCCCCCTGTAAAAAAACCGCAATTCGCTTAGTTATCCCTAAGTAGCTTTAATTCTGAGGGGAACCTAATTATGGAGGGGGTAGTATAGAGGGGGGGTAGTAGGGGAACCCATGACAAGAAGGTACCCCCTAAACCCTAAACCCCAAACCATTGAGCGCTCCTTGCGTAAATCACAACAGGGCAAAAACGCAGTGTCACTTCGCAGTGGTTCAGATGACGCGCCGACAGCGAAGCCAACACCTGGGTCCAACAGAAGGGTTTAGGGGTGTAGGGTTTAGGGTTTAGGGCTCTGAGCGCACCACAGGTTTGTTTTTGTCTGAAGTACAGATGTCTGCATCGAATCACAGTTTCGGGGCAAGGAGTTGTGCCCCCCGCACCTTCTGCAGGTTGACTGGGGCTGGTGCAGCATGTGCACCCCGTTCAAGGATTGCGAGCTCAGGCGCTAGGGTTTGGTCTTTGGCTAACGGTTCCCTTCCTGGAAACCTGGCCCTTTGCAGCATTCATCAAGCGTTCCTCCGGCGTGATGGCTTCTTCTCGCCGGAGCCTCTCTGCAAGGCAAGGAATCTCGCGCAAGCGCGCCAAACAACACGACCACGAGACTACGAGCGATGTCAGCAGAAGAAGAAGCTGCCACAATATGGGGGTTTCCGAAGATGAGGGACCCCGAATATAGAAAAGGCTCCCAAATAGTAGGATTCCCTGATAAGAAGGACCCCAAGCAGGTACCCCCCTAATGTTCGGAAACCCCCCAAATTGGAGGCAGAATGGCATTCCAACAGCCCCCAAGGGAAGCCCGCAAGCACAAAGTCCTTCGGTGGGGGGTTTGCCGAAAACAGTTGGTGCCCTTTTTAGGGGGGTCCCTTGAAGGGGATTCTACTCTCTTTGGGGTGTAAAGGGGGTACTCCTATTTTGGGACGTGCCCAGGTGTTAAAACCGGGGGGGGGCCTCTTAGAAGCCTCACATCCAACATCGGCCGAGATCTGACACCCTTGAAAAGCCTCAAGCCCTGCAAGCCGCTGAAGATCTCACACCATCACGAAACAGAGTACATGTATTTCCCCCAAACCCAGCCCTCCAAAACAAGATGCTCAACTTGAAACCAACCGCCCGAAACGTTTTCGAAACCGAAAAAGCAAACCTCAAAGCCTGGCTCCGCGAACTTACCAGCATGGGCTCTTATACCCAATATCCCCTTAAAAAGGCCCTTTATAAGGTTGATTATGGGGATTCTAGGGCCGAATAGCCCATCCTGGTAAGCCTGACCAGGCGATGCAGGCGGTGCCTGCCGGTCCTAAGCACCGAGCAGAGCGCGAGACGGCGGGACCAGCAGACCGGCGTTGGATAACCCTAAACCCTAAACCCTAAACCCTAAACCCTAAACCCTAAACCCTAAACCCTAAACCCTAAACCCTAAACCCTAAACCCTATAGATGGTGTCGCACCTCAGAGGCTTCTGGTGTTCTACATCATGTGGCTTGCGTAGTCTCAGAACCTTCGGGACCCTGTAGGATGCAGAGATTTGGGTCAACGGCTGGAAGGGTTGGTGGTCAGCGCTTCCTATCCTCAGACTTGTGAAGCGTGCGAAGTACTGGACATGAAGGGTGTGTGCATGTCTGCGCGTTCGGTTCGGCAGAGCTGGTTTGTGTAGCTTGCTTTGTCTGCCATTGCTTCTTGTGAGACTGTGCTACCGGCCAAAGCTATGCATTCCTACTTGAGGAGCTCAGATTTGTTTTACACCGGTTGCCCCGGCACTCGTAGGAGTGTAGAGCAGGGGTTTGGCTTGTCATATGTTTGAAGCGGATATGGCTGCAGAGGTCGGCATTGTAGCCTATGGTTCACCGGAAGATTTCGGGTTCGGGACCTTGTGCATTATCGGAGTTTCGATGAGCTTTGTGGAGAAGCTGCTTGGTTCAGCACGCCCGAAATCGCACTGAGGCAGCTTCGGCATCATGCTGCATCTGCTGCCCCTACAAGCGGCCGAAACCAAAACATGCTACTAAACCCTAAACCCTAAACCCTAAACCCTAAACCCTAAACCCTACACTGCCCCAAACCCTAAAACTCCCAAACCTGCTCTGTTTTGCTGCTGCGGCCCTAAGCTGAACCCCCTCCAAGCCATGATCGAGGCTCCCCTTGCAAAGGTCGGTTGAAAGGTCTGTCATTGCCCTAAACCCGAAACCCTAAACCCTAAACCCTAAACCCTAAACCCTAAACCCTAAACCCTAAACCCTAAACCCGGTCTATCTCGTGGCTGCGTTCTTGCTCTTCTGGCTGGGTGGGCCCTGGCCAGGCCAGCACACTTTTCCTGCTGATGGCGGAAGAGGAGCAAGAAGAGCCACTTGGGCAGAGGAAGTGTAGGAACTGTTTCTTTGTGGGTAGTCTGTGGGGCTCATAACTTGTTCCCCTGAGCCTAATTTCGATGCGTGGCCGACATGCGGGTCATGCTTCAGATCTTCGTCTTGCATTTGCCCCGACTCGCCAAGCCCAAAACTTGAAAAAACAATCCTGAACACCTGCAGCCCCCCGCATGCCCTAATACCCCACACCTGACCCTCAGGAAGCAGAGGAAGGCTGGGATCTCAGCTTCCGAGCCCTTGTAAGAGCATTCGGCTTCGCGAGGCGTCTTTTTTGCGCCATTTCGGAACTTGAGAAGACTTGGGAGGGTTCTTTTTTTTAGGTTTTGGAGATGAGCTTGTGTGGATGGAGGGGATTTTCGGGGGGGGGGGGGGGCTTCAGGGCTTCAAGAGTTCTGGGGCATTGAGAGCTGAAAGTGCTTCAGGCAGTTGCAGGTTCAGACTGGAGACATCTAGACCTGCAGCCCCGAAACACCAGAAAGGAAACTCCCAAGCCTCCAACCCTACACTCCTAAACGCTCCTAAACGCTCCTAAACCCTCCTAAACCCTAACCCTCCTAAACCCTAAACCCTAAACCCTAAACCCTAAACCCTAAACCCTAAACCCTAAACCCTAAACCCTAAACCCTAAACCCTAAACCCTAAACCCTGAACCCTGAACCCTGAACCCTGAACCCTGACCCTAACCCCCCTTCAAAACCTTGAGCTTACCATGGTGTTCGTGACACGGACGCGATGAAAGCATCCATGGGCGATGCGATCCAAGATTTTGTAGCTCATGCTCTAGGCTGTAATATTTAATTGCCAATAGTATTTGATGTCCCCTATATTCACCACAACATATACATATATATAAACCATATCCCCCCAAAGCCCTATTCGAAGTATTAACGCACCCCGCCCGATAGTATACGAATAGCATGCTTCCCATCTTCGATTGCATGAAGCCGCAGTCCTGTGCATGTTGTCATCATAGATGTGTTCTAACCTTTTTGTTTAGGGTTTAGGGTTTAGGGTTTAGGCTTCAGTTTCAGTGCCACGATTTCCGGGAGATTCATTGTAAGTTGGAAGGTAGACGAAGTGAATTAATGACCACAACTATGCAAGGACAACCTTCGGTTTGAAACCCTAAGCCCTAAGCTCAAAACCCTAAAGTTAGCAGGCGTATTGGCTGCAATGACTCCAAGAAAGCAGCAAGGGTCCCAACACATCTTCCTTCGAATCTTCTTGTTACCAAGCAGGGCCCCCTAAACCCTAAACCCTAAACCCTAAACCCTAAACCCTAAACCCTAAACCCTAAACCCTAAACCCTAAACCCTAAACCCTAAACCCTTTACGACCCCCGAGGGCCTCAAAGCCCTCAATGCCCAGGTGCGCGAGCTGCAGCAGGCCAAGAAGTCTGAGGAGCCCGAGGTGGATCAGAAGGAGTCCCCCACGATCCGTCTTTGTTTTAGGGTTTAGGGTTTAGGGTTTAGGGTTTAGGGTCTAGGGCGTCTCGCCGCGCAGCGGCAGCAAATACCATGCGTAAATGGCGCCCCAACACACCCAGAAGTGTGGTGAAGGTAGTGGGGCGGGGATCAGGTAAGGGGGAACACAGAAAGGGGGGTTCAGGGCGCCAGCCAGGGCCAGGGAGGGTCAGCAAGGTCAGGGGGGGGGGGGGGGGCAGTTGTGCACAGTTTCAAAAACAGCCTTTTGGGCTGTTAAAAGGGTACCCCCCCCCCCCCCCAGGGAAACGTCCTCCGAAGGATTCCGGCGCGGGCTTTAGGGTATTCTCATCAAGAGGAGGATCGTGGGGGTTCCCCTTGTAAGTATAAGGCACCACGTAAGTGGTCCTAAAGCAAGGCTCAGCCCAAGGGGCTGAATTCGACCACTCTCCAATGGCTCCACCCATTGTCCATCCAGTGAAGGTGTTCTTCACTGCCGGTTATCTTCTGGGTCCAGGCACCCTAGAAAAGGGTGGGTACGGCCTAAGCAGGCCGGGTGGGAATTTAGGGTTTAGGGTTTAGGGCTAGGACCCGGAGTACTCAGCCCTAAACCCTAAACCCTAAATTGTCACAAACCCTTCCAGCCCATAGTCCGAGCCTTATAGGGCCTCCCCCAATAAGCCCCAAAAACGCGTGCCCGGCAGGAGGTGGACTGGGCTCGAGGGGTTGCGTTGCAACTCAATGAGGCAGCTCACTTCATGCCACTGTGGGCTCCAGGATTTTCGGGCTTCGGGTTCCGAAATTTACCTTAAGAGCCCCTGCAGGCTGTTTTGTGAACTATTGCCATTTTTGTTAATTTTGTTATTTTGGTTAATTAATGCTATTTTTGTTTTAAACTTTGGTGTTTATGAAAGGCTCAGGGGTGTGGGGCTACTTCGAGGTTTGGGAGGGTCACCAACACTGGGTGGGATGCCTTGGCATGCGAGGGTTCAGGGTTTAGGGTTTAGGGTTTAGGGTTTAGGGTTTAGGGTTTAGGGTTTAGGGTTTAGGGATGTTCCCCCTTATACTCAGAGTCCTTCGTAGCCATTATCATTAAGGTACTATAATCCCCACTAAGGACTGTTGGTGTAAGGGGGATCATCCCAATTGTGCATGCAGAGTGGCATGTTCCTACTATTTCTTATAAGACCCCCCCCAAAAAAAAACAAAGAAACAGCAAAATGTTACTCTTCCTGGTTCTTAAGCAAAGAAAGAGTCATGTCGGGAGGTTTTTGGGGTCGGCTGAGGCGTGGAAGGCTGCGGACCTAATCCTGCGCCCCCCAAGCTTCCTGTATGTGATGCCCTGGATCCAAGTCCTAAACCCTAAACCCTAAACCCGACTCCTGAACTTCCACAGCGCTTGCCAAGTTGCGCCCAGGGCCAACGTTCGCAGGTCCCCAACTCTCCTCACCTTGAACCCCTCTCTCCTCCGCCCGCCAAACCCTAAACCCTAAACCCCTAAACCCTTAGACCCCTAATTCCCTAAACCCCTAAACCCCTAAGCCTCTAAACCCCTAAACCCGTAAACCCGTAAACCCTTAACCCCCCCAAACCCTAAACCCCATAAACCCTAAACCCTAAACCCCATAAACCCTGCAAACCCTGTAAACCCTATGCCCCCAAAGAAGCCGAGCGCCAAATGTGCCAAAGCCAAGCGAGAAGAGGCCCTCAAGGCTGAGGACTTCAAGCGCCCGGCTCCAAGCACGGAGGAGGGTTTGGGGTTTTGGGGTTTTGGGTTTAGAATTTAGGGTTTAGGGCTTAGGGTTTCGGGCTGTCTCGTTTTTTTTCATGAACGCTTGCGGGCAATGGCCATGGCTGCTTCGTCGGCCTGCTGCTGAAACCAAAGCCTGTGCCATGTGGACTGTTCAGTCTCACACGTCCCTTCCGAAGCCCCGCCTCCGTCCGAAACACTCCATTCATCTGGAAGACAAGGGAAGTTCTAACCAATTCCCTGAAGTCCGACGACGAAATTGTTGTGCCGTAGTGGTTCACCAAGAAGGCGCACTTTCGGCACTGCAGCATCTCGGAACCTCAACGGGTTCCCTAAGTTCAAGCCATTTCCCTGAAGTCCTTGAAGACCCCCTGAACTCTAGCAGCCCAACATCCCCAAAACCATAGAACATCCCCAAAAGCATAGACTATGGAGTAGGAAGTGGGGTTCAAGGTTGAGGGTATGGTTATTTCCCAAAATAGCGGTACTCCTTCTATACCCCAAATAGAATAGAATCCCCTAAACGGGACCCCCCAAAAAAGTACCCCCAATTTTCGGAAACCCCCAAACCCTAAGCCCTAAACCCTAAACCCTACACCCTAAACCCAAACCCCACATGCACCTACCTTCGGAAACCCGAAACCCTAAACCCTAAACCCTAAACCCTAAACCCTAAACCCTAAACCGCTGACCTTCGATGAGGCCCGCACCATCAGGTGTGGAAGTTGATCGGCCCGGGCCTTCGCAAGAAGGAGCCCAGTCTGGTTTAGGGTTTAGGGTTTGGGGTTTAGGGTTTAGGGTTTAGGGTTTAGGGTTTGGGGTTTGGGGTTTAGGGCTTAGGGCTTAGGGTTTAGGGAGTTTCCTCCTTGGCCCTAAACCCGAGAACCCTAGACCCCACCTACTAAAGCCTGAACCCTAAACCCGCGGCTTTGGTCTCAACCTGCAGCCCATAAGCTCCCCATGTCGTTCATCCCCAATCTTCAGGCTTTCTTCGGTTTAGGGTTTAGGGTTTAGTGTTTAGGGTTTAGGGTTTAGGGTGTAGGGCTTAGGGTTTAGGGCTTAGGGTTTAGGGTTTAGGGTTTAGGGTTCTGGCTGGCTCTTCGGACAGGTAACCTGTAAACTGAATCTACCGACATCTTAATATGGGGGTTTCCGAAATTAGGGCTACCTTCTTGGGGTCCTTGTTACTTAGGAGCTGGGTAGGTAACTGGAAACTTTTGGTTATATGGAATCCTACTATACATGGTTAGCCACTTTGGGCTAGGGTATTCAGCCCCTGAGTAAGAGGATCCCTGCTGTTTGGGGATCTATATTGGGGGGTCCCCTATTCTTGGCTGTCTTCTGGCCGGCTCTTTGGACTTTCACCATTTTTGGGTTGTTGAAGAAACTACCATAAGGAGCCTAAAAGTTGAACTTTTCGGAGGAGTTCAGAAGTCAGCCAAGTTCAACAGTATGAAAAGAGGGTTTGCCCTTCAATCAAAAAAACTCGGGAGGTTGCAGCATCAAGGCCCCACACACTCTACCGTGAGAATCTGCATCTTGAACTAAACCCGAAACCCTGTATAAGCCATGAACCCCAAGGCCGAAAATCCTCACACCTCCGCTCCTGATCTTCGCCTCGTAAGCCCTTAACCGCGTGGTCTCCAGGATACCGACATGCTCTTTGGGGAAATCCGCCAGCTTGTGTGGGAGAAGCCAGGGGCTCACGTTGCCACGTTTCGGGTGGCAGAATTGAGGCCTTAAAAGGCCTTATAAGGCCTGAACGTTCCGAAGCCTCAAGGGTTTGGGGGTTAAGGTTTAGGGTTTACGGTGAAAGCTCGATCTCGGTCTCTTGCATAAAATATCTTCCTTCGGGGTGGGAAGCTCTTGTCTTTCTCTTCCCCTTTGTTCCTACCTTTCTTGCTTTCTTTGTGCATTCCGCATGTCCTCTTGTAGAGTATTGTGCCATAGCCGTAGCGAATACTATCACGCAGTGAATCATTCCAGCCTTCCCGCATGATCACAAGCCCATGTGGCTGTTCAAAGCTTCCTTCGTGGAAACAGTTGCAGTGTAGATCAAGCAACTTTAGGACTTGGCCCATGGCGCTGTGGAGTTTGATCGGCACCATGAAGATCTGGGTGCTGCTCGCAATCCCAGTGCCGGCCGAAGAAATCGCAGCTCCGGTGACAACCGACTACGGGTGCTTCCGTGGCTCGGAGCCTCCATGCAAGACAAGATTTGGTTGCACCAATGGCTTCGCGTTGCACTGCAGCATGTTTGACTACTTCGAAGGTTGTGAAGGCTGGTGGAAAAAGGGCATTGTGGGTGGCGAAGCCTGGGAATGTTGCCAATGCCGAGGTCCTGCACCTGTGAGCACTGCAACCCCAACATCGCAGCCAGTGGAGTGCTGGGCCACTCCGGAGAAGTGTCCGCTCTCGAATGCTGGATCTTGTTGCCTGAGGACGGCCCAGTGCCCCGAAGGCTACGAGCTCGCAGGGGCCTTGGAGATCTGTGGGCAGCGGACTTGCGGCGAACTCAACGACTACACCTGGACTGAAATCAACAACAACTCCCGCAACTGCTGGTTCGGCCGCGAATCCGTGACATGCCAAACGTGCGTTTATGTGGCTGATCGTACCACCACGTCCCGGACGCGCACGACCACCAGCACAGCCACGGTCACTATCACAGTGCCCTCCACGGCTGTGTGGGAGCCGGTAGGCCCCGTGGGCGAATCTGCTTGCCGAGGGCGGGACGTGAACGACAACTCAGCTGGACACTACACCGTGCATGAAAGGTGGAGTCTTGAGAGCTGCAAGGAGCTGTGCCTACAACTATACCCCAGGTGCAAAGGAGTTGAATACAGCCCAGGCCGTTGTGAGATCTGGACAAGGCCGCAGGGCATCTACATCTCCAAGCCGCTCGGTGGCTTCACTTGCCTTCGCTTCGGGTGGCCTACGGAGGCCCTGATACCGCTTGGGGTAGGCACTGCCTGTCGTGCGCGCTCTCCGACAGACAACTTCCAGGCTCGTGGAGGATTGCAAAGCCCAGTGCTCCGCCGCAGCCACGTGTTTCGGCATCGAATTCAGCCTGGGGCGCTGTGAGATTTGGCTGCGGCCTATCGAAGCCGTCGCGGAGCTCGAGGGCTTCAGTTGTTTCGCCTTCTCGTCACTCCCCATCCTTCCTTGAAAATTGCAGGTCGTTTGGGGGGGAGATTTTGGAACTGAGCACCTTTGAATTAACTACTATTTGCTTAGGAACCCCCCAACAACAGGAAAACAAAAACAAGAATCCCTGTATTGCCCTTATAGGGAAGGACATATTTCATTTTGGGGGGGGGTTCTTAAGCAACAAAGGGGTTAGTTAGAAGCTCGTATCGATCCCTTGGGCGTACAGATGGCGAGATGCTGCCCGACCGGGCAACTTCTCGTGGCCTTGCGGGCAAAACAGTGGACCACACCTGGATCCTACGTATGTTTTCTTACGCAAACGAATATGGGTCTCCGAAGTTAGGGGTACCTTGTTGGGGTCCTACTATAAGGGAATCCTACTAGTTAGGAGTCTATGTTCGGGGTCCCTTCTTTTTTCGTAAACCCCCGTATTTGCACGAACTGAACGCAAAGGCAATTCTTCCTGACATCGCTTCGCAGAAAGATGGATAGAAGCAGCGAGCCAAACGGAATGCGAACCTTGACTCCAGGCCGCTGGCAGTCTCATGTTTCAAGCCAAGCTTGCGAACTTAGTCCTCGAATCCCGGCACCGGCAAAGCCTCAAGACGGCCTTCAGCCTTCAACTTTCCAAGGTGGAATCCCATTGCTTGGCAGCATGGGTACCGGACGTCCTGGGACACCATGGCGAGGCAAGGATTACACCGCATCGGCCTCGACCCCAAACCTCCGTCATCTGCAAAGCTACGCACCCTGAACCCTAAACCCTAAATCCCTAAGCCCTCAAACCCCCAAAGCCCTAAATCCTAAAGCCCGTATTTCACACTTCATTTAGAAGCTTACAGCCTTTGAGGTTTCTGGCGTCGAATCTTCAAAGGGGCGTAGGGGCCGCAGGGGTCGATGGGTTGGGATTCCAGGTCCAGGGCTTCCATGGCCAGACTGCTCGTGCATGGCCAGTTCGGTAGCTTGGGTGCCCTAAACCCTAAACCCTAAACCCTAAACCCTAAACCCTAAACCCTAAACCCTGTAGCGCCTGTTTCCCCCCATGGCATGTGTGACCGTGAGCCAAAAAGAAGTTGAGCTCCGGCAATGCCTCCCGAGCTGACTCGTTCTCAGAGAGAGAGAGAGAGAGAGAGAGAGAGAGAGAGAGAGAGAGGAAGGGAGGGAGGGAGGGAGGGAGAGGGAGGGAGGGAGGGAAGAAGAGAGGGAGGGAGAGAGAGAGAGGGAGGGAGAAGGAGGGAGAGAGAGAGAGAGAGGGAGGGAAAGGGAGGGAGGGAGGGAGGGAGAGACGTTCGCGTGAGAGGACTAGGGTTCTTTTCCCTAGTCCCGCAGGCCCGCAGGCACGGCGGAAGAAGAGATACAGAGAGAGAACATCTTCACTCTTATCCCTCGTATTTGCATCATGAAGACCTCGCGCGTGCTGGTGTTAGGAAAGCTTGGTGCCAGCTCTTGGGGGTTTAGGGCTCATGCTTTGGGATGTTCCCCGTTTTACTAGCAGTCCTTAGTAGAGTCCTTAATAGGGATCATAATATCGGGCACTATAATCCCTATGAAGGACTGTTCGCACAAGGGGAGCATGCCAATTCATGCCGGAGGAAGAGCTTCTGTGCCCGCATTGTGGACGTGGCGAACACCGGTGCTGCGGACGAGGCGTGTGCGCATCACGCCCTGGCAAGCTCCTCAACAGATCTCCAACCCTTGTTGAGTTCACTTTTACCCTAAATCCTAAACCCTCAGCCCTAACCCCAACCTGATTCCCTCCTGCGCAGGTGTGTCTGGAAATCCGTTATTCCAGCATTGTTCGTGTGCTGCCATTGCGTTGCTCGCCCCTGACATGCTTTGGACATCCTCAGTGCCTTTCTCTGCGCATGCAAACCCCCGGGCCCACACTCACGATCCTGGAGATGTGGGCCCCTATTCCATGCGCCACAAGGGGTCACAAGGTCTCCGTGCGCCGTGTTGCAGGGTTGCTTTGCGTGGCAGCTTCTGTGTCAGAATCGCCGGGACAGAGCAGCATGAACAATTTCAGGCTGATGCTGCAGCAAGTAAATCAGTAGAAACTGCAGATATCCTGAGTGGCCTTTCCTGCGCATGCAAACCCCCGGGCCCACACTCACGATCCTGGAGATGTGGGCCCCTATTCCATGCGCCACAAGGGGCCACAAGGTCTCCGTGCGCCGTGTTGCAGGGTTGCTTTGCGTGGCAGCTTCTGTGTCAAAATCGCCGGGACAGAGCAACATGAACAATTTCAGGCTGATGCTGCAGCAAGAAAATCAGTAGAAAATGCAGATATCCTGAGTGGCCTTTCCTGCGCATGCAAACCCCCGGGCCCACACTCACGATCCTGGAGATGTGGGCCCCTATTCCATGCGCCACAAGGGGCCACAAGGTCTCCGTGCGCCGTGTTGCAGGGTTGCTTTGCGCGGCAGCTTCTGTGTCAAAATCGCCGGGACAGAGCAGCATGAACAATTTCAGGTTGATGCTGCAGCAAGAAAATCAGTAGAAAATGCAGATATCCTGAGTGGCCTTTCCTGCGCATGCAAACCCCCGGGCCCACACTCACGATCCTGGAGATGTGGGCCCCTATTCCATGCGCCACAAGGGGCCACAAGGTCTCCGTGCGCCGTGTTGCAGGGTTGCTTTGCGTGGCAGCTTCTGTGTCAAAACGCCGGGACAGAGCAACATGAACAATTTCAGGCTGATGCTGCAGCAAGAAAATCAGTAGAAAATGCAGATATCCTGAGTGGCCTTTCCTGCGCATGCAAACCCCCGGGCCCACACTCACGATCCTGGAGATGTGGGCCCCTATTCCATGCGCCACAAGGGGCCACAAGGTCTCCGTGCGCCGTGTTGCAGGGTTGCTTTGCGTGGCAGCTTCTGTGTCAAAATCGCCGGGACAGAGCAGCATGAACAATTTCAGGCTGATGCTGCAGCAGGTACATCAGTACAAAATGCCGATATCCTTAGTGGCCTTTCCTGCGCATGCAAACCCCCGGGCCCACACTCACGATCCTGGAGATGTGGGCCCCTATTCCATGCGCCACAAGGGGCCACAAGGTCTCCGTGCGCCGTGTTGCAGGGTTGCTTTGCGCGGCAGCTTCTGTGTCAAAATCGCCGGGACAGAGCAGCATGAACAATTTCAGGTTGATGCTGCAGCAAGAAAATCAGTAGAAAATGCAGATATCCTGAGTGGCCTTTCCTGCGCATGCAAACCCCCGGGCCCACACTCACGATCCTGGAGATGTGGGCCCCTATTCCATGCGCCACAAGGGGCCACAAGGTCTCCGTGCGCCGTGTTGCAGGGTTGCTTTGCGTGGCAGCTTCTGTGTCAAAACGCCGGGACAGAGCAACATGAACAATTTCAGGCTGATGCTGCAGCAAGAAAATCAGTAGAAAATGCAGATATCCTGAGTGGCCTTTCCTGCGCATGCAAACCCCCGGGCCCACACTCACGATCCTGGAGATGTGGGCCCCTATTCCATGCGCCACAAGGGGCCACAAGGTCTCCGTGCGCCGTGTTGCAGGGTTGCTTTGCGTGGCAGCTTTTGTGTCAAAACTCGCCGGGACACAGCAGCATGAGCAATTTGAGGTTCATGGACGAATATGACACATCGGTGTGCGATCACTGAGATGGGGGCCTTGATTTCTCAGGTTTTTGAGTCCCAAGCAGTCATCTGCGGTTTGCCCACCTTGATGAAAACTGAGACAGGTGAAGAAGTTGGTGAAGGAGATGGAGGCCGACAACCTGCTCACATGAAAGCAATGGGTTTAGGGTTTAGGGTTTAGGGTTTAAGGTTTTGGGTTTAGGGGTTTGGTTTCGCGAAGCCCTTCTTAGGCCTGCAAGGCTTTCTCACGTTGCGAAGCTTGGGCTCGTGCTTTTCTTACCGTAAGGCGAGTTGCTTCTGATAGCCTTGGGAAACTTTGCGGGGGGTTAGGGGGGGGTTAGGGGGGGTAGGGGGGGGTCGGGGGGGGTAGGGGGGGGTAGGGATCGCCTGGCGTGAGCTTGGGGGTGTGCAAGGTTAAAGCTGATTGGTTGTTGCCGCGGTATGGGATGTGCGGGGTTTACGATGCCGTAAACCCCTAAACCCTAAACCCTAGCTTTGGTTTGCAAACCCTGCCTTGGGCGGATGCTGGGCCGGAAGATGACCCATGATTATCAGAGAGGTACGGAGCCTACGGTTATATGCTAGAAGCCCCCATCATGGCATCAAACAAGACCCCATCATCAAGGGACTAAAGAAGGGACCCGTTTAAGGGACCTTATAGGGGTTACATAGGGTAGGTATATATTGGGGAAGATAGGTTTAGGGTTTAGGGTTTAGGGTTTAGGGTTTATGGTTTAGGGTTTAGGGTTTAGGGTTTAGGGGAAAAAGATGATAAGGGGTCCCTTCTAAGGGGTCCCGCCTTTTTCCCCCCTTAACAGCAAGAATTCGGCTATCTTTGGCAGCTTTGGCTCAAGACCCTCCCAAGAGCCACCGACCGCTCGCAGCTCCCACGCCCAGCGCGGCACCCCGGATTCGAAACTTTCGAGCGCGGCGCAGCAGCCACTGCAGCTGCTCGTCTTGCTCTTGGCTAGGGGAAACCCTAAACCCTAAACCCTGAACCCTGAACCCTAGAAACCCTAAACCCTAGAAACCCTAAACCCTATACCCTAAACCCTAAACCCTAGGGTGGCGGGGGAAGGGGGGGTGGTAAGGGCTTCCGCAAGTGCGGCTCAAGAGGCTGGTTTTTGGGTTTAGGGTTTAGGGTTTAGGGTTTAGGGTTTAGGGTTTTGAGCTTCAGGTTGTAGGGGCTAGGGTCGATATGGGGGGTTACTAATGGGAATCTCGGGGTAGTTCATGGGCAGATTTTTGGCTACAGCGTGGGCCCGGAGCTAGCACCCCTAGCCTGGGATGCGCCTAGGCACTGAAAGTTGCAAAGAGCCAGCGGACCCCAAGGTTGCAGTTTAGGGTTTAGGGTTTAGGGTTTAGGGTTTAGGGTTTAGGGTTTAGGTTTAGGTTTAGGGTGTATGGGTTGGATTTTAGGAGACAAAGATCGGATGACCGGCAGTTCTAAGGGTAGTTGCATGGTGCCCTTAATATGGCCCGTTACCCTCTTTAAAGGAGTCTGAAGTATGGGGTCTCAGGGTAATAAGGGGGTCCCCTTTTAAGGGCCCATGTTTACGGACCATGGAACTTCCCTTTGAGCCCAGGTAGAGTCAGCCAGTGGCATCTTGCCTTCAAATCAAGAGGCTCTTCTCGAGGTCCGAACCCACCATGCGATTCATTACGGGAGGATCCAAAAAGTAGAACCCCCAAATAGTACCCTACACAAGTATTGAGTCATTCTTAGGAACCCTCAAGGGGATCTACTGTTTGGATCCTCCCAGTGGTCTGGGTAGTTGCAACAGCGGGATGAAGGTGCGACAGGGTATGGATGGTCTTGGGAGCTTCCTTCCCTCACGGGAAGAGCAACCAACTTAAAGCCCTAAACCCTACCGGGAGCCTCAAACCCTACCAACCCCGAGCCCCATGAGCCCTAAACCCTGGCCTTAAGCCCCACACCCAAGCTATGAGGGGGGCTTCATGCTTTCAGGGAAAACCTTTAGCTGGGGGGCTCAGGCCGGCGGAAGTTGGTAAGATGCCTGACTTTAGGGCTCAAAGGGGTCCGGGTTTAGGATCCATAGACGGGTTCTCAAGTTGAAGGTTTAAGTCAACTCCGTACATTGCCAAAGTTTGCACTGAGCGGACCAATCCATGTGTCCTGCCCTAAACCGATCGCAATCCTGAACCTCACATTTCCCGTTCACTCCCCCCCCCCCCCCCCCCCCCCCCCCCCTCGCAAGTCTCTCTTAAAACAAACCCAGTACAAGCCCGTGGGTACGGGCCAGCACCTCCGTTTTCGGGCAACCTCGGGAGACTGGTAGCGCTGCTGCAGTCTGTATGCTAAGGACGTCCCTCGCTTGCTTCCACCTCCGCAGGTGCAATCATGGCGGGCAACAAGCCCCTCTTTCAGCCTTAAATCTGTGCAGCTCCGGGAGAGGGACTTCATGGCAGGCTTCAAGGATGTACATTGAAAGGTTGCAAAGTATACGGCACTCATATCAATCGATGCAACCTGGCGAGTGCCCCTACGTCCGAGTCCTAAGAACCCTACGAACCTTCGGAGCCTGCTGAGTGCCCCTGAAGTCGAAGCCCTCCCAAGGCGAAGCGTGTAAAAACCCCTGCAGCTCGCATCAAAGACCAAAACCTTAGGGTTTAGGGTTTAGGGTTTAGGGTTTACAAAGTCTCCAATCCTAATTTCAACTCCTCCGAGGTTTTGGGGCGGTGACTCCTCGTCCTCGGACTCCGACTCGGACTCCGATTCCGAGGAGGAGGTGGGCTGGTTGTTCCCTGATGGTCAGTTTGTCATTTTGCGATGATAACCCCCAAAACCCTATTCGTATCATTCAGGCCCCTACATTATGGCGCTGCCTGCGGGCTGAGGGAAGGGGGAGGAAACAGGGATTTGGGGTTTGGTTCCTCTGCAAGCCAGACCCTAACTTGCCCCCTGAGCCCTGGAAACCTGCAGTAGCACAGGAGGCTTTAAGGGGTTGCATCCAGCTTTTGCTGGTAGTTTTTTTGGGAGGCAGCCCTGCCTTGAATGAGAGGGCAGCAAAAGGAGTGCATACGAAGGTCAGACCCTAAACCCTCAACCCTAAACCCTAAACCCTGGACCCTAAACCCTAAACCCTAAACCCTAAACCCTAAACCCTAAGATTCTGAACCTGCCTAAGCCATCCTTCAAGGGCACGCGAGAGACCCGTACCACAGCAGAAACCTGGAGCTGCGTGAAGCTGCACCCCTAAACCCTAAACATCCCTAAACCCTAAACCCCTAAACCCTAAACCCTAAACCTTAAACCCTAAACCCTAAACCCTGTAAACCCTATAAACCCTATAAGCCCTATAAACCCTATAAACCCTAAACTGCCCCAAGAGCAGGAGAAGCCCGTGGCCGCAGCGGCCGCGCCCAGGAGCGATGGAAGGGGGCTCACTGGGCTCACTGGGCTCACTGGGCTCACTGGGCTCACTGGGCTCACTGGGTTCAGGGTTTAGGGTTTAGGGTTCAGGGTTCAGGGTTTAGGGTTCACTGGGCTCACTGGGTTCAAAGGTTATTTTCTATCTCTGAAGTTTTACCATCAGACTCACGTCCACTTCGACTTGGTGCCCTTGTCCCTTTGTTGCTTCGAGGTTCCCTTATAAAGTAAAGTAACCTCCCCTTATCACCCAAAACCCTAGACCCTAAACCCTAAGCCCTAAACCCTAAACCCTCAACCCTAAACCCAAGAAAGGGTGCCCTTATCATGCTATGGCTACTGGGCTACCAAGTCGATGAGCCGCAGGAAGATGGCTCGCTGGGCTGAAGCCTCATCCAGTGAAGACGAAGGCCACGCCATTCAGGGTTTAGGGTTTAGGGTTTAGGGTTTAGGGTTTAGGGTTTAGGGTTTAGGGTTTAGAGTTTAGTGTCATGCAAAACTAGGTAATATAGTTGCCTTAATAATTAGAACAGGGCCCTGGGGGTTATGATAGTACACATGGGAATACCATGAGTAACTATTCCGACCCCTACAGTAGGCCCTTGGGACATTTTGTCTGTTTTCCCTGATTGGGGGTTAAGAGGACCACACCTAGGAATATTTTTCCGAGGGTTTCAAGGTCCATCCTTTTAGGGTTTAGGGTTTAGGGTTTAGGGTTTAGGGTTTAGGGTTTAGGGTTTAGGGTTTAGGGTCTGGAAAACGAAGCCTTGCGAAGTTGAATGGCAGTCTCTTTTGGAAGCCCAGTGCACGAGACCGGCCTCGCGCCAGACACCCAGGAGGTCCCCCGTAGTCTGAAACCTCCCATACGCGCCGATGAACCCTAAATCCTAAACCCTAGGCCCTAAACCCTAAACCCTAGGCCCTAAACCCTAAACCCTAAACCCTAAACCCCAAAACCCTAAACCCTAAACCTTAAACTCTCTCTTTCATATAATAATTTAAACCTTAATGGGGAACGTGGCCATTGGCAAAAAAACCGTGGCCATTGGCAAAAAAACCGTGGCCATTGGCAAAAAAGCCGTGGCCATTGGCAAAAAAGCCGTGGCCATTGGCAAATTCGCCAATGGCCACGGGAAAGTTGCCAATGGCCACGGCTTTTTTGCCAATGGCCACCAATGTCATTAAGGTTGGTCGCCAAAATGGGTTTTTCAAACCCAATTCGCACAAATACCCCCCCAACCTTAATGGGGAACGTGGCCATTGGCAAAAAAGCCGTGGCCATTGGCAACTTTTCGGGTTTTTTGCCAATGGCCACGGCTTTTTTGCCAATGGCCACGTTCCCCATTAAGGTTGGGCCCCAACCTTAATGGGGAACGTGGCCATTGGCAAAGAAGCCGTGGCCATTGGCAAGTGGCATTTGCCAATGGCCACGGGAAACCCCCCCCCCCCCCCCCCCCCACCCCCCCCCCCCCCCCCCCCCCCCCCCACCCCCCCCCCCCCCACCACCCCCCCTACCCCCTGCCCCCTACCCCCCCCCCTCTTCTGCATTCTGGGCTTGAAAACCTGGTTCTGGGCCAGATCAAGATGAAGGCTTTGCGGGGCGGAGCGCGGTAGCCCCTTTTTAGTCTTTCTCATCTTGAGTGGTTCGAGGGTGGGGTGGGGAAAAGCAACTTCCGAGGGGGGGGGGGGGGTTGGAAACCTGGATGAGGGCTTCGCAAGCAACCATGTGGAAGCCAGGCAGCTTGAAGCGTGTCAAAACATTAACTTTTTCGGTCCATTCGGACCAACGTCTAGTCATACGACAAACCCTAAGAGCGCGAAGGGAGGGACATGTGACGAATGTGTAGACCTTTCATCAAACCATACGAGCACGAAGGGAGGGGACATATGACAAACCCCACGAGCACGAAGGGAGACATACGACAAACCCTAAGAGCACGAAGGAAGAGAACGTGCGACAAACCTGTAGACCTCTCATCAAACCCTACGAGCACGAAGGGAGGGGACATACGACAAACCTCTAAAATAAGCCCGTACATTTCTCAATGTTTTCAGATTCTCTGCAAGCGGAAGAAAAGGGACATACGACAAAGCCGACGAGCACGAAGGGAGGGGACATACGACAAACCCTAAGAACACAAAGGGAGGGGACGTACGACAAACCTGTAGACCTCTCATCAAACCCTACGAGCACGAAGGGAGGGGACATACGACAAACCCTATGAGCACGAAGGGAGGGGACATACGACAAACCTCTAAAAACAAAAGCTCAGTTTCTTGATTTTTGGGGTTCTCTGCAAGCAGACGAGGAGGGACATACGACAAAGCCGACGAGCACGAAGGGAAGCGACATACGACAAACCCTACGAGCACGAAGGGAGGCATACGACAAACCCTAAGAGCACGAAGGAAGAGAACGTACGCGCAGAAAGAGCACGAATACGAGCAGAAAGAGAACGAACACGAGCAAAATGAATATGAGCAGAAAGAGAACGAATACCAGCAGACTGACATCGAGCAGAGAGAGGACGAATACGAGCAGAATGAATACGAGCAGAAAGAGAACGAGTACGAGCAGACTCAGTACGAGCAGAAAGACAGCGAAAATCAGCGGACTGAAATCGAGCAGAGAGAGAACGAATACGCGTAGAAAGAGCACGAATACGAGCAGAGAGAGAACGAACACGAGCAAAATGAATATGAGCAGAAAGAGAACGAATACGAGCAGAATGATTACGAGCAGAGAGAGAACGAAGACGAGTAGACTGAAATCGAGCAGAGAGAGAACGAATACGAACAGAATGAATACGAGAAGAAAAACAACGAAAACGAGCGGACTGAAATCGAGCAGAGAGAGAACGAATACGAGCAAAATGAATACGAGCAGAACGAGAACGAACACGAGACGAGCAGATCAGAAAAAGAACGAATACGAGCAGAATGAATACAAGCAGAAAGAAACGCATACGAGCAGAATGGAAACCAAGCAGAATGACAAAGAACACGAGCAGAATGAATAAATGAGGCTGGAGGACAGGGCTTGCTGAGGAAAAATGTGAACTTTATATATCTTAATGTTTTGGGATTCTCTGGGTGGGTGGGTTTTTTTCTAGAGTCCAGACAGCGGCTCTACTAGAGATTGCTCGACCCAGAGCTGCTGAACCCTAAACCCTAAACCCTAAACCCTAAACCCTAAACCCTAAACCCTAAACCCTAGCGCATGAGATTTGTAGGTTGAGGGTCGGGGCCTTGCCCGAAGCTCTAGATCCTAAACCGCCCAGCAGGTGTCGCGCAAAGACGTGTAGTCCGCTCGCACACTGACAAGAAGAATGAGCAGATGCTCGAGGGAATAAAGGTGATGAAGAATCACATGAAGCTTCTCGATTGCATCTACGTGGGATGAAGGGTCTTGAGGTTGGTGCCTGTCGTGGCATTTACTTCTCTTGGCTTTCCACACGAGCTGCTTGACTTCAGCATAGCAAGATTCGAATAAGTTATAGCCGTCAATCTCCAAGCAGGGAGCGTAGATGAACAGTGATGAGGTGCCAGATGGGGCAAGTTTCCTTTCGTGGCTGCCTGCCCTGTAGCCCTTATCATGCTCGATCGGCCGCATCTTTCCTCCAGCAAGATAGGCCCTTACGCGCCCTAAAGTCTTCAGTCTGTCCTCAGCCGACGGTTCTGGGTCCTTTTCAACTAGTTCTCTCTCTATCCGTCCTTTTCTGACTTCATGATCGATCCAGAAGAGCGAAGTTGAAGGAGAACCTCATTGATGGGGTCTTAACGCGGTTCATTCCTCCTCCAGCATGGGCTACTATACCCTCTAAGCCCTTAAAAAGGCCCTTTATAAGGTTGATTCTGGGGATTATGGAGCCGAATAGCCCATCCTGGCGTGAATCTGAAAGCCTCAAGCTGCTGGCGTCGGGACTTCAACGCTTCAGTTTGGGTTTTGGGGTGTTCGGGGCTCTGATGCTGCAGGTGTAGCAGTGTAATATAGGGGGCCTGAGTAGTTGGAACATATATATATACACATATATGTATATATATATATATATATATATATATATTTTTATATATGTGTGTATATGTGTTGTTTTTTTTTTTGGGGGGGGGGTGATTATAGTATAAGAATAAAGGGACCATAAATAGAGTTTTTGGGGAGGTTACTATAGTATAAAAATAAAGGGACCATAAGCGAATAGTAGTCCGACCCCTATATGAGAGATTGGGGCTCCATGGGTTGGGTAGGGGCTCCTCCTTGGTTTAGGGTATAGGGTTTAGGGTTTAGGGTTTAGGGTTTAGGGTTTAGGGTTTAGGGTTTAGGGTTTAGGGTTTAGGGTGGCCATGTCGCAACATGACAGGATTGATGACTACGCCAGTACGATCACTGACTACGAGTCTCTCCTGAGGCAGGGCCTTGCAAGGGTTTAGGGTTTAGGTAATGTTTAAATGACACTCTAACTGCAGCCCCGAACTCTAAAGCCATTCAACGACCTTGAAACCCGAGACCCCAAAACAGACCTCAAAAGAATGAGCAATTCAATATACCCTAAACCCTAAACCAGGATTTGCGGTTGAGTTCATCCTCGGAATCTTTCCGCCATGTTCTGAATGTACAGGATTCGTAGGGCTCAGGGTTGGAAGGTTTGGGGTTCATGTTTCGGGGTTGCTTTAGTGCTAAGGGGGTCGGGCTGCGGGAATCCTCTGTGTCACCAGTTCAGGCTTCAAGCAGGGTCACCGGACCCCAGGATCCGATACCCCCTTTACAAAGATGATAGTAAGGTTTCGGGTTTAGGGTTTAGGGATAAATCTCAGGCCCTAAGCCACGATGCCGACCCGGAGTGGGTTTCATGCGGGCCTCAGGGCCGTTTAGTGTCCTGGTTTAGGGCATCCTAGTCTGTCTGCTTTCCCAAAAGATAACTTCTGGGTTTTGGAGTACTATACTTTGGTACTGTTTTTTGGGGTTCTGTGTCGATGAGAGCTACTTCTTCCCAAAAAGTATATACTTTTTCTCCAGGGTCTACTCCAAAGCATGGACTCTGAGTTCAAGCTAAACCCCCTAAACCCTAAACCCTAAACCCTAAACCCTAAACCGTAAACCCTAAACCCCAGCGGCCTTGGCGGCCCCAGTGCTTGGAGGATGCTGGAAAAGCTTCGATTACAGATGGCCTCCTGGCCGCCATGGAGCTTATGGGCTTGTGGGTCGCCCGTAGACGCAGCGTTGAGAAGGCTCTACCTCTAGCCCTAAACCCTAAACCCTAAACCCTAAACCCTAAACCCTAAACCCTACAAGGCCAAGCTTAGGGTCCCTTGTTCCTTACGTGTCCTGCCCACCAGTCGGCCGATGACTCCGACTTTGTCCAGGGAAGTCCTAGGGCCGGCTTTTCTCTTAGCCTCAATGGAGTGAGCTGCTTGTGCTTTCGTAGGTGCAGCCGTTTCGTAGATCCCACCCTGTACCCTAAACCCTAAATCCCTAAACCCCTACACCCCTAAACCCCTCAACCCCTAAACCCCTAAACCCTCAACCCCTCAACCCCTCAACCCCTGAACCCCTGAACCCCTGAACCCCTGAACCCTGAACCCTAAACCCTAAACCCTAAACCCTAAACCCCTAAACCCCTAAACCCCTAAACCCTAAACCTGCCCGAACCTTGTGCCAAGGAGCAGGACGGCGGCCCTCCCAAAGCCTTCATCAAGGCCATCGGTAGCCTGGAGGACTACGTAGAGTCGCTCGGACCGGTTTAGGGTTTAGGGTTTAGGGTGTAGGGTTTAGGGTTTAGGGTTTAGGGTTTAGGCCGACTACGTAGAGTTGCTCGGACCAGTTGGCTTCGTCTTAGGTTCATGAGAGGCTTTCAGGGGAATCATGGGGTTTAGGAGCATTTGGGTGTTTGCTGGTTGCCCTTTTTAAACACTTTTGAGCAAAAGGGCTTTAGGCTTAGGTACTTAGGAGGCTCAGCTTCCGGTGCAAGGAAACTGCGCCTAAACTTGAAGCCGTATTTTCTTTCGGGCCTTTTGAGGGTGCAATGAGTCATTCGGGTTCTGATGCGAGCGACAATTGAGAGCCAGGATTCCTACAAGCACCGCATCCTTCGCTGGGCACAAACCCCTAAACCCTAAACCCTAACCTTAAACCCTAAACCCTAAACCTCATACACGCAACATGGAAAGTTGACCTTTTTTCTTGCGGTAAGGCAAATCACCTTTGGGAAGCTTTCTAGGTCCACAATTCCATGCATGCATGTCATAAGCCATGTTGGCTATACGATGCGTTATAGGTTCCCCGAAATGGTCGCCTCTTCTCGTAAGTTTTGGTAGGCTTGACTCCATGCTTTGCTTGCGTTTCACTCGGGCAGAGGTCCTTCAGCAACCATGTTGGATGATGTTTTCAGGCATGTTGAGCCTCAGCGTTCCTTGGGGATTTCGATACTTGCGTACTGCTGTTCGCTGCTTTTCGTAGCTGTAACATCCATGCGTTCATTGGGGGGAAAGGATCCCGCAGTCGACTGCGAACCCTCTGCGTTCATTGGGGTTTCACATCTCCCCCAGAAAACGGGTCGACTGTCCCGAGCCCCTGTAACAAGATCTGAACCAGCCCAGCCTCCAAACCCGTCAGCTCCCAGCCTTCTTGTGTAAGGAAGCAGCATGAGGAGATCCAGGAGAAGAAGCAGCATCTTGGGTTGCATTTCTGCATGATCCTGATAGTTTCGGACATGTTGCATGTCGTGGCTGCAGCGCGAGCCCGAACAGAGAGAGCGTGAAAGAGTTCACAGAGGGACAGACAATGTCTGTGTGAAGAGAGAGTGAGAGAGAGAGAGAGAGAGAGCCGGGGCCCTGTGCGGGAGGGCCTTTGGGCTTCATCATGCCCAGCAGAAGAAGAAGAGGAAGAGAAAGAGAGAAAAAGAGAGAGAGAGAGAGAGAGCAATAAACAATGGAAAACAGAACGAAGACATGCAAATCTTACGGGGCACCCCAGGCCTTAAACAAAACGTGCTCGTGTGGTACATACTTCAACGTTTAGGGTTTAGGGTTTCGGGTACTACTTTCTAGCTTTGCTTCTAGTGCTGTAGTTGGGAAATCCATCAAATGCTGTGTGCGAGAACTTGTGTAGGAACTGCGGTGCATGGTTGCAAGATTTGGTGATGGGCTAATGTGCTCGAGCCCTTATGCCAGTGCGGCTGCGCCAGTCAGCGCTCGGCACAGGTTCTTCCCTTCATCATTGTCCGATGTATCTCTCTTAAACCCTAAGCCTAAACCCTATATAACCCTAATCCCTACGGAAGCCATCGAAAAGCCCTAAGTCCCTTCCGAAGAGCCCGTCCCAGGGGCCAGCGCTCCGGACCCCACAGCCCAGGAAGGGCATTAAGCTCCCGGATAACAAGAACAAGGCGTTCAATACCCTGCGTGCCAAGGCGCGTGCATGAACACCCTAAACCCTAAACCCTAAACCCTAAATCAGAGTTCGGACTGAGCTTGGGAGTAGGGCTTCGGGAAGGACCTCCAAGCACCATGGGGAAGCATTGAGGCGCATTGAGTTGGGTCATCACAAGCCCCAAACCCTGGATGCAGAGACCCTGAAAGCCCTTAGCCCTCAACGCCTGAAGCCGTAAAACAGTCCATTCCTAAAGTCCGAAGCACTGAGCACTTGCATCCTATAGTCTAGGATGCCCAGTAGTACCCTTATTCCCTTTTTGGTAGGTTTAGGTTCCCTTATAAACCCCTGTAAGCAAAGAAGGGCACCCTTTTTCATCCTAGGTTACTGGGCAACCTAGTAGTGCTAGAAGCAGCCGCGAAGTGGATTTGTCGATGCGGTCGTCGCCACCACGCCGTAGTTGTCCGGGCACAAGTCGGATGTGAGGAGTTGGTGCAACGTTTTCGGAGAAGTCAAGTGTGTTTAGGGTTTAGGGTTTAGGGTTTAGGGTTTAGGGTTTAGGGTTTAGGGTTTAGGGTTTAGGGTTTAGGGTTTAGGGCATGGCGAGACGTGGAAGGTGAAGAAGGGCAACAAGCCTTTTGCCGATGACCTGGCCCAGCTACACGCCGACCCGGACGCCTTCCAGTCTGACGAGGCGCGCCGCAGGTTATGGATGCTGCGAGGTTGTCAGGGTTTGGGGTTTAGGGTTTCGGGTTTAGGGTTCACAGAGTAGGAAGGCCTATGATGCCATGAAACTAAACCTGTAGCCCCAGATCCGTAGCAACGTAACCCTAAGCTTCTTCATCCAGAAGAACTACCTTTAACCTGACAAGGAGAATCGGAGATTCCTCTGCGACCTTCGGGCCCAAAGTCCGAAGCTTCCGAAAAGTCGGAAAACCCCCAAGCCCTATACCCAAGTAGCCGCGCTGCCTCTCCACCAGGAGCCTGAAGCCAGCGACTCCGCAAGCGAGGCACTGGGGGAATAAGGGGGGGGGGGGGGTTGCGTTTCACGGGCCCCCTGCCCGCAATGAGTCTAGGACCCGCAGAAGGCGCTTATTCCGTGTTTTTGTTTAAGGATTTTCGGTTCCCTTCTAAGCCCCTTAACACCAAGAAGGGCGGCCTTTTTATTCCCAGGTTTCTCTTGGGTCTAGGAGTTGAGGGTTTAGGGTTTTGGAGTCCAGATCCGGAGTGAAGCGCTTGGGACTGGCATCCCTGGCTGCATGGCTGTGTAAGGTCGACTGTAGGTGCTACGAGGAAGGCTTTTTGTTAGCAGATTTATGGAGGCCCGAGTGCTGCAGGCTAGAATGGGGGCTTCTTGCTCCATCTTCACAACCTGATCTCCCAAGACCAACTATATTCCCGATACCCCGCTCTGAAAGAGGAAGGCTAGTATGTTGAGAGTCGAGAGAGAGAGAGAGAGGGCGCGTGGGAGCGAATTCGTGTGCTGCGTGCTTGCAGAACTGAGCAAAGCTTTTGGGTTTGGGCAAATTGTTGCCTTCAGAAACCGCGGTTCCCAATTCAGATTCAGATGTCTACGCAAAGGACTTCACAAGCTATCACCTCATGACGTTTGGGTGCTGTAGAACCTCCTTGGAGCGCGAAGCATGCAACATCAAGCTTATGAACTCTTAGGGATCCTCTTCTGCCTGTGTCTTTCAAAGAGACTTCCTGAGAAAAGTCGCCGAATCAGCAGTTCGCCGTTGATAGTTTTGCTCTTCAGCCTGTCTTAGTTTGCGAGTCGGGTCGAGTTGTTTCTAGCCCATACAGATATTGAAGCATGCCAAAGTTGCGGGGGGCCATGGGCCTCCAAACCACCGGTGTTTGTTTTCCTCGGTTCTCAAGGCCATAGATGGCATCAGCAAGCCCTCTATCCATGTCAGGTTCAACACTCGCCAGAGCCAAGATCGATGATCCAGACCGAAAGCCCTAAACCCTAAACCCTAAACCCTAAACCCTAAACCCTAAACCCTAAACCCTAAACCCAGTTCATGAACTGGCCCTAAAGTCTGAGACCACAACGCTGAACCCTGGCTTGAATGGAGCCCTTCAGCATGCAAGACCTTGAGCCTTCTTTTCATCCCTATCCCTAAAATTACCGTAGCCTAGCCTAGCAGCAACAACCACAACCGCACCAACCACAACCACCACAACGACCACAACCACCACAACCACCACAACCACCACAACCACCACGCAACAGAACGCCAGGCCAGCGCGGAAGGTGAACGGAGCAGCTCCTCTGTCCTTCGGCCAATCCACCATAGGTTTGGGTCAAGGGCTTGGGATGTCGGATAGGGTTACTGGGTAAAGTTTTTTAAGGCTTGGAACCACATGGTTTGGGATTTTGAGCAGTTTACTTGGTGCATGAGGGTTTGGGGCATATTCTGCATGGGCTGCTTGGCAATCAAGCTCCTCTGTTCTGTTTGGCCGGTTGCCGGTTCAGGACTTAGGCTTGCGAGCTTAGGGAGGCTGTATGTAAAAAGTTGGAGCCTATGTTTGATTTATTGTCCTAGGATGCGCAGTAGTGCCCTTATTCCCTTTTTGGGGGCTCTAGGTTCCCTTATAAACCCCTTTAAGCAAAAAAGGGCACCCTTTTTAATTCCTAGGTTACTGGGCAACCTAGTGTTTCGGAAGTTTGCAAACTACCGTAGATCTACTACAGAGTGTCAGGGCTTGGGTGTGACGCTAGCCCCGAGCTCGTCATGCCAAACCCGACAACTCCCCAGAACCTGAAGATGACCTAAGCCCTAAATAAGCCCTAAGCCCTAAACCCTAAACCCTAAGCCCTAAGCCCTAAGCCCTAAACCCCAAACCCTAAACCCTAAACCCTAAACCCATAGCCTTTGCAGAAACTCCCAGGGGGGGCCCCGGAGGCATGAAATTTGTAGCCTATACCCTAAACCCTAAACCCCAACACGGGAGCTCAGGACTCCTCCAGCAGCTCCTCGAGCTCAGACTCCTCCAGCTCTGACTCGGCTCCTTGGCTTTAGGGTGCGGGGGGGTTGGGATGGAAGGATTTGGGGTTTATAGGGTTTAGGGTTGAGGGTTTAGGGCTTAAGGTTTAGGGTTTAGGGTTTAGGGTTTAGGGTTTCGGGAGGGTTTAGGGTTTAGGCTGATTTTGGGGTTGATGCGTTTTGGGTGCTTTGGGTTGCCTTGGGGTTATAGGTTCTAGTTTACTGGGCTGCGTCGGCTTTTCTGTGCGGCCAAGTGAGCTTCGAGATCGAGAGCGTGGGCTGTGTTCGGCCCTAAACCCTATAAACCCTATAAACCCTCTAAACCCTATAAACCCTATAAACCCTATAAACCCTATAAACCCTATAAACCCTATAAACCCTATAAACCCTATAAACCCTAAACCCTAAACCGTTTGAGCAGCTTGGGTCGGTTTCGGGTTGTTTTCGGTTGCTGTTTTGTCGGGACGTCGTTGGGACTCTGTTTGGTGTGCCCTGCTGGCTGCGATGGGTCGGGGTTCGACCCTCAGAAGGTGTCTCAAGGGACTAAAGGAGGGACCTTACAAGAGACCTTGGGGGTTATTTACGGGGTATTTAGGGTTCTACCTAGGTTATTAAGGACTATGCAAGAGGTCTATAGGGGTTTTTAGGTGATAAGATTAAGGGTTTTTTTCTAGGGGTCCTTCCTTTTACCCCTTAAGTGTTGGGATTCATGAGATTAGTTTGGACGGCCGCCTTAGGCAGTTGCTGTCGTCTCGGCGCGTTACCCTAAACCCTAAACACTAAACCCGAAACCCTCAACCCTCAACCCTCAACCCTCAACCCTAAACCCTAAACCCTAACCCCAGGATGTTCCCCCTTTTTTCTAACAGCCCTCAATGGGGATGATCGTAACCCCTGTTATCATCCTTAGTAAGGAGCTGTTACTCTAAGTTAGAACATCCCAAAACCCTAAACCCTAAACCCTAAACCCCTGAACCCCTGAACCCTAAACTCCAGACCCGTCATGGGACCTTCACCTCCCAGGCGCCCCGACGCCTTCAACTACCATTTGCTTAAGAACCTTCAAAATAGACAAAGAAATGGTAATCCGTTGCCCTTATAAGGAATATTTTCTATATATTTTTGGTGGGTTCTTAAGCAAATAGTAGTCAAGCAGCTTAAGGACAGCGACTCGGACAGTTCCTCCGACACTGGCAGCGCCAGCTCGGTAACCTGGCTGCAGAAATCTGCTTGGCTTGGGCCCTTGGGGATATTTTGTCTACTTTCTCTTACTGGGTTTAAGAGGATCATACTTAGGAAATCGTAGGAATATTTTTCAGAGGGTTTTAAGGGCTATCCTAGATAAGGGTAGGGACTGAAGGAATCAGACCCTGGGTGTATCAGGGTTTACGCTCCAGCTGGAGAGCCCGCGAACGTCTTTCATCCAGGGCCCCAAGCTTTAACTTTATCATCCCAGCCCGCCCAAGTTCTCGGGCCTTGAAGATGTTTCGGGAGTTCAGATGCCGAGGACTCGGATTCCGACTCCTTCGACAGCTCTGGCAACTTCGGTTGCAGGAGGCTAGAACCCTGAAATTTTCCACTCTACACCCGAAATGCTTTCGGGCGCAGAAAAGCCCGGCCTGGAACGTTTGAGTTGTTTTATTGTTGGTTTTTGTGCTCTGGTTTTAGACCGGGGCCTGACGGGATGGGAGGGTTTTCGCTGCTGTCCTACATCCGAACACGGCTCAGTTCATCGAGTGTCGTCCAAGGAAAGTCCGACACCTCGGACGGCGATGGGGATGAGGATTTGGTCCGTGAGAGGCCGGTGGAAGCGTCGAGACGAGTAGAGTAGAGCAGTAGGGGCTGAGGAGACTATCAGAGGTTTGCGCCCCACTCCCTCAACAGCATTTGGCTTGTGAAGTTTGGTTGGTGGTCTTGCAGTTTGGCAGCCATGCATCCTTGCGGCTAAACTGAGGTTGCTGAATAAGTTGTGATGCGTTGTGTACTGCTCGGGGTCGAAGTCTTGATTCCATGGTTGTGCTCATTTCAGGTGTGAACCCCCTCCGCCGAAGCCCCAACACACGGTTCGAAACCGCCAAGTGCAAGATCAGGATTCGCAGACCGAAGTTCGAACATACAATACGCTGAGGTCAACAGCCCGACATTTCACGAGCTATCAAGCCCTTCAACACTTCTCCAGCACGTGACACCTTGGGCGGTCCGCTCCTTTCCAACGTTCCCCCGCGGGGGGTCAGGAAGATGCTCCGATGGCTCATTACACCAGAGAAGCTCGCCGAGCGAACCTCGGCCGCAAGAGGACTTGCAAGGGTTTGAAGGAGGATTTTTGGGGAGGGGGGTGCTCTGGAGGGTTTTTTGGGGATTTCAGCGGGTGTGTTCTTCAGAGCCTAGAAGCCCGAAAGTCTAAAGCCCGGCATGCTTTCTGGAAAGATTCACCGTCCCCAATTTACACCCTTTTTGCGATTCTAGCAGGCGCACCTTTCTTGCCCGAGCAGCGTGATACCTTTAGGTGCCTAGTAGGTAGCGCAGCAAGCATCAGGTGTCAACAAGCTCCCACTAGGCAATGCAACGCCCTGTCTTATGGCCATCTTATGCTTCAGGCGCCCTATAACCGTGAAGGTTCAAGTATAATTTCGGCCAGCCGTGCTTCCCACTGCATGGAGTGCCTAAGGCGAGAGAAAGGCTGAGCTGGCAAAGGCCAAAGAAGCAGAGAACAAGGCGCCAACGAGCTTTTCCCAGAAACCATTCTGACCCCACCTAGGCCCGAACCCTCAAGCCCTAAACTTGGGATGTTCCCCCTCAGACTAACAGTCCTTAATAGGGATTATAGCACCCCCTGTCATACTCCCTTTTCAGGACTGTTACTCTAAGAACAACATCCCCAACCCTAAAGCACCAAGGGACGCCTTTTCCTGAAAGGCCAAGGAGAAGGAGAAGCGAGACAGGAAGAAGGAGAAGGGTGAGGACCCTGCCGGCTGTGGACTTCAGGATTAGAGGTTTGGTGATATGACATCGCCCCCCTCCGCCCAAAGTGGGCGCTCGGTACATACAGGCCCCAAAATGCATGTGAGGCCTGTAGAGGTTGATGGTTTCGGAGCTTCGACGGACTTTTGCTTTGAGGGTTCCAGGCTAGCTGGTTTTAGGTTTTAGATGTTTTAGGTTTTAGGGGTTTAGGGTTTAGGGTTTTAGGGTTTTAGGGTTTAGGGTTTAATCTCTGGACTTATTGAGGAGTAGGCTTTGAGCAACTCGACATCCTGGTCCCAAGAGCTGGACCCCAAAAACCTGGAGCCGGTTTCGTAACAGAAGCAGGGGTCTCGACACCTCCTTCTGGCTTCAGGGGTGCGCGCGTCCAGAAGGGTCACTTAGGGCCTTAGGGACCAGTTCGGGCATAGGGCTTGGGGTTCGGGGCTGTCGGTTTGGGGTACTCGAGCTACCTCTACACCTGTCGCAAAGGTTTTGTGAGGCAGTGGGCAGACTTGGGGGATTCACGCATCTCTCCCTCAAACCCTTCTAAGCCCTGAGCCAGCCTGGGTTGCCCCTAAACCCTGAAGCCAAAACCCTAAGCATTCAAGGCTTGCCCTCATCAGGTTGACTCGTGGACCCGAGGCCCTCTAGGGTTTCGGACTTAGGGTGTCATGGGGTTTTCGTGTGCTCTCGGCTCTTCTTGGGGAGCTTCTGCCCAAGCAGGACGGCCGCAGCACAGCAACCGGCCGAGAGCGCAAAGGCCGCTTGGGATGTTGGGCGGCTCAAAATTCGGAGCACCCTAAACCCTAAACCCTAAAAGTCGGAGCTTTGACCCATGAGCCGCCAGGGATTTAGGTTGGTTTCAAAGCGTTTTCCGGGCTCCTCGTAGGGGGGGGGGGGTCCCAGAGTGGCAGCTCCTGGGGCCCCCCGAGCTCCTCCACACTCTTTCACAGCAAGGCAAAGACGAGCCAGAGGAATACACCTCCAAGGACTTCTGCTTTTTGCTGGCTGCAAGAACATACTGTACCATTCGAAGTCACGGCTTTTTTCAGCCCAGTGCCTGCAGAAAACGCATCCCTCGTAGGCTTGTTTTCGATTCGCGCTAAACCCTAAACCCTAAACCCTAAACCCTAAACCCTAAACCCTAAACCCTAAAGGCCTTTCAGTGAGCCCACGGATGCAGGAGCTCACCAACAAGGTCACCGAGATCACGCAGCAGCGTGGCCGAAAGGCCTTCGACCGCAAGGCCCACTTGTCTAGAGTCTAAGGTTTTAGGGTTTTGGGGTCTTAGGGTTTTAGGGTTTTAGGGTTTTAGGGTTTTAGGGTTTTCGGGTTTTAGGGTTTTAGGGTTTTAGGGTTTTAGGGTTTTAGGGCTTATGTTTTTAGGGCTTAGGGTTTAGGATGAAGGGACCCCCTTGAGCCCTTTCCGTGTTCCTCTCCTGGCTCTCTTCAGTGCTTCTAGAGAAGGGCTTTACTTGGGTCCCCTTGAAAACCTTATGAAGCTCAACCCTAAACACCCTAAACTCTAAACCCTAGACCCTAAACCCTAAACCCCGCCCAAACCCCTTTCAAGAGCCCTCAAAGCCTGGCTGGAGGGGCACTTTGCTTTCCTCTGCGCAGGCACCCTAAACCCTAAACCCCTAAACCCTATAACCCTAAACCCTAAACCCCTAAACCCGAAAGCCGAAACCCTAAACCCTAAACCCTAAACCCAAACAGGCCTACATGGACAAGCTCCAGAAGCTGTTGGTCCACGCCGCCAAGCATGGCCCCCTCGACACTGGCTTGAAAAGGTTTAGGGTTTAGGGTTTAGGGCTTAGGGTTTAGGGTTTAGGGTTCAGGGTTTAGGGTTTAGGGTTGCAAGTTCAGGAAGTTTTTGGAGGGGCGCGGTTTGGGGTGCGGGGTCAGGTCATTCAGGATGCTCGGTGTGATGACAAATTAGTGGCATGATGGCAACCTTGGTACAAAACCTAAACCCTGAACCCTAAACCCTAAACCCTAAACCGTTCTTCTTTGCTTCCACACGGTCATGCCGTTTGCAGCATCTGTCTGTCGCATCGCTTTCTCCCAGCTCCGGCCCGACCCATGAGCCCTAGGTAGGATAAGGGGGACCCTTAAAAGGGAACCCCTTCTGAACCCTCTTCTGGCTCTCTTAAACAGGGACCTTATTCAGAGGGTCTTTATCCCCAAGGGTCCCCCTAATCCTATCCCCTAATGAGCAGGAGCAGCTGTACATCTACGCTTCGATGGTGTCGGCCGATTTCGACAACACTGGTAGTGCTTTTGCTGCCATGACGCCCGGCTGCCTCTTGAAGGGTTCTCCCTAAACCCTAAACCCTAAACCCTAAACTCAGGGCCTAGGCCGCCCCCCTACAGAGGGGGGGCGGCGCTTAAAGCCCTTCGACCTCTATGGCGAAGGTCGACCCAGGTCGCTTGCCCGCCTCCTGCAGCCAGGAGGTCGGTAGCACCCACGATGGGCCCGGTACCGGAGCAGGTTCTCCCGGGGACCAGTACTGGTCCCCAAAGTAAATACCCTAGGTCTTCACCCTGCATGGGCTGGCATTTCGGGGGGGGTACCCCAAGGCCCCCGGGCCAGGAGGACCCGGACCCCTCACCGCAGCATGTCCAGGGACCAGGGGGCCTCAGGCCAGGCCAGGCAGGGCGGGTGCTCAAAAACCTGCTTTTTGGCCTCTGGGCCCCTCTGGGCCCCCCTGGCCCCTCTGGGGCCCCCTGGGCCCCCCTGGGCCCCCCTGGGCCCCCCTAAACCCCCCTGGGCCCCCCTGGGCCCCCCTGGGCCCCCCTGAGCCCCCCTGGCCCGCCTGGGCCCCCGGACCTCCCTTGGCCCCCTGAAGCCCCCTTTTGGGCCCCCTGCCTGGGCCTGCCTGGGCCCCCCCCCTGCGCTTCTGCCGGCCCCCTGTCCCCCTGTAACCCCTCCCTAGCCTCAGTGAGCCCTTGCTTTTCCTCTGCTCCGCCCCTGGCTGCCCAGACTGACCCTGGCCTGGGCCCGTGGTTCTTCTCCCTCTGTGGAGGCTTGTTTTTTGTGAAAAGCCGTGACGGAATGAAGAAGTTTTATGTAAAGAAAGCAGTTGGCTTGAGTTTAGGCCTAAACCCTAAAAGGAATAGGTTTGGGTGGCTTTGCCGCCTTGGACGGCGTGGGGTGGGCGAAAAGTGTTAGATGGCCTTCCACAATCGGGCCAAAGCTGCTCTTCGCACCTCACGACGCTTTCGAGCTTGTTCCAAAACCTAACCTTCACAGCATCTACGCCCTATCACAGCAAACCCTAAACCCTAAACCCTAAACCCTAAACCCTAAACCCTAAACCCTAAACCCTAAACCCTAAACCCTAAACCTAAACCCAGGTTCTGCTCGATTTGTTTAGGGTTTTTGCTGGCAAAGGGTTTGTCGACCTAAAGCTTCACGATCAGTCTGCTTCTACGTTCGACACGGCCTAGTACTTAATACTATTTGCTGAAGAGCCTCCGAAAACTACAACATATCTTCCTGATTAGGGGCATTTCAGGATTATTGGTTTTTTTGGGGGGGTTCTTAAGCAAATAGTAGGTTTTAATGCCCCGACGCAATAGATCCCTTTTTGCCGACTCGGACAAGGAGACAGTAAACGGCTGGTCCCTAGTCCCAGCCTATCTCACCCACCTCCTACAGAAAATCATGTACATGGCTTGGGATGTTCCCCCTCATGCTAACAGTCCTCCTAGAAAGGACTGTTACTATAAGGGAGAACATCCCAAACCATGGCTTCCAACGAATCTTCGTTTCGCCATAATAGACCATCACAGTCATTCCCCACCCCTTGGTGTGTGTGGGTACCATGCTCCTCGCCTCCTCGCCTGGTGTCCCGCCCGGTGGCCCACCCTTTAGGGTTTAGGGTTTAGGGTTTAGGGTTTAGGGTGCCAGCCCCAGAGAGTCCCGCCGAGTCCTGCGCCAACCCGGACCTGTCTCTTCAAGGCCGAGGCTTCTGCCAAGCCATGATCTATAGGCTCGCCTCACCGGGCATCTCCTTCTCGAGTTCGGAGGTGCCCAGTGGCTGTAGCCCACATTTCGGGGCAGAGGTGAGCCTTGCCTGGGTGTCATCTTCTTTGCAGCTCTAAGCTCCTCGTGGTCAGGCCTTTTCTTCGATGGCACAAGCACCATAAACCTGCCACATCACAAGCCCTGATCTCGATGCCTCTTCACCCTAGGCGCGAAAGGGGGCCTTGGGGTTCGCGTAGGCCTCGGCGTGGTTCAGCCCAAACCTCCAACACCCTTCCTTCAATTTGCCAAGACCGACACCCCCGTACCGCTGCGCCCAGGAAGATCGAGATGTGGAACGAAGCCTTGACGAAGGCCCGGCACAGGGCTCATGGTCTAGTATTTGCAACATGTCGCATGGAGTGCTTGGTTTGTAGATGTGTGAGGATCGTCCTGAGGTCTATAATGAGCAGCAGGTCACTTTAGGACTGAGGCTTCAACAACTTCCGGGTCCATGCCTGAGTTCGGAGAATTTCTGAGCAGGTGAATAAGATGCTGCCACTGCTTGTCGAGTCCCACAACAACATCAAGAATGGCAGCTCGATCATTTCAGCTCTGGCTTTTCCCGTTGGATTACGGCTAATAATGTCATACAACATCATTTTCAGATTTATTTTGCACGTCTCAACGTCATGTAGTCGCAGTCCTATGCCCAGCAGTCAACGCATGTGGAACCAATGTATCCGCTGACGTGCGCCTAGCGCAACGACCACCCGCCACCCCCCCCAAAAAAAAACAATTGCACCCTGGCAGGTCTATAGGAATCTTGACTGTCTAGTCTATTCAATTATTGAATTGAAACCCTTAACGAAATTTACGCACCTAAACGACAGGCATCTCGAAGCAAACGCCGATCTTATGAATGTATGTGTTCGTAGCTTGTGCCCAAGAGATCGGCTTGACGTGCATCCGCCATGCCCTATACAGATCATTCGACTGGGGCCCTTATGCCTCTTGGCACTAAGGCACTGCCGACGAGAAGAGTGCCGAGCAAAACACCGCAACTTGGTGTCGGGTTCTATAGCCTCAGGGCCGGTTGCAGTTTTCCTAGGACCCGGAACGGGCCCTTCTTTCCTTTTTTTTGGGGTTTGGTTTTTTTTTTCTTAGAATCCCCTGAAAACCAAAAAGGGCACCCTTTGCATTCCTAGGTTACTCCGAGGTCTAGCTTCTTACTGAACGCAAATCCCTCAACTTCATCCTAGATTTTTTCGGATAAACGGCCTCGGATGCTCGGCGCTCTTCGTCAATGTCTAGTGAAGGCTTGCATATGTGTGTGTTGTGCATGCCTCAAAAGACTTGCCAGCTCGGTGACAACCCAAAGCGTATTGCAGTATTCTACGACAGAGGGGTTTACGAAAATAGGAGACCCTTGTCACAAGGGCCCAAGAGGTAGCCCTATTTTCGGAAACCACCCCTAAACCCTAAACGCTACAGGACGCCAGTAAGGTTCCGAAATACCCCCCCACATGTGCCCACAGAAGATCGAGAAACGCACCAATTCCCAGGACGTCGAGGATCCAAAGTCCCACACGAGACTGCAGGATCGGGAGGGGGCTCGAGAAACTCCAAAAACTCCGGAGGGTTTAGGGTTTAGGGTTTTGGGGTTTTAGGGTTTAGGGGGGTTAACCTCTGGGAAGTCATCCGAGATCCCTCAAGTCTGAGCTTTCCAGGAACACGGAAACCCTGCACTAACGGGGCCAAAATACTCAGAATAGGTTTTTTTTGGGTGGGTTATTATATTATATTTATACAGGGACCAGAAGGGAATACTATTAGTAATTATTCCGACCCCTATATTACATGGATCCAGATTTGCAGCTCTTTGGAGCGGGCTCACATTAAGCAATTCCGCCGCCCTGTAGTCTCTGAGCTGTGCCATCTCAGTAGCTCCAGCACTGGCAGTGAGCCCTTTCAGCTGTGGTTTAGCGTTTGGGGTTTAGGGTTTAGGGTGCAGATGGTGTCCTCACGGCTCCCGATATGGGGGTTTCCGAAATTGGGGTACCTTATCGGCCTCCTTCTTATCAACTATTTGGGGATCTGTATTGGGGGTCCCCTTCTCCCCAAACACGAAACCCGCTTGTGATTGTCACGATCTATAGAGCTTTAGCTGTCTGCCATCGACAGCTGCGCAGCAGTGTTGAAATCTGGTTTCGCAGGAGTTGTACCTGGCTTACGTTGAGAAGCTGGACGACGAGCTCTACAAGGCGTTGCAGTTCAACAGCCGCTGGGATGCAGTGAATGGCTCACTGCACTTGTTCATATAGGGTTTAGGGTTCAGGGTTCAGGGTTCAGGGCACCCTTCCCGTCCAGATTTGGTGCAGTACATCTGCCCTCCTCACCTTTCCGCAAAGCGCACGGTTGAGGGCTCCAAGTTGACCCTGCCCCCGATTTGGTGTGCCCGTCCCTCTCCCCTCTCCCTTGTCGGGATCACATCAGTCTCATTCTGCTGAAATTATTCCGAACAACTTTCAGAACACTTACTGCGGTGGGGGGGGGGGGGGGCTAATCGGCATTCAAAATCCTTCCGCCAAGCAAGCCTCAAGGTGATGTCTACGGCTCAGAGTACCACGAAATCCTGGCCAACTCCTCGAAATGCCTGGTCTTGCTGAACCGAACCCTACGCTTCTTGGTACACTCGGTAGGCCCTTGGGACATTTCACATTTTTTAACTGGGTTTGAGAGGATCATATTCAGGAATATTTTCAGAGGGTGTTAAGGGCCATCCTAGTGCAGAAGCAGAGGGGTTTCGGTGCCAGGTTGACCTTATGCGGAATTTGTTTTGTTGGGCTTTGGGTATGCGAGGGCAGGGTTCAGGATTCGATGGCTGCCCGGGGGGCGTAGGAACGCTCTGCCTCTTGGTCCTGGTAAGTCGTTCTCAGGGAAGTCCATTAAGTCTGTTGTCCTTTGGGCTTCAGCCTACAGCTATACCATAGCTATACCCAAATGCCCAGAGTCCCTCGGAGGGTTCCTTTCAAAGTTGCATCATACATCTTCCAGACCCCCTGAGTAGGCCGACGAACGCTGTGGTGTGGGGTGCTGAACCCTATTATTCTCTTGGGATGTTCCCGCTTACACAAACGGTCCTTAATCGGGATTATCGTAAACCCCCTATTGTAATGCCTGTCTAGGCCTGTTAGTAAGGGGGAACATCCCAACTAATACCCAAAGCTGGTTGCTTTGTTTCTAAATGGCTGTGGCCTCTAGTGTCTTGGTTATCGGCTGTGTCTTGATTTGGGGCTGGGGCTTGCGGTCTTGACAGCAAATACAGAACGGGCCTCAAGATCAGGGGTTCCCCCTACTACCCCCCCTCTATACTACCCACCCTAGGTTCCCCCCCACTGTAGGGTTTAGGGTTTAGGGTTTAGGGTTCAGGGTTCAGGGTTTAGGGTTTATGAACCCTAAGTAAGGGTTTTTTCAGGACCTAGAAGGGGTAGTGTAAAGGGGGGGGTGGGAGGAGGGAAGCCCATGACAAGACGGCAGCAGCTCGAGGCTTCTATGAGACGGTGGGCCAGCCACAGCCGCTGGGTGAGGTTGCTTCGCGCCTGATGGACCATCCGGGGTTTAGGGTTTAGAGTTTAGGGTTTAGGGTTTAGGGTTTAGGGTTTAGCGGCTGGGGAGCAACTCATGACCATTTTGGGCTTTATCGCAAAACGTGGTTTGAGAGTGTGGCTTCACCGTTCCATTGAACGAAGACGAGTCTTATTGTAATCGACGGTGGTTGCTCCGGCTGGGTTTACGAGGTTTTTGTGCCGTATGGGCTGCGAGACATGCTTGGATGGGCCTTGGATAATGGAATGGTTGTGCCAGATGATGACGACAAAGCAACGAGCGAACTTCGCAGATGTAGAAGCCTAAACCTTCGAGCATTCCCCCTTATATAAACAGTCCTTAAAAAGGGATTATGCCAGGGGGTACTATAATCTTTACTAAGGACTGTTAGTATAATGGGGAACATCCTAACCCCCTTGTAAGCGCGGCCTGAAGGGTAAGCCCCAAAACCCCCGAAGGAGCAGCTGTACTACAAGCCTGACTCGCTGCCACTTGGTGTTTCGAGTTTTGGGTCCCGTAGGCCCATGAGCGCTTAGAGTTTGGGGTTTAGGGTTTAGGGCTTAGGGCTTAGGGTTTCGGGTTTGGATCTGAGCCTAGGGTGTCGTGTCCGATGTATCCGTGAGAATCCGCAGCGCTTGTGGGGCTCCTGGACGACCGCGGCTTCTTGCCGCAGCTTTCCTCGGAACGCGGCCAAGTCTCGCCAAGCCAATTCCGTCCATAAGTATACCAGGATGGGCTATTAGGCCCTATAGTCCCCATAATCAACCCAATAAAGGGCCTTTTTTAAAGGGGTTCTTATTGGATATAATGGTTTGTTTTGGTAGCGCCAGCTCTCCATGCTCAGGAATGCTCGTGTGTACGAGGCCGTTCCGCACACCATGTCGGACGAGAAGAAGGAGCCGTTCCCTAGGATCCCAAGCCCTGGCGTCCCTAGAGTCCTGGAATCCCTATAGGGTCCCTAGAGAACCCTAAACCCTAAACCCTAAACCCTAAACCCTAAACAGCAATCCCTGAGCCCTCACAGGAGGATTGGATCTGGCCGGACGACTCCAAAGCCTACATGGGCAAGCTCTGCCACTACGCAGCGGGCCCAGGATCTTCCCCCCTTGGACTATTCCGAGTTTAGGGTTTGGGGTTTAGGGTTCAGGGTTTAGGGTTTAGGGTTCAGGGCTGCCAAAAAAAAAAAAACCTTGTTTTCTGTCAGTTCTCTAAGCTATCGTCCCTTTTTGGGGCACCCTAACTATTCGGGGCCGCCCTGTAATCGTAATCCTCAAGAAGGGGTTGAAAGGGCCCCAATTCTAGAAAACTCACCATATGGGCCCATCTTAAGGGGTTTAGGGTTTAGGGTTTAGGGTTTAGGGTTTAGGTTGCTTTTGACCTCCTGCTCACTCCGCAGCCCGCCCTCTCAATCCGAAGCCTCCCTCTAAACCCTAAACCCTAAACCCTAAACCCTAAACCCCAAACCCCAAACCCCAAACCCTAAACCCTAAACCCTAAACCCTAAACCCTAAACCCTAAACCCTAAACCCTAAACCCTAAACCCTAAGCCCTGCCTCCAACCCAGCTCATGAGCCCTCAGCAGCTGGCAAGGTCTGGGCAACCGGCGATCAGCGGCTTCGCCGACGCGCCTGCCTTTGCCAGGCACCGGCATTTGCAAAACCCTAGACCCTAAACCCTAAACCCTCAACCCTCAACCCTCAACTTCCCTCAACCCTAAACCCTAAACCCTCCCTGAATAATTAGAAGAGGGTTTTGGAGGTTGTTCTAGTATAATTAAAAGTGGGCCACAAGGGAATATCATGAGTACTTAGTCCGACCCCTTGAGTATGCAGTAGAAGCAGGAGCCTGAGTTTAGGCCTTCTGGCGTTCTCCGCCTTCTTCAAAAAAAGGGTTTGGGGTTTAGGGTTTAGGGTTTAGGGTCTAGGCCCCAAGCGACTGACATGGAGAACCCCCCCCCCCCCCCCATGTGGGTTTTACACGTTTTTGCGTGAAGGGCTTGACTTGACGGAAGAAACTCGTAAGGCCCAAGGAGGAGTCGGGTTTAGGGGTCAGGGGTTTAGGGTTTAGGGTTTAGGGTTTAGGGTTTAGGGTTTAGGGTTTAGGGTTTAGGGTTTAGGGTTTAGGCGTGGTGCGCCCCAAAAAGGAAGTCGCCGCTAGGGCTTGGGGTTTCTTAGAGTTCAAGTTTAAGTCCTCTAGGGATGTTCCTCCTTATACTAAACGTCCTTCATAGGGATTGCAGTAAGTTCTACTGTAATCCCTACACTATAATCCTAAACCTCCTTAAGAGGGATTATCGTAAGTTCTACTGTAATCCCTACACTATAGTACTAAACGTCCTTAATAGGGGTTATAGTAAGTTCTACTGTAATCCCTACACCATAATACTAAACCTCCTTAAGAGGTATTGCAGTAAGTTCTACTGTAATCCCTACTAAATAATACTAAACCTCCTTAATAGGGATTATAGTAAGTTCTACTGTAATCCCTACACTATACTCCCTACTGCGGACTGTTAGATTCCCAGCCCCTAAACCCTAAACCCGAAACCCTAAACCCTAAACCCTACCTGTTAATCCTGGCGGACAGAAATTTCTGTCCTTATGGTTTTTTTTTTTTTTTTTTTGTTTTTTTGCGTGCAAAAGCGAGGTGTTGGTGTTCTATTGGGATCGGGGAATACGATCAAAGCGGCTGGATTTTCGGAGTTCAGGGGAAACCTTCCCGAGCCCTGTGCAGAGTCTTGTGCACCAAAGAATAGGTGACCTGAGCAGAACACAAAAAAGTGTACTCTGAACCCAACGTTTTTCCAACATAATGTTGGGTTTTGTTGGTTTTTTTTTTTTTTTTTGGGGGGGGGGGGGTAGCCCAAAAAACGTAAACCGTACCGAATCCGTACTTTTTTGGAAAAATGTTGGGAAAATGTTGGGAAAAAGCGTACCCAAAACCCAACGCAAACCCAACAAAAACCCAACAAGAGGACACTTTTTCTGAAAAGGCCACTTTTTCTGCAGAATTGTGTGGGTGTCTGGTTTCCACCAGGAAAT